ATTCCGCCGTTTTGTTTCGTGACATCTCCTGGGACCCGTCTCATTGTGCAACCATACAATGAAACGACACATCTTTTAATGAACAGGCATGCTGTACTATTTGTATCTTTCTTTTCATTATATGCATCTTCTTCTACCAATTAGCTAATTGAACACAACAAACCTTCTAGGTTCTTTCATAACAGATTGCCAGTGGACATCATTGACTACAGCTCGAAGGAGCGCCTTGGATACCTTCGGCGCAAGATTCCTCCCAGAATTTCATTGCTGGAATTGAAGAACAAAGTTCCATTAGGAGAAATGGAAACTGAGGTGACTTTCCTTACCTTCTTTGTGCAACTGTAGATTGTTAAGAAAGTATATATTAAAATTATCAAGCATCCTCAGGTGGCCTTCCAACAAAACAAACGTTATTAGTTATTAAAAAGAACTGGACTTGACATTTTTCCTAATTCAATCTGTGTGACAGATACTCTATCGATGCAAATTGAAGATACTTAAGTTCCATCTTGGTTCTGAGACCTGCAAAACTTTTCCTGGAGACACTGAGTATTTCCAAACTACGGCTACTTTTCTTTTCCTTATTGTTAAGTAACAATTCATTGCTACCACATCTCTAATCTACGTATACGTTTAGATTGTACTACGAATTGCAAGCTGAATGCGAATCAGGAAATCACACCGCAACAATTGTTCTGAATCATCAACCTGCTCTTGCTCTAATCCGTATGCCACCGCTCGAGTTCCAAATGATGCCATATGACGAGAGAGTTGAGTTGCTCAAAAAATTCTGCAATGTTCAGCTAATGGCAGAACTGTACATCGTGGGATCAGAAGATTCAGATGAACCACACATCCGCATGTTTGCGATTTGGGATTCAAAAGCATTTCAGCCATTGCGAGAACTTAAGTTGCGCATCTGACCGAAGTCCTTACATTGCAGTCAAAGGAGGTACATTCCTTCCTACTTTTGTTTTGCATTCAGTGGAACATTAGTGTTCTTGGGCACAACCATTTTTTGCGCACTAATAAATACCCACATGTCTGTTCTTATTGCAGCTCTTAGGACTAAGGAATGAATTGGGTTGTTGGCTGAGGAAGGATCAAAGTAACGCAGGCCCAGAAGACATGGATTGCAACATTATTTAGTTAATTCGATCTTTTGAGAATTGGAATAGTCCATCTTTATTTCCATTCTGAACATAAACTGTTCTGGTACATTGTGTATGGTAGCTACCCTTTAAGCTCAACCATCCAAATAGTTCAGATCTAAACAATGTACTTGGCAATGCATGTTCGTATTTTATTCGTCTTAGTTATGCCCTTTCTGGAGTTCCTTTCTTTTACATGTGTTGGAGTGTTCTGTCTTCACTCTTGTGTCGTTACTGTTCTGGTATATTAGATCTCAAGATAATTACAGATACCATTAACCAGCCCTTATTCGCTATCTACAGTGTAATGTGTTCCTAATGTAACCTCCCTTAATTCGACTAGAATCGGTCATTCCCTTCTAGCCTCCAGTGTTAGGATGTTTTCCCCATTTGCTCTACTGTTGCCTCAGTTGAAAAGTAATAGATGCCCTTCACACCACTTGTCTTTTAGTCTTTTCTTCTATGACCATTGTTTATTGTATTTTGGATCATTTTGGGCCGCAGAAACACTGAACAGTTCGAGAGGAATTTGAAGTGTTTTTTTGTTTTATTCACCGTTTAGGAAGATCCCTGCTCTTATCTCACCTTTCACCCTCTCTCATCAACTTTACTCTTCTTCCGCTATTTCCTCACTAGAATCCTAAATCAGCATACTGTTCCTGTTCAACCTTCTTTCTGGTGTCATCCGGTTCGATCTTCGTCCCCAATTCCCTCACAAAAGAGACATGTTTCCGCAAAAGCTGCTTCTGGATTTGAATGGAACTGAAGGGCCAGAAACTGCTCTCAAGATACGACTCTTGCATGTTTGGGGTTATTGCAATTCAGAAAATCCATCCATCCTCTCACAGTTTTGCAGTCTTTGGACCGATTCCAAGGTAATATAGCATTTCCTTTAACGTTTTTTGTTGCAATTGCCAGCTCAAATTGTGCTCTTCGGTCATTTCTCTTGCTTCGCCTCCTCCCTGTTTAACAGGGAACCTTGATCCAGGCCATCGCGACACCAAATTTAGGTCACCGATTTGGCCCACACCTGCAACTAGGGTGTGTCTACTTAGTTACTGGATTCCAGCTGGCAAAACCACAGCCAATGTGCCGCCCTTGCTCCCATAGATTTAGTTTGGTCCTTTCTCAGGGAACCATATTTGAGGATGTAACCATGTTGTCACCGGGTTTCTGTACTGATTCATTTGAGTTTTTCCACTTCAGTTCCTTGCACGGCTTACCTCGCTCAACAAACCAGCTCATAGGTTCACCTGGCAATTACTGTAATCTCATCACATATACTTCACCTGGTTTTTTGCACTAATGAATTGACGATCTTGTAACACCTCTTCAAATGTAGATGTTGTTGGCAGAGTTGTGTCTGTGAGCGGGTTATCCTGTTCGGCAACATCCACTGGTGCTATTATTAGGCGGAAACTGGTCATACAGAACGAAAGGTTTTCAATGCAATGCGATTGTGTACCTTTCCATTTGTAGTTGATTAAACGTAATTCCAATCATCTCCGTCTTGCCTGCACTTGACTATTGCAGAAATATACGTGTTAACATCACCATATGTGGCGATGTTGCTCGATCACTAGATGGAGAAGAACTAGCATACCTTGGCCGCATGGGTTCTGTTATACTTGGTGTATGCAGTCTTCAAGTTACTGACGCCGCAACAGGTTTACACTGCACCTTTATCCCTCACAGTTAATGCTATTGCTAATCCATTCTACGACGACTCACATCTGCTTTCCTACTTTTACCAAAGTCGGCATTTTTTTAACCAGCACCTCCGCTACACGGTTTGTTTTGGAGCCATCTTCTGAATTGGCAAATGTTTTGCGTGCTACGTAAGTTTCTTACAAGATGCCGTTTTTAGTAATTTACTTTTCGTTTATCTCATATACTTTCGAAATTGTAGTGCTACTGGTGGTACAGATACGATCCGATATTATCCTCCATGCTTTTCCACTTATTTTGAAGAGGAAATGTTTCGAGCTGACAGTACCAAGACAATTATGGACCTCATCCGCCTTTCCAGAAATCCAATGGTTGACGTGCGTTCTTTTGTCATAACTTTTACTGTCACAGCACTGTGTTTTATTACTCCATGCCAGGTTAAAGCATAATCTGCACTATTAATGTAGCCAGCCATTATTTTCATGCTTCAGAATTTATTCTGCCTCACCACTAGATGGATCTGTTTTTCCAGTCCCTTTTCCCAGTAAACTAACAAATTTCTTGCCTGCTTAGCTAAATTTTCTCACCAGTTTTGTTTACCTACAGGCTACCCAGTACTATTGTTTGGCGCAAGTCCTCTCCACTGAGTCTTCAAGATCATGGTTCTACTTAGGATGTGCCTTTTGCTTTAAGACAGCTAGGGAATTTCCTGGCACTGGTGATTCTTTTTGTGAAGAACATGGCCAGCTAAAGGCTGAAGAAACCGAAAATTGGTTAGTTTAAAATCCACCTTTTCCCCCTCAGTAAAGTGGGCACGCCCAATTCAACCCTGAAATTTTAATACATTTTTACAGCTACAAAATTCATTTGGCTGTCGGAGACACTACTGGTTCGGCATGCTTCGTCGCACTTGGAAAGACCGCTGAATCTTTGCTTGGAGTTACAGCAAACGAACTATTGTTGCAACATCCCCACCACCATGGCCATTTCCCTCCGGCAATTGTGGCCATGAATGGATGTTGGTTTTCGTTTAGTGTGCAACTCCCTAAACCTGGATATCTGGCTCAGACTCCTCTGGAGTTTACTATACTTTCTGCATTCGACCGCAGCCAGCTTTAACAATAAACTAATGAAAAAGTCAACAATTGCGCAGAAAGTCGTTGTGCTCGACCGTTGTCTTACCTATATTATCCCAGTATTTAGCAATATTTGCACTTCAACATCAACAGACTTATGTATCCGCGATGTACGTACAAACTATTCACATGCACAATGCCTCCGCTTTTTCGCTTACAACTCTCCATTCCCACAATATAGTCTCCCCGCCGCAGAGCGCGGGCTTCTTTACTAGTAACATTAAATGTATAAGTTTAGTTTGTACCATAAAAGAATTTGTATCATTATGTTATGGTACACGTACTTTACAACTTGAAGTTGTACCATCGGGACTGGTTACGGTGCTAATTGTACAAGAGTTAGCACCGTCCTAACCAAGAGTTAGTAGTGATTTAGCTTAGATGTTGTATTGATTTTATAATAATCCGTAGTGATTTCGTTGTTTTTAGTAGCATTTTTTGCTAGTTATCACGGTGCTAACCCCCTATAAGGTAGCACCTAATCCCATCCCTGTACCATCACATAAGGTACAAGTTTAAGTTGTATCATAAAAGAATTTGTACAAAAAGTACAGGTACAATATGAAGTTGTACCATAACGTTAAAGGTACAATTTCAAATTGTACCATAAAGGCAAAAACCTAGAGCATCAATGCTATATAGCATCGTAAAATTCCTCCACTTGCATAGCTAGCTCTCACGATTTTCTCCCCCCTCCCTCCCTCCCTCCCTCCCAAATTTACACAGATTGCAAATTATGTGTACTTATTGTTGATGCTAATTACGGTACGTAATTTGCAATCCAAGATAATAATTATAAAGCTACAAACTCCTCTCCTTCCTTCCTAATCACATCTTAATTATAGCAGTTCATTCAACCAAGTAGAAGTGATTAGCAATTAGTAGTACTGCAACAGTCTGCAAGTTGCATATGGTCCCCAACTGCAACATGCAGAGAAAAGCTGGTGGTGAAAGAAGGTTTTATTAATGGTCATAAGCTGACTCGATCACTCCTCTCTATTTATTCCCTTCTTGGATCTGCTTTTCTCCCTTACATTTCCTTGCTCAGAATTAAGATTCCCACCCTGCAAACATTTCTCTTCTTGTGCTTCTCCCACGTACTACTTCCATCTCAAATTGGTATACACAGCCAATAACTAGCTAGCTTACCTCCTTAAGGAAGAAGTAAAAGGAAATAGATGGGTGGCAGTTCTAGTGTTAAAGATTATTGCTTGATACTTCAAGCTCTCATCATCGTTGCAGCTTCTTCAGCCGGTCTGACATCAGGTCGAGGGTGGTACCATAGACACGTAGGAGGAGGAGGAGCTGGCCCTTGGATCAACGCTCACGCCACTTTCTACGGCGGTGGCGATGCTTCCGGCACAATGGGTATATCGTCCACCTATTTTCACACATTCATCCGTGCTCAATGCAGTCAAAAATCGTGCTTTAAAATTTAAAATCTTATGCTTTTACCTTTTTAGGTCACCAAAACGCTTCTACGTAAAATCGTGATTTTTCCTTTCAAATGTAGTCAAAATCTACGCTTTAAAACTTAAAAAACTTACGATTGTGCGCTTCTAGGTCACCCAACCGTTTCTACGTAGAATCGCGCTTGTGACTGCATCGTTCGTGCTCATTCACGAACTAATTAACGTTATTTATTACTAGTTCCTTAATTAACCCTATTCTCTAAATTAAATCTGATTAGCTGAACTAATTAATTGATCAATATATATATTTTTTTTTTATGTAGGGGGAGCGTGTGGTTACGGGAACTTGTACAGCCAAGGGTACGGAGTGAACACGGCGGCTCTAAGCACGGCGCTGTTCGACAACGGGCTGAGCTGTGGCGCTTGCTACCAGATCATGTGCGCCAACGACCCGCAGTGGTGCCTCCCTGGCTCCATCGTCGTCACCGCCACCAACTTCTGCCCGCCGGGAGGGTGGTGCGACCCTCCCAACCACCACTTCGACCTCTCCCAGCCCATCTTCCAGCACATCGCCCAGTACCGCGCCGGCGTCGTCCCTGTCATGTACAGGAGGTAACATTACGTTGAAAACACTTGTCGTTTGGATGAGGAATTGTAACGGATCAATTTAACACAATTGTCTCGTTTTGAGACAATTGTACCAAATTGCCTCGTTTGCCAGCAAAAAATTTTAGATGGATAAATCTGCCTGAGGTATTTTGAATTGATCCGTTTTGAGTCAATTTCAATTACCTGAGGTGGGGGCAGATAATTCGAATTGACTCGTTTTAATTGCCTCGTTTATAAAACGAGACAATTGATCAAATTGACTCATTTCTAGATTGATTCAAATAAGAAGAAAATGGAAGTCAAAATTTGTCAATTTATCTCGTGCATGGTGGATGGCGGGAATGGATCAGGTCAGTAACTTTATGGTGAGTAACCATGAGTAACCCGTCCACATCAGCATGACATCAGCATCCTCTCTCTCATGGAAAACCTTTAATTTTTCCCTCTTTAATCTTTGACGGACGATTTCTCGCTCATTTTAAGTCGAAATTTTTTTTTTTTTGCACAGTTAGATCTAGGGTTGATAAACGGTTGTCGGTTATTCGGTTAACCGCATAACCGAACCGAAAACATCGGTTAATCGGCTAACCGATAACCGTTTATTATCATCGGTTGGCGGTGTCGGTTGGGGCTTTGGGGAATTTTGGGCAACCGTCGGTTGGCGGTTTATAACCGACGACGGCGTCGGTGCACCGTATACCCGACAACACCCTCTTTTCTTTTTTGCCTGATATAATCCCTGAACCTCTCCCCGTTCCCAAGTCCCAACTCCTCCCTCGTTGCCCCGCCATCCTTATCCCTCCACTCTCCTCGAGACCTCAACAACCCCTCACATCCAGCCCTCCCTATCCCCAATCGTGAGCCTCAATCCTCCCTCTTTCTCAACCCATCATCACCTAGACCAAAACCAGACATGCAATCAAACGAAACCCTAAATCAAAATTCTCCCCACTGCCCAAAATTGACGCCGCCACCCCTTCCTTTCTTTGCCGCCGGCCTCGATTCGCGCGACCATCATACCTCTCCCTCTCCGAACTGGCCGCCTCACCACTAGCTTCCTTACCCAGTTCTGTTCTTCGGCTGCCACCACCAAAGTCCAAACCACCCCATCCTAAAACTCTTCACCCATAGTTCTGCATCTTTGCCACCACCACAAAGGAACCGTCGCTGTCCACAGCTTCAATCCGCTGCGCGTAGGTCCAATCGCTCGATCCGAGTCCAAGGTCGCGAATCCCGCCATCGGAATAGAGAAAGTTCCGATCGATGGACTTCCTCGTCTACCTCGATCGGCGTCGCTTTGCCTTGCATGTTCTACGCGGCGCCGGCAAATTCAGATCTGGATCTGCCTGATGCCTCTTCCTCCGACGGCCTTTCTCTGTCAAGATTTGGCAGCGGAAGGATTTGGGCATTTGGCAGCTCGTCGGGTCTCCTTCAAAGGCTAAAACTCTGCCTTCTTTGAAGCGGAATCGGCCGCCGTCCCGTCAACCCACCCCTGCGTCGGTCTTTAACTAACCGTGACACCGAACCGAAACCGTCGACGGCGGTTTTCGGCTAACCGACAAGTCAATCGGTGTCGGTGTCGGTTGAGGTTTTTGGGTGATTGTTGGCTGCGGTTAACCGTGTTTGCGGTTCGGTTAAAACCGAAACCGCACCGTTAACAGCCCTAGTTAGATCAGATTAATCATGGTCTTCAAAATGATATCCACTTTACTATATTTTTCGAACAAAAAAAATTGAGCCATTTTTTACGAGCCTATACCATATGGTATTGACTGGTATTGAAATAAAAGCATACCTATGTTTTGAAAAACGTACCATGGTGGTATGAACAAACCAATATTGTAGGATGGTTGAATACATGATAGTAGAAGTATATTAATTGTAATTTACGACTTTTAACATTGTATACCACACAATACCACCCCGTACCAGGGTGGTATTGTATGGTATTTTTTGGTATTTTTTGGTCCTGTAATTTGTTCACCCAGAAATTTGTAGATCCAATAGATCATGATGAACTCGTCCCTTCTGTGCAAACGTTTTCAAAAACGAATTAAAAACGAAGAAGATACCATACAATACCACCCCGTACCAGGGTGGTATTGTATGGTATTGTGTGGTATTTTTTGATCCTGTAATTTGTTCACCCAGAAATTTGTAGATCCAGTAGATCATGATGAACTCATCCCTGTTGTGCAAACGTTTTCAAAAACAAATTAAAAACGAAGAAGATACCATATGGTATGCAGTTGGTACCGAGAGGCCAGAATTTTTTTTCCTAAAAAAATATTGAAAATTGATCTCATTTTGTAGAGCACGGTGAACTCGTTCCATCTGTGCAAAAAAAAATTAAAATCCGAGTTAAAACGAAAAAGATATGAGTAAATTAAGAAAGCTAGTGAAAATAAAAATAGCCTTTAATTCTCCATCCTTAGATCTGGATTTTTTAAATGAAGGGTCCAGATTTGGTTATTGATTGGTGCATAACCCATGGTTATGCACCCTATCTTGAGCCGTGGATGGCCACCGATTTTAGGTAATTGTATTTCAGTTTTTGGACCATTATGTTGAAAACACTAAGTACTACAAAAAAAAAAAAAAACACTAAGTATGTGTAAATAGTTGAAATTATTTAGGACGGATTTAATGGCACCTTTAATAATTCGGGTTAGAGCATTTAGTTAATGATTATATGGAGTGCACCTCACTAGCTTTATTATTCAGGTGACTTAGACTTACTAAACCGTTTACATTTGAAAAATTCAAAATAACTTCTTCAATTTTTTTTTTTCTCATTCTCGTGGGAATCGTCACCAATTTAAGGTTCCACTAGATTCATTTTCTAAATTAGAGAACACAATTCGTTATTTTTGTTATCAATTATCAGTAAGTAATAAAAAAATCAACGAGTTTCAAACGGATGGACTATATATATATATCTAGGTTTAATCTAATGGTAATTTTAAAAAAAAAATTAATATCTAAGAACTAGACATTTTAACCACGTGGTAAAAAGTAAAAAAAAAACCCCATAATATAACTGCTTGGATATCTTGTAACACATTAATCATATGTTTGTGGTTCTGTATGCATATTACAGGGTGAGGTGCAGGAGAAGAGGCGGGATAAGGTTCACGGTCAACGGCCACTCCTACTTCAACCTTGTCCTCGTCACCAACGTCGGAGGCGCCGGCGACGTCCATTCCGTCGCCATCAAGGGCTCGAGAACAGGGTGGCAGCAGATGTCCAGAAACTGGGGACAGAACTGGCAGAGCAATTCCTACCTCAACGGACAGAGCCTCTCCTTCCTCGTCACCACCAGCGACGGTCGAGCTCTGGCGTCGTACAACGTTGCACCTCCAAGTTGGTCCTTCGGCCAGACATATACCGGCCGACAGTTTAGGTATTAATGACAATATATTGTTTCGAGTGGTTACTTATACTATAAACAATATTACAATATGGTATTTGGGAGATCGTTATCGTGATGGAAATGTTAATAAACGGTATATGATTCACGATTGAACCTCTTCCAACAACTCGAGTTATTGGGACCAACTGGTTCTTTACATGGTATAAGAGTCTTCTGTGACCGAGAGGTCTTCTGTTCGATTCCCGGTGACCCATATCTGTTTCTGTTGTTTCTGTTAAGCACACGGTGTCCGGATGAAGGGTGTGTTAATAAACGGTATATAATTCACGATTGAACCTCTCCCAACAACTCGAGTTATTGGAACCAACTAGTTCTTTACGGGAAACTCGCTCACATGCTCGACATTAATTTGGTAGTTACGAGTATAATTGAAGAAGTGAAAGGGTGGTGGAGATAATTGATCGATGTATTAGGCCTAGGAGACAAACTTGAAAGCGATTAGTTAATGTACTGTTGTTGGTCTCTGGGTCCATCGTCATTTTATCAGCTTGCCATGCAAGGCTGGGTTTTTTCCCCTCTCGTTACTTTTTTTTTTTATGAAGGTGATATGCAGTGGCGGAGCCACTTGAAGATGAGGGGGGTGCTTGCACCCCCCTTGGGTTTGGGGACAAAAATTCCCAGTAGGGGTATACACAAATTCGACCTAGCGATCATTCAGTTGTAAAAGAATTCCTTAACATATCGAAAGAGTGAGTTTTGATATGCAATGCACTTTTGTTTTTATTTATAGTAATAAATCATTGTCTTTTGTTTAAACAAAGCTGAAAGCGATTAAGTACCAATTGAAGTTCACTTGTTTGTTTCACAAAATCAATTTCAATGTACTTCTGAGTTCTAATTTGTAATATTTGATGAATGGAAGTCTTGACTTGTATGTACTGAACTTATTTGTTTGACGTTGTAATCGGTGTAGGTGAAACTATTTCTATGTAATTGTATTAATTTAGAGTATTGTGTTGTTGACTTTTTGTTTCATTTAGAGTTGACTTTTTTATTATATAGGTGATTTTATGATATGATAAAGACACCCCCTTGGCCAATTTTCTGGCTCCGCCACTGGTGATATGTAGTGGAGAATCGAATATTTTTTTTCCTCCAAGTTTCGGCAGCTTGTTACTATGTATTGTATACAAAATTCGATAATATTGAACAAAATGGGAGAGAAACAGCAATGAAAAATTATTGTATCTCGTAACGGTATTGGATAAGGTTCATATATCTATATATGGTTCTTTTCCAACAATGTTTCGTGTGTGTTTTTAATACGCGCGTCTGTGATTTTTTATATGTAATAGTCATCAAGTTAGACACATGTTGATTTTCATGAATTGGTGTGTAGATGAATCATATCTAAGTCACTTATTCAAATCAGATAGCTACATGCCATGTGAGACTATGAAAGTAATTGAGATTTTGGGAGCATCCGTAGTTCACTATCCTCCTCTTAAATGAAACATGTGCATGACAAAGATATTTTGTTTCTAAACTTGTTTTACCGCTTGAACCGACAATCACTTCACGATCTCTCCATATGTGAATCTGTGATAACATATAAATTTCAGCGAACAAGGGTCTAATCTAGTAGTCTTAGGCATTAGTATTGAATATGAAAGTCTAATATTCGAATTCCAAAAAAAAAAAAAAGCCTAGCTACTATAATTTCGACCGTATCGATAAGAAGAAACGAAGAAGGATATTGGCTTTGGCTTTGGAACAATGGAACGGACGGACCTACTCCAAGTTGATCTATATATGGGCTTCTGTTGTGTGCTAGCCCAATCAAATTTGAGATTGCTCAATTTTATAAACCAAAATGGAGCCACAAGTTTTATCCCGGGTTGAGCCCACCGATGGGATTGGATCGTTGCCAAGCATCTTTTGGCATGGAAACTTTGGGCACGGAAGTACGGAACGCTTCACCATTCCTTCGTTTTCACAGAACACATCACATTCATTTCGATCTTCTACTTCCTCTTCTTAGTAGCAATTTCGTTCTGCTTCAAGGATTCCCAATACGAAAAAAAAGCCCGAAGAATCCGAATCACATGTTATTCTTTTGGCAATGGAAGGAATGGACTATATGGGGTTTGGATTGTTTTGGTTTATAGTGTGTTGATCAATCCTCTTGTTAATGGATAAATAGTGAATGACAATTGGACGTGGAGGGGCGGGTATCTCAATATCCATACTCTGCTGCACGTTTGCTACGGGTCGGGACGGGTAAAACACGTGTGGGTACGAGGTGGGGCGGGTCGATAAACTCTTACATGTTATTTGAAACAAACATATATAAATTTTACTTTTTACGATAAAACGAAATAGAAAGCACTTTATAAATTAAAAATAGTGATAATAGAATGGGTAATTGAGTCTAACTAGTTGAAAGGTCGACTCTTACAAATTGAAAAAAGTAAAAAAGAAGAAATATATATAGATATTGTAAGAAATTGAGGTAGAATGGGCCAAGAACGGGGCAGGGCGGGTGGGAAGTAGATATCTATGTCCGCCCCACGCTACAACAGGTCGGGTAATACCCGCCCCATCACAGATCAGCTCGGATAATACCTGCGGGGCGGGTTCAAATTGCTATCACTATGGATAAATAACGAGGAAGGACGATGGTGTCACTGCGTCAAGCAGCTTTTTTGTGTTTCCAGAATCTAATCTATCAAACAAGAAAGAAATTGGTTTGTTGTCTATGTAGATAAGAGTTCTTTATCTATTTGTTAAACCAAATGCCCGGTTGTAATATCTATGGAGTCTCATCGCGATCCTTTGTCAGGTCATCGTCCGCATCTCTGAGTTGCAAAAATTTGTTTTAAGTGTGTTGTCTAGCTAAACAAGAAAAGACCAATATGCCCGGTTCTAATATCTATGGAGTCTCATCGCGATCCTTTGTCAGGTCATCGTCCTCATCTCTGGGTTGCAAAAATTTGTTTTAAGTGTGCTGTCTAGCTAAACAAGAAAAGACCAATATGATCTAACAACATTTTGGCTAGTCTACCCTATGCTCCTAGGGCTAAAAGACGCGCTTCCCTGGTCTTTTGAGTCAAAGGGTGTACTATTAACTATTTTTACTCCTAAAACTAGGCAGGACAACATTAGAGAATTTGGGCATGCTCCATACTACCCTTGTCTCAAGGTTGAGCTTATGTAGTTGGTTTACACACAATTCATAGCCGTTAGAAGCATGATTGGTTATGTAATATTATTGTTACTGCATACATTCAACAATCATATATTTCGAGTCTTGAGACCCAGCATTCAACCAAGTTATTATGTGCTTATGCCAAGGGAAGCAAGATAACCAAATGCACATTAGAACAGTGCAATCTGCAAGCTACTAATGTGGTTGTTTGTTTTGCAGAGACTAGAAGAGAGAGAGATAAGAGATGGCAGGGTGTTAAGGGATGGCAATGGGTCGGGTTGGGGCGGGTTTTGTCAAACCCAAACCCAAACCCATGGGTTTATTCGTCGAAAAAACCCGGGGTAAAACCCGTTGGGTTTGAAAAACTCAAACCCAACCCAACCCATTGGGTATCCGCGGGTTCATGGGTACCCGTGGGTTTTTGTGGTAAAAATTTACAATAACAAGTTTATTTCAATATAAAAGTTTAACATCAATTTTCTCATACAAAAACACCAATCTAGAGCATACAAGCAAACCGCAAATGATCAATACAAATTGTTCAAAATTAAAGATAAACATGCATAAACAATAAGATTAATTGAAAGCTTCTTCCTCGTCAACTAAGTTTCTTCACTTTCCACTTCATAATATCAACTTCATTCTAAACAATTAGAAAGAACCAATTATACATGTCTCCACAAACATAAAGAATATTAGTTATTTAAGGAAGATATATTATTTAGAATATTAAATATATCGGGAAAGTAATTATATGTGTGGGCGGGTACCCATGGAGCGGGTTTACCTAAACCCAAACCCAACCCGACCCGGTGAATAGTGTAGCGGGTTTAAACCCGAACCCGGCCCAAAACCCGTCAACACGGGTTTTACCCGCGTTGACCGGGTTGGGTCGGGTGGGTACCCGTGGGTTCGGGTTTTGTTGCCATCCCTAGTGTTAGTGGTGGTGAGGTAATTCTAGCAGAGAAAGAGTCAAAGTTATTACATCAGTTTTCTTTTTTAGAGTCGGAGGGAAAATGAAACTGCTTTGTCAGAGGGTGCAGGCCAGATAGCAGGGGAGCAGGCAGAGAAAGGATGAGTACTCGTGTGGATTTCTGTTACAACTTACTGCAACAACAACAAAAAAAACACCCCACCACCCCTTTTCTTTGCCCAAGTACACTCTTCTTCCCCCCATTTCTTTCCTCTATTCACTCTGCTTCCTCCCTCTCCTCCCCCCCTTCTGTTTTTGTTTGCTTTTCCCGTTTTAGAACCATGGAAGTGACCTTCATGTCACAGTTGCATAACACAACAACAAGCACCACCACCACCACCACCACTGGCTCCAGCTACTGCTGCTGTTGCTGCTGCTGTCATCAAGACAAGGATGGCTGCTGCTTCCCCAATCACATCTCTCCCATTCCTTCCTCTTCTTCAGATGCTCATTATCATATACATTCTTCTCCCTCTCAAACTCAACTCACACCACCACATACCCTTTTGGCCTTTCCTTCTCCAGACATGGCCAAGTGCAGTAATAACGACAGCAATAACAGCAATGTGGAGAGGCAGAAGAAGAAGAGCATTGATGATAGCAGGTGCTTGAAAGTTAGTACTGCTAAAGGGCATTGGAGGCCTGCAGAGGATGCTAAACTCAAGGAACTTGTTGCCCTTCATGGCCCTCAGAACTGGAACCTCATTGCAGAGAAGATGGAAGCAAGATCAGGTGGGTGGTTTGGTAACTGCACTTACCTCTTACTCTTCTTTTCTACTATTTCTCTGTCACTCAGGGTTTTTTTTTGTCTCATTCTTCTGCTTCTTTGACTGATTTTTGAAGGTAAAAGCTGTAGACTGAGGTGGTTCAACCAGCTGGATCCAAGGGTGATCAAGAGAGCCTTCAGTGAAGAAGAGGAAGAGAAACTGATGGCTGCTCATAGAACTTATGGCAACAAATGGGCACTGATTGCCAGGTTTTTCCCAGGGAGAACTGACAATGCGGTTAAGAATCACTGGCATGTTATAATGGCTAGGAAATACAGAGCACAGTCCTGGAATAATTGCAGGGCCAGAAGAGAGATCAACCAGTCTTCCACTGCTAATTGTTTTGTTGGGCAAGAAGAATACGCTCCCAGTGGCAGCAGCCAGGAATCATTATCACTCCATTGCCCATCTGCAACTTCCAGTGGAGGAGGAAGCACTAATGCTGCTTCTCCTGGAGACACCAATAGCAAAGGAGGAAAAGAAACAGTGGGAAATTGGAAATCATCTTCATCTCCAGTATTGTTTGTTAGGAGCAGCAATCCCAAGCCCAACTATTTTCAACAACAACAACAATCCCTCATGGCCTATGGTGTCTTTTCTGGTTTGCTCCAAAATGCAGTTTAAAAGTTGCTTTATTTTCCTTCTTATCAGTGTCCACATTGTGCTCCATGGTTCCACTTCCAAATCTACTACTCATAGTTTTCCCCCATCCAATTGTAGAGAAAGACTTCCACTGCCATGTGATAAATGACACCATGGTTCTTCCCCAAAATTTGCAGGTCAGGAGGGCCACTGGAGTCCCATTCTGAAGAAGAAGCAGAGTAACATGGTGAAAGATGATGGTACCACCAACACCACCACCTTCACTGCTTTCATTGGCAAGCAAGCATCTGGAGTCACAGTCAGTGAAGCATCAACGTCATCATCATTATTATCACTATCACTAGCAAGGAACCCAGAAACCACAGCAGCAGAAGCAACAACAACAAGGGACCTATTCAACACCAGCAAACCCTCAGCCCCACCACCACCATTTATAGACTTCCTTGGAGTTGGAGCCTGAAGATACAGAAAGATGTAAAGTTTCCAAACTAGGTAAAAGGGAGACATGGGGAAAGAAAGAGACACTCGTGTGGGTAGTGGGTTAGGATTATATATGAGATCAGTATGTTATCATGAGCCGGGGAAAAGATGCATTTCCCAAGGAGGCAGTGTTTCTGGGTTAGGACTAACTCAAACAGGTTAGCTAGCTAGTAGCCTTTCAAGTTTCAACCTTCGTGTTTGTAACAAAGAATCAATCAATCCTCTTTTGCCTTGTCAATCTACTTCTTTCTGAATTTTGCATGTATTTTCTTTTTTGGGTTAAGTTTACGCAGCCCCAATATTAAGCATAAAAAGGGGTAGCTCTGGAAGAAGCATGGGAATAGCATTAGTCCCATTTCAGTAACAGACTTCCTTAAATTCTGCTGCCTAAAACTGCTGGACAATTAAATTCCAGCAAGGAAGTGGCCAAGTGTTTTGTCATCTCGTTTGTGTCAAACATTCAGAACAGACAAACAAAAAACTATTATAATAATAATAATATTCATGGACGGTTACCAGAAAATCGCAACATGCAACAGTAAGCAAGTAACAAAACTGGGGAAAAGAGGCTTGTGGTGGGCCTTACAGCAAAAGCAGGACAACAGTGGTAGTTTTCACAATACTGTTTCTTTTCTTCTGTGTGTTGTGTTGTTTACGTTTCACTGTGGCCTAGCAGACTTCAGGTGAGAGTTTCATCAACTCCATTAAATACTATAGATCCCTACACACGAGGGGGTTATTTTATTTGACTCTGCCTCGCATGAATTTGAAAAGCAGGACTGTAAACAATGTGCTTGTGGTCAATTGGTTCAACGGTTCATGTTGAAGATGGAAAAAAGTAACAATATGAACATAACTCCTGAACATTATGAAACTTGGGTTAGCGAGTGAAAACCTGTGGAAGGAGCTCCTTGACATTCGAGGCAAGCTACATCACACTTTCTGTTTGCCGAATCAAATGCTTGCACTCTGAGCTATAGTCCCAGGTTTAGTAGATGAGCAAGCATCCTCAAGTTCTTGCTTCGACAGAAGCCTAGTGGAGTGAGCAAATTTTGCTACCTGGCAGGAATTAACGTCAGCTGGGGTTGCTGGTTGCACCATAAAGTAGTTGTCAAGAGCTTTGATGGTTTTATCTATGAAAGCCGATCTCTGCAAATACTCCCTCATCCGGCACACAAATTCTGTGTGGTCTCTTGCCTGCGACAAAATAAGTATATCCTTTCAAGTTTCAACAACACAAAGGATTATGCCATGGATGCCCAACAATTGTAAGATTATGGAAAGCCAACCACGCATATCATAAGACCCTTCCATCAGAAAGCTAACGAAAAAAACTGGTAAATGAAAACAATGTTCTACCGATCTGTACTCCGGAGCACGGGAAGGTAGCTTCAAATAAGTCATATTCCGATCCTCATAGTCCCACAAAAAGGAAGTATGGTGAATCCACCGGTCTTTAGTTATGGATTGTGCATTCCCACCAAACTTGCGATTACCAAACACATAATCTGGTAACAGAACAAAACACCATGATTTGGAACACTGAAATATAGGCTGCATGGCAGAAGCAAAAAGATAATGTGGCGGACTAGGCAATGTCTCAAAACAGTTTCTAATGGAAAGCTTTTGCTTACCATTCTCCCGCAGTTGAAAATCCCCAATTCCTTGGAACACTTCATCATACAATTTACCACTCCAAGACATGATTGAACGAGGATATGGTTGCACCTTAGGAACAGCATCCTTGTTGCATATGAGAGTAACAAAAATAGTCCCTTCATCGACTATAACCGTACCACCACCAGTAAATCGTTTGATAACAGGAACATTATCTCCAATCACAGACTCGAGTTCAAGAAGTTCAGCCGGTTTCCTGCACCGATATTCATATCTATCAATTTCACGCCTCAACAGTTACCAAGATTACATTTTGGCAGAACCACATGAGATTAGCTCCTTTACCCTGATACTCCCATGACTATGGTAGGGGCATCTGCTCCATCATTCAAAATACACCAGTTATCTGAAGTCGTCCGTAGCAACTTCTCCTCCAAGTTGAGTTGGTCGAGTATGGGCATTCCCTTGAATCTAACAAGATTCATCAGCGGCAGCCCCAGTTTTTCAGATTGACGAAGTAAACCCATTGTCTTCTTCAGCCTATAGAATTTGCAGTGGAATGGTCAAAATCCAAATTCAAAACCACACAAAAGGAAGGAGAAACGGACCAAGTTGGAAGCTTCAATGAAGCAAAGGGCATAGTTGACGGTGAAAGCGCGGGAAGAAAAAGGTCCAGACCAATTGGAAATTACCTCGACAAATAGGTCACCGGGAAACTCACCGCAAAACTTGATCGGGATGTACCGAAACAGAGTTCCAAGAAGAAGAAGAGATACTGTCGTGGCCTCCGGTGTATGTTGGATCGATTCTATTCGTCACAGGCAGCAGCCAACTATGAACGAGCACGAAGAGAGCCAGCGACGAGGGAGACCACTGACGACGACGACTCCGAACGCCGCGCGTGTGACTTTTCTTTTCGTTTATCGGGTGAAAGAAGAAATGCGAATTAGTGATATTTGCAAATTACACAAACAGTCACTGAGTTTACGGTCACTAGCCAAATTGGTTGCTGAGCTTTTAATTTTTTTAGGGCTAAATTGCAAGTTTGGTCACTGAAATTACTAAAAAGTTTCACGTTTGCCACTCAAATTAGTTTATTCCTTTCATGGTCACTAAAATTAGTTCAACAGTGCAAGTTTGGTCACTCTCCGTTAGTCTCCGTTAACTTTTGCTGATGTGGCAGTCAACTCTAATAGTTGACCGTCAAATGTGTGACGTGTCAATTAAAAAATTATTAAAAAATAAAATTTAAACTTTTTATAATTTCCACCTCATTTTCAAAACTATTAAAAAATTGAAATTAAAATTCCACAGGATCCCTCCATCGGGAATGCTTACCTAGAAGTGAGAGAGAACAGAGTCGAAGTTGTATGAACAAAGTTCGGAGAAGAAATTGAAACCCGACTCGCCAGTCGTCATCTAGCGCTTGCTCAGAAGCCGAGAGCTGCCGCCGGAGGGTGTGGACGGCGTCTCTGACGATCCTCCTTGCGAAATCCTTAGAAATTCCAGTCAGGAGAAGAGCTCGCCTCGTGTATTAGCTAGGTTTCCTAAGCAAGACCGACGCCCATGACGACGCTGGATCTAACCGAAAGCTGGTTGCAAAGCTGTTACCCATCGATACAAACCCCAAGTGTATCGATCAGTCAAGGGGGACACACGCCGTAGGAGATGCGACGGAGAAGGAGGCGATTTGATGTGGGATTCGTTCGATTCGTACAGAGTCAAAACTGAGGGGGTTTTAATTCCTTCTGCGCGCAGAAGGAGGTGGCGGCCAAAACCTCAATCCGCGGGTAAAACCATGATATCCTTCACTCTAAATTATTTAATTTCCTCTTGTCGGCGCCGGCGACCAAGCTGCACCCCTTCCGCCTCGGCCACCTGAACCCGTCGCCGGTGTCGTTCTCACGACAGTTGTATGGGGAGACATTAACTGAGAACGGCCATTAATAGATTGGTCTCAACATTTCGCCATCCACGCTTGATTGTGTTGCTTGTCTTATTGGTTCGCATGGTTATAGAGTTGTTATGACTTTATATGCAGAAAAGTTTGAATCTTTTTGTCTCAACTATAGACATTGCAGTTGAGTGAGAGGTTAAAGGAGATCTCATGTTGCCCGACATGGGCCAGGTATGTCCTTTGGTTAATCCGAAGCTCTATACATGGTTAGACTCGAGCTTCACAAGTCGTAGATATGGAATCGGAGAAGCGGTGGCGCTCCGTGACGCCGAGCTCAAAGGGACCGGAAAATATAATTTTAAATTTTATTTATATTTAATTTATTTTTATAATGAGGTGCAAATTATAAAAAGTTTAAATTTATTTTTTAATAATTTTTTAATTGCCACGTCACACATTTAACGGTCAACTATTAGAGTTGACTGCCACATCAGCGAAAGTTAACGGAGACTAACAGAGAGTGACCAAACTTGCACTGTTGAACTAATTTTGGTGACCATGAATGGAATAAACTAATTTGAGTGGCAAACGTGAAATTTTTTAGTAATTCTAGTGACCAAACTTGCAATTTAGCCATTTTTTAGTGAACATTTTGGTTGAAATTTAGACCGTTTTGACATAGTAATCACTTCGTCTATTAGCGTTTTAGTTCATCTAACTTAATTATTAAAGGATGTATATCAATTCATAAACTAACTTTCGATAAGGAAAAAGGTATCCTACATGTTTTGAGTATAAGTGAACTGATTGGAGTTTGAATTCATGCTCATTAATAGGGGTGGGCATTGGGTGGGTCGGGTGGATTTTGACCATAAAATGCACCCACCCGCGCTTAAACGGATTGATAATTTTTAACCCACCACCCACCCACATTTAGTCTCGGGTTGGGTCGGGCGGATGGTGGATGATTCGGGTGGGGTTGTGGGTTCACCCACATCACAATGTATATAATATAAAGGAGTCAACTTGACATGATAATAGGTGAAGAGAGTTATCGGGGGGAAACAAGAAGATGAAATAGGGCGAAAAATGTCGAATTGGCTCTTAAACTGGATAGAAATTCTATTATGAAAGAGTTTTCTACAGATTGAGATGATTATCAGGTGCAAGGAACTAAGAAAAATAATTTCACAAAGGAAAGAGTGGTGATCTAGGCATAAGAATTAAAGAAAAAAATAAAGGGAAGAAGAGGGGATCGCTATTTGGAAGGTTGGCTTTGAGGTTCAAACTCGAGGAGCAGTCCTAGTTTATGTCTAACGTCTCCACTCTCCCCTCTCTAGCGCCGACGACTTTGATCTTTTCGCTGTTGGGTTGAGCGGGTCACCCACGCACACACCCACAACCCACCCACCACCCGGCGGATGGCTCCCAGCGCAACCCGTCACCCACCCATAGACCCACCCACTTAACGAAATTTGGATCAAATGCGGGTGGGTCGGCCCAAACCCGCGGATGATCCGCCCGCATGCCCCGCCCTACTCATTAGTGTGATCTACTTAGTGTTTATTGGTCGAGAACCATAATAACCCGCAATGATATAAATCTAAACTCGCTAAAGTATATAAATTATCATTGTTATTTGCGTTTAATCAATGATATTTATACAATATATAGAATTCAAGAGATAATATCGGTCTCATGCATCACTATAACCAATAATTTTTTATTTTTAATAAAAATAAAAGTCAGTAACTAAATAACTAATTTTCAGCAGGATTCCAGGGAAAATATTCTCAAAATTCTGATTAGGGATTCCGGGGATTAGATTACCTTCCCGTTCGTAGCTCACAGGCTATTAGGTGAATTGTAGAAAATATTGAAATTTTGAGTTAATTACATTTGGATTAACTTATTATTGATTGCCCAGGTTTTGGATCTCTCGCCTCTGACGCTGCTGACTGTTGCCAGAGTCCAGAGAGTCAGAGAGAGATTGAGAGGGCTATGGCGTTGAGATCCTCCGGTAGAAAACTATCCTTTGAGATCTTAACGAAGAGCAATTCTCTGGAAGAAGACCAATTACTTCTCCTCAGCCAATCAAGCCCCGATACCGCGAGATCGAGCCCGACGAACAACATTCCCAAGAAGAAGCGTAGGAGGAACAAGCACAAGAAGTCGAGCCCTCATGCCGATTCCTACTCCACAATCGCCGAAGATCCATCGGCGGCGGGAAGCAGCCTCGCGGGTTCAAATTCAAATTCCAATTCCGTGATCGAGTCGCCGATATCTGCAACGGGGGAGTTGCAAAATGGAAGCGTGTTCATGGAGGATAGGTTTAGCAGCCGTTACGGTGGAGGAGGCAGCGTGGTGTGTACTACACCAACAATCACTGTCGTCGAGTGTGTGTGCGATAACTCTACAAACAACGGCGGCAACAGCTATGTCGAGTTGAGGCAGCGGAATGTTGTAAGCGTAGGAGGAGAAGGAGAGGGAAGGAATGATGAGGATTTGCCTTCTGTTTTGAGGGTGATTGGAGAGACTACCGTGGAGCGCGAGTTGGAGGTCGTTTCTGATGATAAACCGCGAAATGAGCCGCCGCCGATGCCCAATGGCGGTTGCTTGCCGAGGTTGGAGACTGCAGAGTCATTGGATTGGAAGCGACTCATGGCCGAGGATCCTACTTGTAAGTAAACAGTTTCTGTAAATTATGTTTTGATGCTTCAGAAGGCCATGAATGTTCATGAAAGTGGTGATCTTGTTCTGCTTATTTGAACCTTATTATCACAGGCCAGCTGATCCCATATCAAAAGGCTCCCTTTTGCTGTTAATGAGTGTTTATTTTGTAGGACCTTGTGTCTTATTCCATGCTGTTTACGTTTTTCACTGTTACATTTGCTGCTTCAGATCTCTTTTCAGTGGAGAAGTCACCATTGAATTACTTCATGGATGAAATAGACGAAGGCAACTCATTACGGCGAACAACAACTCTTGGCAGTGAGAAAGAAAGGGAGAGGGTATACGACACTCTATTCCGCTTACCATGGCGATGTGAGCTGGTAATCCGAATTATCTTTTCTGGTCCCGGGTTTCAGCTTCTGTGAAGTCCTAGGTTACCTGTCTTTTTGATTTATAAGCCTTTTCATCCTGTCTTGTTTTAACACGAAAAGGAATTACTATTGCAGCTTATTGATGTTGGCTTCTTCGTGTGTTTGGATTCCTTCCTGTCACTGTTGACTGTCATGCCAACAAGGGTTCTGATGACTCTTTGGAGGCTTCTCAAGAGAAGGTTAGTCATACATGTACTTGCACACATACATCAATTCTTGGACCAGTAAAAAGAGTGATTATTAGGCCAGGGCTTGTTCTATATTGCAATGATCATCTTCAATTTCCTCTGAGTTGACTCCAAATGCTTTCTTCCCCCAGTTTCAAGTTATGCTTAGTCTTTTTTGAAGACAAGCTAAGATCTTTCATCTTACTGTTTACTATAGGGTATAGTCCCAATTACACGTCCTGCAAATTTTGAGGAAGAATGTTCTATAGGATATGCTAAATGCTCTATTCATTAGCACTTGGTAGTTGTGTTCAGTAAGGATCTTGAACCCTTAAAGAACAATATTTACAACATAGAAAGTTCTACTATAGTTTACACCTGTGCTGCTGTCAACGGAAGGTCTGAATTGCGAGATTTCTGTTGCTCATTTGAGGTTTTTAAATTTTTTTACTTAAGTCGGACTAATCTGTCGAGGGATTTATGTGGCACTAGTCTGTGATTTTGAATGGTTAATGGAAGGCCTGAATTGCTAGATTTCGGGGTCACTTTTTGTTCTGCTTTGGAGCCCCTGTGATGTTTTTTCCCCTTTTCCTACTCAATTTAAGCCTCTTTAAGTATCTTCCTGTGATGGGAGAAGACTTGCTGGAATTTATCAACTAAATTGTGAAGGTATTTGCTGAATCAGTTAGGGATCAGGCCTTCTAGCCTTTAATAACTTGAAGAACCAATGTTTGTGTGTCAGCATGTTGATGGATATCATAGGATAGTTTTTTTTAACACTTTATTTTTGGCTTAATCTCTTATTGAATAGATAGGTGCTCCATTGTGAGTTTGTTTGAATGATTTTATTGGATTTAGATGCAACGTTCTGGTTTTTATTTAACATAACTTCAGAGATAGGTTCGATATAGTTTATCATGACATACCTTTTTGTTTGGTGGTCTGGGTCGAAATTAGTGTTTATTTAACCATTTTGTGTATATGATTGTTGATTTTTCTTCCTGATCCCTGAAGTTTTCCACTTTGTTGAACATGAATATGCTTATCATTTCATGGATGCACTAGGCATGCAGTAAATAATTCCTGGAAAATGATTTAACTTAAATCTTAATTTTGGGTGGATAAATCTTATGAAACTAATATTTACAAAATTATCTAACCATGTTTATGGCAGGCAGTTCCAGAAGCTCTCTGCTGCGGACTGGTCAGATTTTGGCTGCTTTATTGTGTTGGCCTCTGGAGTCCTTCTTTTAGACCGAACAGGTACACTACCAGCTGCTATAGGTTTTGGGCTTCGGGTTTTTTGAAATCGGGAGGGGATAGTGTTGTGCTTTTGTTTGCTTTTTGTTTAACTAGTAATGCCAACCACTGAAATTCCTAATTTTCTTATTTCAGATATCAGCTTAATATATCACATGATTCGTGGTCAAGGAACGATCAAACTATATGTGGTTTACAATGTTTTGGAGGTGAGACTTAAAAATAAGCATTATTTTCAGTTCTCACAGACTTCAGAAACTTAGATTTACTAATGATTTCGAACAGCTTAATGAGTGTTCCCCTCTTCATTTAAAAAATAAAGGGTATCAAAGATTTCGAAAACCATGTCTCTTTGTCCCAACGTTAGTTCAGTGGGTAGAGCAGAGGACTGCAGTAGACTTTAGCTGTCATTATAAGAAACCATGCCTCACAGTTTCAATGGTGGTTATAATTAGTGTTTATTTAGTCAGATTTATGGAGAAGTCAAATTTTAGGAAAAGGTGTCACTTGGCATACCATAGAGCTTCACCATCAGTAGCTAATGATTTATAATTTGGACTGAGCTGATTTTGAGTCGGATCAAGAAAGTCGGAGATGAACTTTTGCCATATGTGCAGATATTTGATAAATTATGCCAAAGTTTCGGAGGAGATGTATTTCAGACATTGTTCAATTCTGCTGAGGGGCTTGCTAGCTGCCCACCAGAAACCAAAAGATTCTGGATTTGGAGATTTCTTGCAGATCAAGTCTTGGCAATGGCATTTTCCAATATCCTTTATTGATGCCTCTGTGTTTTCATCCACAGTTTCGTTTTTTTATGAATAGTTCATTTGTTACATTGTTTCCTTGACTATTTTATACTTCTCCATTCTTTCCTTCTATTAGCTCAGGCAATTACTTTATCCACATGCATTGTTGCTCACAATAATGCATTATTGGCTTTGCTGGTATCAAATAATTTTTCGGAGATAAAAAGCAATGTCTTTAAGCGTTTCAGCAAAGAGAACATTCACAATATTGTATACGCTGGTGAGTTCCTTCATTATAATCATCTGCATTTTGACACCTTTTTTTGTCGTACCTTTTATTGCCTTCAATCTTTCAAAGTAATAAGTTCCATTCTAATGGGAAGGCATTACTCCTTCAGTCCTTTCATCCTTTGTGCTGATTATAGCAGTCGAATGTCATTGAACCCAATTTCATGTTTAAAGTTTAAACATTGATGACTTTTCAAGTGATTGTCTAACTTTGCAGTAACGTCCTTACCTATTGCTTTCCACCAGATTCAGTGGAGAGATTCCATATTACAGCATTTCTACTGTTTGTTTTGGCTCAAAACATCCTAGAAGCCGAGGGTCCATGGTTTGAGAGTTTTGTTTATGTGAGTCACTTCAGAGGTTACATACATAATTGAAATTCCTATAGGGCTTTCATTATCTAGTATTCTGATCCATTTCCTTCCCCGAACCTTGTTTCTGATTGCAGAATGCACTCTTGGTTTTTGTATGTGAAATGTTAATCGACATCATAAAGCATTCATTCCTTGCAAAGTTCAATGACATAAAACCTATCGCCTATTCTGAATTCTTAGAAGAGCTGTGCAATCAGGTACCCTATGCTTTGTATATTGTGGTTTTGTTTCAGAAGCGGAAGTTTAGTCCTTTTGCTACTTGTTCCTTGCTCAACCCATGTCGTTTGCTTTTGCAGACTCTAAATATTCAATCTGGGGACAAAAAGAAGATTCTCACTTTTATACCGCTGGCACCAGCATGCGTAGTAAGTCGTGATAGAAGTTTCCCCTCCTACTATGTTTACAATTGAGTGCTGCTCATATTCATCACCAAATGGAACAGTTTGTCTTGGTTCTGTTGGGTTAAGAGCATTAATCTATTGTTTGCAGGTCATCCGAGTGCTCACTCCAGTATATGCAGCTCACCTACCGTACAGCCCACTCCCTTGGAGACTCTTCTGGGTATTCCTGTTGACTTCCATAACCTTTGTCATGCTCACAAGCCTGAAGATAATGATCGGTATGGGACTGCAAAAGCATGCCTCTTGGTATGTAAACAGGTGCCGCAGAAGGAAACACCATCTTCACTCCGAGTAATCCTGGCATGGAATAAGTAGAGAAAACGAAATGGGTGAGATATCAAACTCCATTCCTTCCAGCTCCACTGCTGTCATGAGTTATAACGGGAGTCGCCTCAAGTTTTGCCAGAACAATCTTTCTTCTCCATTATAGCCAGCTCGCTGACTCATCGCTGTCTTATGATCGGAGAGAAGTTATCCCGTCACTCGAGCTTGCCTGTATGGTAAAATTTTGTTTCAATCTCGTGCTTTCATTTTCGACTCGAGAGAGCACGAAATCTTACAATGTAATCATAATGAAGCCTCCTGCATTCTCAAGAACCTCAAGGGCAGCTAGCTTCCTCTGTTTTTTGTGTTTAATAGTTGGGACTTGGGAGTGTATGAGCTACATTGATAGAATGAGCATATGCATAGAAATAGTTCAGCCCTAAAGTGTACAAATTTAGTTTCCACCTTTACGTGTGTTTGGGGTTGGATGGTGCTATAGCTTCTGCAACTCCTTTTATTTTACGATTACTTGGGGGTTGGTCCTTCAAACATTCTCTTACCCACCGAGTCAGAGCATACCCAACTATTCTTTCGTATTGGTGAGATTTAACGATTACATTTACAGAATACACAGATGAAAAGGGAAAGAAGGAAGAAAGAAAAAAAAACAGGGGAATAGTATTCCCTTTTTGAACAAGACCCCCAGAATTTAAAAGTTAAACCCTCTGCACAAAATTATGGAGGAAGGAGGAGGATCTAGTCGGGAAGCCGCTCGGCTAGGCGGCGCATCTAAACAAGTTGACGACGATGTCGGTGGTGATCTTCTGGCCGTGCTGGACGAGAACCCGGCGGCGCTTCCCGGCGAAGGCGAGCAGGACCAGCACGGTGATCCAAGTGATCATGACGGCCCTGCTGGCGACGACGACAACCAACGAGGCGAAGATGAAGCCGGCGGCGAGGACGAGGGAGCTGTTTAAATTCGGGGAGTAAGCAGCAGCAGCAGCAGCGACGATCACGATGACAGCGGAGACAGCGAATACGATGAGGGAGAAGAGCAGCACAGCTGGCGTGGCTGCTGTAGTTCGAGGAGCTGCTGGTGATGGTTTGGGTAGCGGCGGCGGCGGTGGCAGAGTCATTGAAACGTCAATGGCTGGATAATTGAGGACTTGAGAGAGAACGAGAGAGTGGAAGGGGGAAGTCGGGAAGAGGAAGGGAGGAAGGTTCATGGCTGGCTAGGTGGGGGATAATTGAGGAGAGCAAAAAGAAAGGGAAGCATGTGCTTCCACGTGGACAATTTTGATCGTGTGGGGGCTTGGGGTAGCTGAGCAGAATCGATGCAGAAAAAAGTTTCAGAATTAAAATTTTTTCCCTTTATCAAATTGCTCCATCAAAATTTTATATTGTCAATTGATTGAATTAGGTCTAACTATTTCAAAACAAAATTATTGATTCGAATTAATTTGTTACTTCTCATCTAAAAGGAAATTCTTTCGGTCAACTTATCGAAGTACAAAACTAGTTTTTTTAAGAGAGAAAATTCGAAATTTTGATCGAGTTAATATTTATTAAGTTTTTTTTATAGTAGGATCAATTTAGGGTTAATTCCACATTTGCACTACGAACTTTCACAAAGAAAACGTTTGCAATAACAATGACATAAAATTTTCAAAAGATATCTTTCTGAAGTGAACCATAATTTGTGAAATTGTGTTATATCTTGGTTGGGACACAGAAAAATCATGTAAGCTTTGTATAATTAGGTAAAACGGTCCATTGGTAACATATCGATTTCTTTTTTCTGCTTCAATCGGGTGTTATACTTATATGTTACATGTTGAATACATTTTTCTATTTCAGTATTGACATTGATATTCTTTCGACATGCTATCGATTAAATTATATTCATACCACTAAATATCATTAACTCGTCTGGTACATTCGAATTTCACACACCATAGCATCAACACTTATTTTTGTGATGCCCATTTGCGGGTAGCTGGTCTTTGGTAAATGAAATTTGTACATCTGTGATCTAACCTCTAATGAAAACCATCCACAAAGTTTATTATGCACAAGTAAATCTAACCGTTAAACATAGGAATATAGCAAGTGTCACCATACTATGAGAGTTAGTGACAAAGATATATATATATATATATATATATATATATATATATATATATATATATATATATATATATATATATATATATATAAAATATCCCTTCCTCACCGTAAAATATAGTTTTTAAAAGAGTTTATGGTTTCAATGACACAACACAAGTCACAATGTTTAATTTGCCAGGAATATTTCATCCATACCTTGAATTTAACCGCAATACCGACATCTTGATAGGTTTCGAAGCAAGAGCAAGGCCATGTAGGTAATTTTTTCATTCATCCATCCATTGAATCTAACCAAATACAGACAGAGTTCTCTGTTTAAACTAGCTCGTTATTATGCTACAATGCTGATATGATAGAGAGATTGATTAGATTCTATCATCTTATACATGCACTCAGAAAATCAAAGTACACCGTTTCATGTCCATATATGACCTAGAACAATGAAAATGCTAAGTATACGGTTTCTATCTAGGAAACTGTAAGTCTAAACAAACATAAAAACTTGTTCATCATGGAACTTCCACATTATATCAATTTTGCACAAACCTCCCTTCTTCTTCTTCTTCTTCTTCTTCTTCTTCTTCTTCTTCTTCTTCTTCTAGGCCAGTCATTTCAAGAAGGCAGCAGCAGGTTTAAGCGGGCTTCTCGTAGGAATTCTTGTCTCTGAATTCTGAAATGGCAGCTCGTATCGTACCACCAGAATCGGGCTGCACTAACAGATGCGTGTCGTCCAGAACATGAATGATGAACTTCTGCGACGGGGGCTTTGAAGCATTCAGGTTGACGATGAATTGTGCCATTGGTATGTCACTGTGAACATAGATGCCAAAACAACACGACGAGAGGACACAAGAAACCAGTCACTGGCAATGAAAGGGAAACCTGAACAGAAACTGTGGCATGGAAACCTAATGATTGCTCTATCGTTGTTCTTCACATGCTACACATACGCAATCAAAAGGTCTTCCATATTGTACTGGTTCATCACACATTTGTAGCACCATGGGTGACAGAAAGCATCATTTAACTCTTCCCAAGCAGGTAAAGGAATCCAGAAGGAACACATTCTAAGCCATTTGTATTCGCACAAATTTCATTCACAAGCCATCATTTATGGGTTTTTGTGCTAATAAAGCAATCAGCTTTCCACCCCCAAAGCAAAACTGTACACATCACTAGAGTAATATTCGGTTTAGAAATATAAGTGAACAACAAACTCACCAGGCAATGAACAATCCTTTGGTGGCATTCGCCATCTTGAACCAGAGTAACAACAGCAAGCTCAAGCTCCCCAAACTGCCAGCCAAAACAAGATGAAATGCAATGAAATCAGTATCAACCCATTTATCAGAAATGGAAGATCAAGCATGAACATAAAAGCAACCTGCAAATAGGGTCATCACCATTTATCAGAAGCTCGACAAAACCCCAAATGGAACGCTAAATCCAAACATGATCTATCCTATTAGGATCAGGCTCTAACAGATCCCAGTTAGCAGAAGCAGAGTTACTGGAATCAAATTGCAACAAGGGAAGAAGTTACCAAGCTCCGCTCTTCTCTGCCGGCTGCCACTGTTGCCGATTGAAAGAAGAGAAGGAAAGGGGATAAGATTTCTCTCCGGCAGCTGCGTAAGAATCCAGATGGACCATTTTTTTTTATAAAAAAAACATCCAGATGGGCGGGTTCAACTTCTTGGGCCGAATCTCCATCGGCCCATTTAATGCGGCCCACAGTATCCAGGTCCAGATCGCAGAAAATTTTCGTCTCGACTTCGATCGTTTGTTTGTTTCCTGCCGCGAACAGTATCCATGGCGACTGATTATTATTACGAATCAAAATGAAAAAAAAAAAAAAAAAGAGAGGAGAAAATGGAACGAAAAGGAAATTGCTGACACGCAAAGAGGGCTGGGCAGGGAAAGGCAGGCTGGGAAAGATAAAAAGCTGGAAGCTTAAATCTTACCCGGCTGCACAATTCATTCATTCGTCACAATCCCTTTGTCAAAATTGAGTCTTTGCCTCTTCGTCACATACCGTAAAGCTTTTGTTTCAGGTTTCGCGGTATCCTTCGATTGAAGTAAACCCTAGAGATGAACTCATTCGACTCGAATTGGGTCGACATCTCCAAGATTTACCTGCGCTACTGTGGTAAGGCTTCCTTTCTTAATTGATTCCTTCTCGCGATAACCTTGTTTTTTAAAAGGATCTGTTGTTGATTTAGTTCGATTCTCAACTCCCTTGTTCTTAGCTTTAGCGTCTTAGATGTTGCTAGGGCTGTGACTGGGAAGTAGTAATTCGAGACCTTAGTGTCTGTGTTGTGAAAATCAATGGGATTATGTGCTTTGTGTGGCTGTGATTTTTTTAAGTTGGCTTCTTTTGGTATAACATTTGAGCCTGGAGTCTTGGACTTTTGCTTGTAGCTATCAGAGCAGGGAATGCGTACCAGGAAGGCAGCAGTTGTCCGGACCAGGATGAGCTACAGAAACTCAAATTTTCCCGGGATGAGTTAGCTGAGCTATTAAAGGTTGTTCAGAAGAGAGTGCAGAAGGACCAAGGGTATTGCTCTTTTTTTGTTAAGTTACTAATGCGGTTGGAAAATCCAGAGGAATGCTAGATGGAAGATGAATAATATGGATACGGAGTTACTGCTTTGATGTGATCATTCGTCTTTGCGCTTTTGTGTAATGTGTGCGGGTATGTGCTGTGCGTCTATGTGACTAGGCTCACTATCAATTAAGTTGCTTTAGAGCCTTGATGGTGTGGGTGGGGCACGTCTATGTGTCTCGTACTTGCTATCAAATTAAGTTGTTCTAGACCCTTTATGGGATTATGATTCGAGCCCATAGTTTGACTGATGCAGTCTATATACTTCAAATGCAATCGATGGAAAGCATCAGCTCGGCTTCAACATTGAATTAGAGTGCCCTTCCTGGAAACCTTTGTGGCTCATTTTGTGCTCACTATCTGCTCAAATGCAGTTGTTTCGTGATTAACATATAGAATTTAAGAGAAGAGTTGAATATCTAGTTTACTATTGCTTTTCTGGTTGTCCCACGTGTCAAAAATCAAAATTTCCCTCTTAGCAGAACTATGGAATCTTTTATTTGCCTTTTGTTAACTGAAGTAAGTTTATTTGGACAGGTTTTCTATTTTTGATGAACTTCGCAAGCTCATGTCAAATTCAAGATTGATGGTTAGTTAGTAGTTATTTTGCATTGTAACCAGAAGTTTCAAGATTGAAGTTCCCCATGCTCAATATTCCGTGGTTAATGGTTTTGCCTTTTTTCTCTTATTGTAGAAGGATGTCCACGACTTTTCGTGCTTCTATGATTTTGTATTCTTTATCTCTCGCGAGAATGGTCAAAAGAACATTAGTAAGTTCTGAGCTCATATTTTTATGGACAGAAAGTTGATAGATGTCCGTATTAATTTAATGGAGAATCTTTTGGATTGTTAACATCCTTACTATCTCTTTGGGATCAGCTGTAAACAAGGCGGTTACTGCATGGAGATTGGTTTTGGCTGGGAGGTTTAGGTTGCTAAACCAATGGTGTGACTTTGTAGAGGTGCGCATTATAATAAGCTGTCATCAGTATTTTGGCTTCCTTGATCATGGCCTATTAGGGCATGATTGCTAGCATGGTGCTTGTTCCTTTGGGCATCATGCTCTCTCTGTGTGCCTATATGTTGTGAAACTTTAAAATGACTGATGGCCTGCAGAGGTCATAAAGCCTCGGTATCTGTTTATGGTATTTTCTGTGGCTTCTTTTGAAAGACTCCGACTCTTTAACATGTCTCTGTAGAAAAATCAGCGATACAATATTTCTGAGGATACATGGCAGCAAGTTCTGGCCTTTAGTCGCTGTGTACATGGAAATTTTGAAGGCTATGATCCTGAAGGTATACGATAAAATCAGTTTCAAGTTGACCTGCCTCATTCATATGATGCTGTTTGCCTCTGTGATTATTTGTTGCCCTTCAGCTGTATGGAGGAATAAAATTGCATCTATAGTTTTGCTTTAGAACAGCTTAAGGGCAACAAATGATCACAGAAGCATTCATTGTTTTGCAATATATATTCTACTGCACTACTTGACTCGTTATTGATTATTAAAGTGTGTGACTGTTTCACCTTCCCACTTACCATCTTTTTCGTCTTGTTCACTGGTTGCTTTCTTCTTTATTAATTTTTCTTTTCCTACCTTCGCTTCCTCCACCTTCCTAGTAGCTCTTTCTTCTGAATAAGCTTCTCTCTGTTTGTCAACAAGTAAAAGCAATTCTGTCTTGCTAAATACGGTTTCACTTTGCAGGTGCTTGGCCTGTCCTTATAGATGAATTTGTGGAGCATATGTACAGGTACTGATTTACAATATATTATTGTAATATCACTTGAGATCTTTGAAGTTTCCTTAAAATCTAACTAGTTAACATTCTGATAACTTGTGTGACAATGAATATAAATTTCTTCTTTCTAACTATAAATGACTAAGAAGGGTCTCTGTTGACGTCAACTCATTCTGCCCAAAATTTGTCTTGCAGAACATCTGGGTCTAAGAATAAGTGCAACTGTAAATCCTATGATAGTGGTGAGTTGGAATCTCATCCATGTGCTTTTGAAGACCCTCTTCCCGGTGAGCGTTTGGCTGTCTTTCTCTTTATGTGTGATGTATCCATCCTCCTGTATGTTGCCAAAACTAAAAAAATATGTTTTCTATGCTTTGTCCTTTGCCTTGGTTTTCCAGGGTTGAAGGTAACTCCTGGTTTGAAGAGGAAGTTCGCCAACTTGGGATTAGATGAAGAAATGGAGCTCTGTGATTCTCCAGAACCGAATCTTTCTTCAAAGTCGAAACGAAATAGGCTAGTCTGCCACCAGAAGAGTTGTATGGTGGATAATCCGCCAGGTGGCGACTCAGCTGATGATGGCATGGAAGTAACGAAACAGAATAGTCCTGTTGGGTGTGCAGTTGAGAATTGCTTGTCCAGAGGGATTGCAGGGCTGTTTTCTGGGGGTTCATATTTGCAGCTAGATAAAGAGAGGAGAGTTTCATATATATAGAGGCCTGGCCGAGCCAGAAAATAGGCTTTGAATCAAGAGGAATCGGCCTGTACATGCTCGTGTTGGAATTCTATTTCTGGCAATTGGAATTAGGTATTGACAACATGACAAGATAGATTGGATTTGTGTCACTACAGAATAATGGAGCAGTTTTTGTATAGGCCGCTTGCATGCATAGTTGTGGTGTGTAATAACAATTTAAACTTAGAGCCATTAATATTGTTTAGGCCTGCAACTACTCACTATGTGGCCTATACAAAAACTGCTTGATTAAGGGGAAGAAATTGTTATACTCAGAAGGTGAAGGTATTCTATGATTGTTTGCCCTTTGTAAAAGGGGAAGAAATATGTGAGATGGAATTCGCTTGATTAATGTCGTCTCTAACTTGATCGCAGGGTGTTTCTGAATTCTGAGTGTTTTCGAGGCTTGACTAGTTGACTACCTTGATACGGATACTTTTTGCAGATCCAGGAGCTTTTTGTCCAGTTTCCATTCGACATCTTCAAGTTCATTAACATGACATTTACATCTCCCTAAGGAAAAGAAAGCAAAACAAAGTGTGAAGAGCTGGTTTGTAAACAAATTCTTACAGTGGCTTGACATCTGAAACCCAAGTTACTCGTGATTAGGAATGGCATACAAGTGTCGCATTATTATTGATCAGATGATAGCAGAATCAACAAAGATTAGCCATTAAATTCTGCTTAATCAAGTCTTGCTTCGGCAACTGGATACAGAATTCCTTGCCTCTTACTCCTACTCTTATTTTTTTACCACGGTAAAAACTGAGATCTCAAAGAAAGAAAGAAACCCAATTTACCCAAATGATCACCATTGATACTTAGCAGCAACTAGAACCTCCTCGTACAACTCCGCAGCATGATCCCAGCTCAAATCCTGCTCCATTCCACGCCTCTGCAACCCTTCCCAACTCTCCTTGAACTCTCTATAGGTCCACAAGCAATTCCCCAACGCATGTATCAACTTACTCGTTTCAGCTGAATCAAATGTCCACCCAAACCCAGACTCGTTAAATGGATCGAATGGTCGAACTGTATCTCTCAACCCGCCAACTGCATGAACCACAGGAATCGTCCCATACATCATCGCGTACAGCTGGTTCAACCCACATGGCTCGAACCTGGATGGCATCAGCAAGATATCTGCACCGGCAGTTATCCTATGCGCGGTCTTCACACAAAACCCGACCCAACCTCTAACTTTGTCCTTGTATTGCCCCTCCAAGTTCTTCAACATTTCCTCCAAATCCTGCCTTCCTGTGCCAAGCATCACCAATTGCACATCCTGTTCCACCATCCACGGGATCGCCTCGGCGATAAGATCGACGCCCTTCTGGTTATCGAGCCTTCCGATAAAACCAATCAGTGGAACTTCTGGCCTCTCGGGCAAACCGAGCTCTCTTTGGAGTGCTGCTTTGCATTGTGGCTTCCGGGAGCGAAACGTTTCGAGCGAATAGTTCGTGTAACCATCGGATTTCAGGTGGAGATCGTGATGTGGGTCCCATTCTTGAGTGTCGATGCCATTTACTATTCCTCTCAGCTTCCAATCGTTTTCGTTTATGATGGTGTGTAGGCCCCAACCGCCATCTGGTGTTTTCAGCTCCCAGGAGTATCCTTGACTAACTGTTACCACTCGGTCTGCCGCCTTCAGACCAGCGGCGAAGATGTTGAAGTGCTCACCGCCCACCGGGTCGTAGAATTTGAAGAGGTCGATGTAGTTTCCCGGCAGGTCCACATACCGGAACTCCTCCACTGGTCCCCGACCCTGGATAAAGTACAGAGCTTTTTGAGTTAATACTCGTTTACTTGCAGCGTTGATTTGAAAAGCAAACACGTCACTAGATTGAAAGTTGAATAGAGGTACGAACTTGGTGAGCTATGTTGTGAATCACGAGGACAGATCGTGTGAATTGCATTAACCCGTTGTCACGGTAGTATGCTTTCAGATAAACTGGAAGCAGAGCTGTATGCCAATCATTTGCAATGAATGCCAAGTTTCCATCTCCATAGCATACACCACCGCAGGGAACATACCAAGGAACCTGACACCAGAACAGATAACTTTCTTCACACTCAAATGAAAAATGGACCAAATAGAGCTTGTATCAGCCCCGATAATGTAACTATTTAGTCCTTAAACATAAAGATTCTCTGATTTTATGTGATATAATCAATAGAACACAAACAGTTAAAAGTGCTGAAGCAAGATCTGCAGGGAACAGAACAAGGACACAGCTAGAATAAGCATTACAGGAAGATACTTGACAGTTATGGAAATGTACCTCAACTGCTGCTTTGCAAAATAACACCATGCGCTTCAGAATATCCTGCAGGATGAATAAAGGACCAGTAAGACTCCAGCTTCATGGTGATGGCAAAGAACAAAGTAAAGCAAAAGGAGACCATATCAAACTTACCATTCGGTTTCCTCCATATATACTGTTCCCAAAGTGGCGAAACCATGGGCAGTCTATGAAGACGAAGTCCACACCATCAATATAGGCTTGGAAGTAGGTGACCTCTATATCCTGAAATTAAATATCACAGACCGTATTTATGCCATGCAGAAGAGTATGAGAGCATAAGTTTTATAGAAAGGCTGCAATGTGAACACACCTGACCATCCACCTTATAAATCTTTCTGACTCCAGAGTGTTGAGCCTCAGCATATTCACCATATCGAGGTGCAACAACCTAAACGACACCATAACTTCTGTTACAAACAGATATAAGAATGAGAAACTTTGTGGTCTCATCATGGGGAGTCAAACATTTTTTATTATCTGATTACTCATATAATCCACCGTTGAAAGCAATAACTATTACTCTCTTTTACAAAACACCTTACATGTTGAATATTAGCAGGATTGGTTCAGCTAATCCGGAGCCTTTGACAATTTGGATTAAAAGATCAAAAAATGTTACATTACCATAACCCTATGTCCACGTCGGGCCAAAGCCTTTGGTAATGAACCAGCAACATCCCCAAGCCCACCTGCAAGAACCAACAATCCTTCAGTGTGTCACTAAGAAAAGGGTGCATCCCCAGCCAAAATCCGAATGTAAACACAGGGGATTTGAAGAAACCTGTTTTAGACCACGGAGCACATTCTGCAGAAACCAAAATGACGTTCATGACATTAGCCCCAGCCAAAGGGGGCGGCTTTGAATCTTCCACATTTGAAACACCTTCAACATCATTGGACACTCTGGATCCATTGACATCTACAGGCTCCACAATGGGTGCATTTGATAGGACTGATATGGGCTCCTCTAACTGAGCTATTATATCATTCACACTAGAATTTCCTTCAAGATGATTGATCACTCGTAAAGTTGATTCATTGACAGCTTCATGCTTCACACTGTCAATAGTAGAAACTTGGGGCGTATTTGCAAAAACTGATGTTTGCTCATCCAACTGCACTGACCCTGGCAGTATTTCTTGACTTATACTCCATCTTTGACGATAACTCCCGCTTGTATAAGCATTCCCAGTTTCTAGTTCACCATCCCCAGTGGATAGCTCATAGCTGCTAAAAACATTCTGTGGCTCAGTAAATCCCCCAGCATCTGCTGAAGCAGGTTCCGCATTAGTCAAAGATTCCTCATCTTGCTTATAGGAAGATTCACCCGCAGATTCTGAGTTCATAAAGCTTTCTTTAAAAGAAGACACCATTTTCCTTCTTTCATCGATCTGCGAAGTCATATCTAAATTCGTCACATGAACTACCCACACTGATTATGCCAATGCGAAAAGAAAATAGGTCTCAACACAAATGTGCAATCGATCACAATGGCAAGGTAAACCTAAGAGAAAACTAAACAAGAGCAATTTGACAAAATTACCTTCTGAAGTAAGTTCCTCTGCGCAGCAAGAACCTTCTTGCTCTTCTCAATCGTGGCCTGAAGCGCATCCATATGTGACTGATCACCATTCGTCTCACTCTCTTTCCCAATAGCTCTGATACTCCTAAACCTAGGCGGCAACCCATCACCATAAATTCCAAAGCTGATGGAGGATTTCCTATTCGGCCTACAGCAGAGGAAGTGAAACATGGTGCGGCCGCTCTGGTTGTTCCTGGAGTTGAAAAGAACAGAGCTATCTGCCATGACTTCAAAGCGAGGCGAGAATGACCCAGCACCAGACGCCATTGAGAAACCCACCAAGATAACTAATCCCCTTAATGCAAAGACCGAAATTTGGAAGCAAAAAAACACAGTGAAGTAGAAAATTGGGATCTTGATTGAAGAAGAAGCAGAGGAATTTTAAGACGACAATGATTGGGGTAGGATCATCATCATGATATAAGAAGAAGGAGGGTACAAGAGAGGGTCCCAGAGCAAGTTTGGGAAAAAGCCAGGGAGTAGGAGGAGATGAAGAAAATGAATTTGCGGTTCAAGTTCGCGGAGAAACAGGGAGAAGCCGTAATTTGTGAGCAGAAAGTGAACTGAAGAGTGAAGAAAGAGAAATTGGATTTTCTGTTTTCATTTTTTTTATTTTGCGATTTAGATAATAAATTTTGCGGTGCTGGAGCGGAAGCATAGAAAGAGAAAACTACTGGGCCCAATATCGATGGTGGCCCAAACTTCTTTTAACTTGTTGGAAAAGCCTATCTGGTCTTTGCCATCTGGAAATTGGAAATTCAATTCAAATTTTATTTCCGCAGTCATTTTCTACTTATTGAAACGTGGTAGTTGTTGTGTGATACAAAATTCCAAATGAAAACGTGCAAAGATGTCTATGGACGGTGGAAGTGAAGCCTCTTCCGAAATAAGCAGCCCCTGATTATGGGCCAGTAGGCCCACCTCCATTGCTTTAATCTTGGCAATGGTGAATAGTGCACTTTAATGTTGAACTTGGAACCCTATGAAGACATTGAAGAGGTATAAAATGGGTGAAAGCTAGTATTATGGTGATAGGCATAGGCGTGTTCAAGTTGTCCTATGTGATTTGGGATAAAGGTAAATTTTGAGGACGACTAGTTTAGCTCGTTAAATTCGTCAATACATTATAATATTGTAGTTTTTTTTTAATAAAACAGATTAGATAGGAAATTGAGATATTTGAATAAACACATATTTATAGAGATTGAAACATTCCACATATTATTAGCAATGATTTAGATATTTGCTTCCTCGGAACATTGTCATACTAATTACTATTTGACTTTTACGAGATTCGAAATTCTTATCTTCTATCAATACATTAGGGTGAGTGTGGCTTCCAACTACTAAGCATAAACCCTAATTCAACAATACATGTTATTGAACTAGGCTTCAAGTACAATTACAAATCATCTGAAAACATATCCAAATTCAAGGAGGAAACAATAAGAGTGCATCATCTCTCGGGCAATGCCTTACAATTTTACTATCCTGACATTCAATTTTGTCCAGTTTCGCCTGGCACCATTTCAGCTGGCTAGTGGTGATCACAGACAATCGAAGCACTCTTGATATGAGCTTCATGTCTATCAAAGTGAACAAAATATCTTTCCTTTCACTCTCTTCGTCCACGTGGCTCTCCATTTTCCTGAGCCAGCATCTTTGCTTCCCTTGTAAATCTCTCAACCACATTTCCTTCTACAATGTCAAATATAAATGGCAGTGTTGATCAAATGGTTGGAAAATAAGGATGGATAGAAACTTGTGTAAAATAGACTGATTCGCAAATAATCACCTTTCGAAATTGTCTGGTGAGATCGTATAGCAATCTCATATCTCTTAGATCTTCTAAACAACTAGTTGAAATAAGAGAGCTCCTTGGTTTCCACCAAGGTTTCTTCTTTATCGTGTCTATTGTGATGAATGTCCAGAATGTATTGATACACTTTTCTAAGATGTTGAAGACATCTTTCACTTGCAAAGTTCCTTCTCCTCTTCCTTCCCTATCAACAGTCACTATGTGTAGAAAAATGTATAAAATAACAAAACATAAGAACAGTAATGTCATGTTGCATTTTTTCAAGACGGGCACACATTTTTTGGTGGCAACCTACATGCCTAGCCTAGGGAATAGCTAACAAACACAATGGACCACGTAAATCCGAGTCTGATTAAGCTTAATTGGCTAAGTTGCCTCAAATGGAATATCACAAGAAGCATATGTCACTATAAGGCATCGAACACCAAACAAACGATCTAATCCTACATCAAATCAAGCATGACACCATTACAGTCTACAATCATTCCCTCGTTGACAATACCATGATGAGGCATTTGTTGAATGAAAAATTAATAAATTATGTTGAAAGTACCTGAAAGGTGAGGGACTTGTAAAAGGTTGTCAAGGGTCAATCTTGCTCTAACATAGTTCCAAACTCGTTTTCCATGGCACCTTTCATCTTCCATGAACCTCTCCAAAAGCACCTCAAACTTTTGAAAAATTTGCCCAACGTTACTGGCACCACGTAACAAACTACTACTGTTACGGTTTTCTTGCGAAGCAAGGACCTCAAGTTTCTTGTATTGGTGATGGAGGGCCTCCCATGAGAGGCATGATTGAGCAACATAAACCAGCTCAAAGTCATTCTCCATGCTTTGTATCATCCTCTTCTTGTCTATTTTACTTACTGGAGAGAAAGTGTTGAAAGGAGACGAGGGAAAATCTTCAGACAGTTGAATCTTTTCGAATGGACTTTCATTGCACAACTCCACTTGCTTATTTAGGAGTGCACCTATAATTTGTAACCAAGAAATGGCCGGATAATTCATTAGAAACTAGAGAGCTTGGTATATGGATGTTGGACTTTAAAAAATGATTTGAAAAATGAAAAATTCTATCTAATTTTTGGATTTGAAAAATAAGAATTATGTTGGATTTGGTTATTCAATTGAAAAGTGTCAACAAAATGATTAAAAAAAATGGAAGGATTAGCCAAATCTCATTTATGATTTTTCATATGCATAGAGCCCACAACTTTACCTAAAAAATTGGCTACCAAATAATGATTTTGGATGAAACCAACTTGTGTTGAATTTGGCTACTAGACTAATGCATGATCCAAATTCTTTAGAGAAAAAATTGTATGGGTAGAATGCATAGAAACCATCTGATTGAGTGTACACTATGTTTCCCATCATCTAATCATATATCTAATTTTTTATGAAAATGTCGTTGCGTCATCCAATTGTTAGAAATGCATGAAAATTTCAACCGGATAGTTCTCTCACGACTTGCTCGCCCAATGTCTTATGCTCTTTAGCCGAATTGATCGGTGCATGTCAGCAACTACAATTGAATTTAAAATTATAGAACAACCCACTTACTCACTCCAGAAGTTCGGTCATGGTTTAGACGGTCGAACCACCTCATCCTGTCGAGGTACATCTGGTAGAATTCCCCAGCCACAGGGACTTGTTCCTCTGCTTCTTCTTCTTGCTGGTCAGGTTCTGCTAGCAGGGTACATGACAAAATACAATCAGTTGATTGTCGTCTCTCTACTAATTCCTCCTCCTCCTCATCCTCTGCCGGCGACGGCCAATCAATCAAGCTACCAACAACAATGGATGATGATGATGAATCAATAAAGCCATGACCACCACCAACATCCTCGTCGCTTCCACTTTCAACATCCTCCTCAGAATCAACTTCAAGGGGTTGGTTTAGCAATAGTGGTTGAACAAAAACGTCCAACTGCTTCAGGTTGCAACTATCTGTGCTAATGACATCGGAGATGGACTTCTCTGCACAACAATGATAACAGTAGCTATTATTTACAACTTCAGCAGGAGTACTGCTGCTGCTGATTCTGCTTCCAACCTGTTCTGATTTCGCAGCTCTACAACTGTTGACCGCGGTCGAGACTATGGTTATTACCAGTTTGTGGAGCAATCTAGTGGCGTGGGGAATTATGTTAAGAGGGTAAGATAAGAGATATATGAGGCATTTAAGAGAAGTTTGAGCCAGAGGAAAACCTGGCAAACTACGAGGAAAACAGGGTGGATGTAGAAGCTGAGAAAAACCCACTTCAGAAACCCACCTGGGATCACCCTCGATTCTACTATCAGCCAACAAACGGCTAAGATGGCCATTGTTAATATGACCACCCGGCCAACCTAATTCATATAACTGTTGGGTCGTAGCTCGCTAGTTTAGTGAGAGTTGGCGTCTCACTTTATATAATTGATCTTCAGCTTCAGCTAACTACAGTCTACAGATGGGGGAAAAAATATGTATATTTTCTAGTATTGTTCCCTCCATTATTCTAAGGCTTGAACTTGTGGGGGAAAAGTATACATTTGAATATTTTGCAGGGAAATGATAGGTAATTAAGGTTGGAGAGGAAACAACAAAGGAGCAGCCAGGAAACATGTATCAAAGGTGTCAATCAACCCTTAGTAGTTGTTGGAAAACAGTGCTCATGCAAACCAATCAACTCTGCACTTTCTTCGTGATAGGGTATATTAGTAACCCCCAAGGCAAAGCTCTAGCTAATGGCATGAAGAAGGAAAGAAGACAAAAGAGAAAAAAGACAAGGCTGGGAGACAAGAGACAAGCCCAGGCACCTGACATCAGCAAGGACAAGGGGCAGGGGGACACCCTCTGTCAAAAAGGACTATGTACAGTGTCAGAAAGTTTGAGGCGCCCGACCACAGCATTTATGGCTTGGCAGGCGCCCAGACCACGACCTAACCCTCAAATGTGTATAAATAGGAGTTCTCTCCTCATAAATGGCAATCTATCTACTCTTTACTCTAACTTCTCTCTACTTTCTCTCTCTACATACTTCTTCTCTTCCTCTGCTTCGGACGAGGCGGGGCGCCTACCCCTTCAAGGTCATGGCTGACACCCCAAACCCCTTGGACCCGAGCGACCCTCAGTCGATCGGGCTCAAACAATTGGCGCCCACCTTGGGGCCAAGCATGACTTTGAAAGACGCTTCCAACTCAAAGAAGGGAGAAGAAAGGAGTCCGGCACCTGCGAAGACCCCTCTCAAGCAAGTTGTTGGTCGCGAGGCTATCAACCCTCAACCACTCACCATCCAAGGTTTGGAAGCATCCGACGACGACGATCCATCGGGAGACAGAGAAGGCACGGAGTGCCTGGAGGGCCAGCTAGCAAAGCTTCGAGAAAAGCAAACACTTCAAATGGCAAGCATGCAAGGCCAACTAGACCAAGTAATGACCGCGTTGACGGCACTCACCAAGCCCAACGACCAGGCGCCTCCCAATTCACAAGAAGCCACGGAAGAGAGGAGGCGCCTCCGAGGAAAGATGCAAGAAGTTGAGGTGCCACCCATGAACTCCCCACGGGAGGGTGTAGGCGCCTCACCAGAAGAAGAAGCGTTCGAAGCTGATGACGCCGCCTTCCTAGAAAGGAAATGGAAATTCACTACTGCGGAAAGTGATCATAGAGAAATAAATGGAGTCTTCCTGGACTCGCTTCCTCCATCGAGGAGAAGCCTAAGCGCGTTACTTCCTTCTCAGGGGTACGCGTAGGAGAAATCGATTCTTGCTCAAGATATTCATCTTGGCAAAGCATTTACCCGCGACTAGCGGAAGAGCCCTAGTGCTTACACGTGGATTTTTATCCGAGTGTCGGGCGCTCGTTTTACGAGTCCCCATGAGAGGCGATATTTTGTCCACATCCCTTGCAAAAAATTTCTGCCTTGACAGAAGGGGTCACCCAAACCCGCTTTCTCCGTCGAGGAGAAGCCTAAACGCGTTACCTCTTTTTCAAGGGTACGCACGGGATACTTAAGCTCGCTTCCTCCGTCAAGGAGAAGCCTAAACGCGTTACCTCTTTTTCAAGGGTACGCACGGGATACTCAAGCTCGCTTCCTCCATCGAGGAGAAGCCTAAGCGCGTTACTTCCTTCTCAGGGGTACGCGTAGGAGAAATCGATTCTTGCTCAAGATATTCATCTTGGCAAAGCATTTACCCGCGACTAGCGGAAGAGCCCTAGTGCTTACACGTGGATTTTTATCCGAGTGTCGGGCGCTCGTTTTACGAGTCCCCATAAGAGGCGATATTTTGTCCACATCCCTCGCAAAAAATTCCTGCCTTGACAGAAGGGGTCACCCAAACCCGCTTTCTCCGTCGAGGAGAAGCCTAAACGCGTTACCTCTTTTTCAAGGGTACGCACGGGATACTTAAGCTCGCTTCCTCCGTCGAGGAGAAGCCTAAACGTGTTACCTCTTTTTCAAGGGTACGCACGGGATACTCAAGCTCGCTTCCTCCGTCGAGGAGAAGCCTAATCGCGTCACCTCCCTTTCCGGGGTACGCGTGGGGAGACTTCAGCCACGCCATCGCAAAACGCGGTAGTCGGGGTCGTCAGTAGCTCGAAATTTGCCCATTTCAGGCTCGAGCTCCACACTGGACATGTCACCCTCGAAGCTTTAGCTTTCCCTTTGGAGGGAGCGGAGGCGCCACCCATAGAAGCTGACGGCTGCGAGTTATTAGACTCCATGGCAAAGAGAGAGAGGTGGACAGAAAAGCGAGTCTTGATGAGAACCGGGTGCAACACCGAAGCAGGTAATGCGCGAGCAAAAAACCGTTATTATGCCTCGTAACCTTAGGAGAAAAGGCGCATTAGACGCCTTGAAGCGGATAAACCTACATCGCAAATAAAGAATAAGACGAAAGAGGGTGAAGCACCGCTCGAGCAGGGAAACAAACAAACACCTAGTGAGCGCGATTCAAACAAAGGAGGAGGTGGCGCGCGGAGTCTCCTGAAGGAGGTGACCTAATCCAAAAACAAGCAACAAAGAACAAGGGGCAAGTATGTTCGAGCATTCGGATAGAGCAACTGTCGGAAAAAGGAGAAGCTTAAACACGGCGCCTAACAAAAGCTCGGAGGGTGGCGCTCAAACAAGCAAGAGAGTTCAGAAAAGGAAAAATCTTGTAACAAAGACGGGGAGGCGCCTCCCCCAATTAAAGAAAAGGCACACGAAGGCGCCGCCCCTGGTTCAAAATTTTGCAAGGGGTGTCGCCTAAGAAAGATTAAGTAGAGATTACATGGGCAAGTTCCGGAAGCGCTCATCGAATGGAAGGAACGACACCTGAGAAAAAATACATAATTTTAGAAACAGGGCAGAGGCGCCTCCCCCAATTAAAGAAGAGGCGAACGACGACGCCACCCCTAGTTCAAAAATTGTAAAGGGTGGCGCCTAGGAAGAATAAAGCGGAACTCACCTACGCGAGATCCGAAGGCGCCTAGCGAATGGAGGAACGGCACCTGAGAAAATACATAATTTTAGAAACGAGGAGGCAGAGGCGCCTCTCCCAATTGAAGAAAAGGCGAATGACAGCGCCACCCCTAGTTTAAAAATTGTAAAGGGTGGCGCCTAGGAAGAACAAAGCGGAACTCACCTACGCGAGATCCGAAGGCACCCAGCGAATGGTGGAACGACACCTGAGAGGCGCCACCCCTAGTTTAAAAATTGTAAAGGGTGGCGCCTAGGAAAAACAAAGTAGAACTCACCTACGCGAGATCCGAAGGCGCCCAGCGAATGGAAGGAGCGTTGCCTGGAAAGGACCAATAATTTCAGAGACAATGGCGCGAAGGCGCCTCCCCCAATTAAAGAAGAGGCGAACGACGACGCCACCCCTAGTTCAAAAATTGTAAAGGGTGGCGCCTAGGAAGAATAAAGCGGAACTCACCTACGCGAGATCCGAAGGCGCCTAGCGAATGGAGGAACGGCACCTGAGAAAATACATAATTTTAGAAACGAGGAGGCAGAGGCGCCTCTCCCAATTGAAGAAAAGGCGAATGACAGCGCCACCCCTAGTTTAAAAATTGTAAAGGGTGGCGCCTAGGAAGAACAAAGCGGAACTCACCTACGCGAGATCCGAAGGCACCCAGCGAATGGTGGAACGACACCTGAGAGGCGCCACCCCTAGTTTAAAAATTGTAAAGGGTGGCGCCTAGGAAAAACAAAGTAGAACTCACCTACGCGAGATCCGAAGGCGCCCAGCGAATGGAAGGAGCGTTGCCTGGAAAGGACCAATAATTTCAGAGACAATGGCGCGAAGGCGCCTCCCCCAATTGAAGAAGAGGCGAACGACGACGCCACCCCTAGTTCAAAAATTGTAAAGGGTGGCGCCTAGGAAGAACAAAGCGGAACTCACCTACGCGAGATCCGAAGGCGCCCAGCGAATGGAGGAACGACACCTGAGAGGCGCCACCCCTAGTTTAAAAATTGTAAAGGGTGGCGCCTAGGAAAAACAAAGTAGAACTCACCTACGCGAGATCCGAAGGCGCCCAGCGAATGGAAGGAGCGTTGCCTGAAAAGGACCAATAATTTTAGAGATAAGGGCGCGAAGGCGCCTCCCCCGATTGAAGAAGAGGACACATGGCGTCGCAGTCCCTAATTCAAAAATGGTAAAGGGTGGCGCCTAGGAAGAAGGGAGGGTAGCGCTTACAAAAAATTAGGCACGAAATAAGCTACCTGAAGCAAGGGGGTAGCGTCGGCAAAAGAGCGAGTCTCCAGGCACCCAACTGAAGGTTAGACACCTTGCTGAAGGAGTGAGGTGACAGGCGCCCAACTAAATGTCAGACACCTAGGCAAAGGAGCGAGTCGCTAGGCACCTCACCAAAGGAGTGAGATGTCAGCCGCCGTAGCAAAGGTCAGGCACCTCGACAAAGGAGTGTGGTGCCAGGCGCCCAACTGAAGGTCAGACACCTCGGAAAATGAGCGAGTCACCAGGCACCTCGTTGACTTTGAGTCTTAAGGCAACAAACTACAAGCTGGGTGACAAATGCTTAGCCAAAGACATAAGCGATGGAGTGAGGCGCCAGACACCCCACTGAAAGTCGGGCACCTCGCTGAAGGAGTGAGGTGCCAGGCGCCAGGCGCCCAACTGAAGGTCAGACACCTTGGCAAATGAGCGAGTCGCCAGTCACCTCGTTGACTTTGGGTCTTAAGGCCACAAACGACAAGCTGGATGACAAATGCTTACCAAAGACATAAGCGAAGGAGTGAGGCGCCAGACACCCCACTGAAGGTCAGGCACCTCACTGAAGGAGTGAGGTGCCAGGCGCCCAACTGAAGGTCATACACCTCGGCAAAGGAGCGAGTCGCCAGACACCTCGTTGAGTTTGGTTCTTAGGGCAACTAACGACAAGCTGGGTAACAAGTGATTAGCCAAAGAATCGAAGCAAGCACTCTTCTAAAAGAGCACAAGTAATGGAAAGAAAAATGTAGCATCTCAGACAATGAACGGAAAGCATTTGAATATCAGTGGTATCTTTTGGCAAAAAGAAGAAAATGGGAAAAGAGCACTAGGCGCTCGTTTCAAATGGGCAAGGCACAGGGTGTTCAAAGGAAAACTGACAAGTTTGTTCCAATTTCGTATGATTGTCAAGATAGATTGAATCCTCTAACACGAGCGTAGGCGCATCCTCTAAGATGAAAAAGTGGTCACTTGGGAAATAATTGATGAAGAATGGAAGAATGCAAGCGTCAGGCGCTTGATAAAAGGGGCTTGATTGCTTCTTTAGCTAGTCTTCGTTACTTGAGACATGTGTTTATTCTTTCTCATTTTACTGCATCTTATTTGGAAGCAAGCACACCCACGCAGGTGCACAAACGCTCAACAGATCAGAAGATTAATAAGGGAATGAAGCACCCGCTTGAAAGGAAGAGTCTGGTGCCGATTAAGTAAAGAAAGAGAGCTGGCACTTGATTGAGAAGACGAGAAAGCAAGGGTATGAAGGTAAAGTATAATACTTGGAGAAGGTCTACAAGAAGAGTCCAAGAGAAGCAAAGACATAGGGGCAAAACCCTAGAGACTTACATCATCAGAAGAAGAAGACAAGGTTAAGAGACAAGGCCAAGGGACAAAGTCAAGAATTAACATAGTCTAAGCAAGCAAAGGGTGATGCCCTCAAATCACAATCCACCCCCTACCTCTCTCCAAATTAGCCTACCCCAAGGATGGGAATGGGCTTGGCCCAAAATCACCTTAAACAGTCTATTTAAGGTGACGCCTTTGCATCCTCCCCTAAAAATGTCAGAGGGTCACCCCGGTGTTTAATCGCTCTCACTATCTTATTTGGGGCTATTTTTATTTTCTTCATTATTTATCTTCATTTCTGATTTTTTAGTTTTAGTTTTTTCTTGTATTTGTATTTTTCATTTTTACTTTTATCTTTCTATTTTTTGTACCCTTCTCCGAAGAGTATACTTGTTTGACGACGCCACACTACTTGTGCCATCGCCAAAAGGGGCAATTGATAGGGTATATTAGTAACCCCCAAGGCAAAGCTCTAGCTAATGGCATGAAGAAGGAAAGAAGACAAAAGAGAAAAAAGACAAGGCTGGGAGACAAGAGACAAGCCCAGGCACCTGACATCAGCAAGGACAAGGGGCAGGGGGACACCCTCTGTCAAAAAGGACTATGTACAGTGTCAGAAAGTTTGAGGCGCCCGACCACAGCATTTATGGCTTGGCAGGCGCCCAGACCACGACCTAACCCTCAAATGTGTATAAATAGGAGTTCTCTCCTCATAAATGGCAATCTATCTACTCTTTACTCTAACTTCTCTCTACTTTCTCTCTCTACATACTTCTTCTCTTCCTCTGCTTCGGACGAGGCGGGGCGCCTACCCCTTCAAGGTCATGGCTGACACCCCAAACCCCTTGGACCCGAGCGACCCTCAGTCGATCGGGCTCAAACACTTCGCAACCCTCTTCGAGCTTTTCCAATAATTTATGGAGCAGGGGAGAGCAGACTTGCAGAGTATAAGGGTCAACTACGTTACTCTTTCATTTGTTAAGTGTTTTCTGGTCAGTATCTTTCTTCATTTTTGCTTACTCGGATCTTATCTCCAACCTCCAACTCCTAATAAGTTTACTCCAACTTGCCCATATATTTTCCATTTTCGGCAGTACTTTTCCAAGTCACAAGGGAAAAGGAAAACACCTACAGGTAATATACAATATCTACATTAATTGTCCTTTTGCTATTTGGTTCTTAGTGACACTCTTTTCTCAAGATAATTGTTTCCGATACCGTCTCAATTTGGTTTATTCGTATAATTATATTACTTTATCGAATGAATTGGTAAAAATTATAGCGTTGGGGTATAAGTGTTTCTAATATGATAACTTTAGAGTGGAAGAGAAGGATTTGACTTCTTATATAAACTGGACCTTGTATCTAGAATTAGGCGGAGTGCAAGAAGGCCTCGACCCTGAATCTTAGTACGAGCTACCTAGAAAGATGGATCAAATATAACTACGAGTCATTTATGATAGACGGAAAAACAAAATACAGACATATCTGTAGGGAAAACAAACACCCATGAATCATATGCTTCCCTGTCTGCTATAGTTGCTGAGAGATCAACCAGTCGAAACTCTTACCCTAACTCAAATCTTTCAGCCAGAGTATCAATAACAATGTTGTAGAATGCTATGAGCTCAATGGCACATCTCAATCGAACTGACACCTTTTGTAATCCTCAACTCATGTCTCTGGCTTAGACTTAGAGCCCCTTCAGCTTGACCAGTGCTCAAATCCCTCCTCTTGGGCTTTTGAGCAAGCCCACACCTATCCATGTTTCCTAGCTCACTCCATTCATCGGAACAAAGGGTAGCCCATGCTTAGTTAGAACCACCAAAAGAAGTCCAGCCCATGGTCAACAGTGGACACCAATTTCATCTTGACCCAACATAAAAGTCGATCAAACAATGACGTATTAATTATGCACCACCATCACCATGATTGGAATTTCGCTATGAACTAAAGAACCACATGTTGATTCCTACACCTGTATGGTCGTTCAAGCACATAGGGGGAAAAAACAGACCAGATCATCCATATTTACCCTGCTTAATTCATGGCATTTAACATGACTATGCGGGTTTATTTATTGATAGTACAGTTTTGGTTTTCTGTGCATAGTACAACCGTCATTTGGATCATTTGATTTGTCTCGTAAAAATATTAAATGTAATTTAATATAAAAATTTAATATGATTAAACTTGTTTGATGGAATTTCCAAAATACAGCTGATGACAAATTTACAAACAAATATGTACGAATCAATTGTTATTTCTAGGCTCTATATGAAGCAAACGAAGAAACATACCATGGACGTACTATTGTTTGATAATCGAATGTGAACTTGTGCATTCACAATATTAATGTGAGTCTTATATCAAAATTACAAACCTAAATAAAATATCCTAATCGATAATCTATATGAATTTGTTGAGTATTTATTAAATCTTAAATGAGTATCTATTGAATTACTAATAATTAGCCAAATGTTAACTTTTAGTTAACAATTTTATTAGTAATATTGAATTGGCAACATGATACTCACTTGAAAGAGATACATAAAGGTTAACATTACAAAATTATTAACGATAATATAAAAATGAATAATATTTTGATGCATTACAAAATGTTTGGCTGAATTTTAAGCATTTTGATAAGTTTAACTAATATAAAAAAATTAAAAAGGATTTGACGTAATTACCCAACCTAAATTTATATGGATGATTGTTCAATAACAAAGTATTTTTTGTCTTATATATAATTTCAAAGATGAATTGACTAATTATGTACCCTATTCAACCTGTTCCCACTTTCCAGACCCTTCAGGAACAATAACAGAGCAAGAAGAGCCAATCAGTTGCTGGAAACATCTAGCTCCCCTGTTTTTTTATTTTTTATATGGAGCGAAAACAGAGCATCCCTCCCATCCATTCACCAATTCCGCGAGTCACCATTTCTATTCTCCAAATTCAGTACAATCAAGATCAAACTATCTTAGAACAATGTCCCCAGCTCTCTCTCTATCACTCCCCAACGTCCCCGTATCCAAACTCCGCGACATTTCCAAAGACACCCACATCCCAAAGAAAAAGCTCTCCCTAGAAAATCCTCTGGAACCAAAACTAAACCGGAGAAAGCTCATATACTCCACAACTACCTTTGGAATAACCCAGCAGGTTCTGAGTTCTGGTTGCAAGCCAGCAAATGCAGAGCCGGAGTCTCCGGTTGATGCAACTTCCAGCAGAATGTCATACTCCAGATTCTTGGAGTATTTGGAAGGTGGCTACGTAAAGAAAGTGGACTTGTTCGAGAAAGGGAACGTTGCGATCGCCGAGATACTCAATCCCGCACTTGAGAAGATTCAGAGGGTTAAAATTCAGCTCCCAGGTTTGCCGCCGAAACTGCTGAGGAAGATGGAAGAAAAGAACGTTGATTTCTCTGTTCAACCGATGGAGATGAATTGGAGCGAAGCTTTGCTTGATCTTTTGGGGAACTTGGCATTGCCACTGATATTGCTGGGAAGTTTTCTGTTGAGATCGGGAGGTCCGAATTCCCCTGGAGGACCCAATTTGCCATTTGGACTTGGCAGGTAAGATGATTTCTCTTCTCCGTTTTCTTAGTGCCTGAAAAGTGAAAAACATGATAACCATTGATGTATTGATATGAGACCAACAATAAATGTTCAAACAAAACAGGAGCAAAGCCAAATTCCAGATGGAACCAAACACCGGAGTGACATTCGACGATGTCGCCGGAGTCGATGAAGCCAAGCAAGATTTTCAAGAAATCGTTGAGTTCCTAAAAACCCCTGAAAAATTCTCATCGATAGGCGCCAAAATCCCGAAGGGGGTCCTCCTAACCGGGCCGCCTGGAACCGGGAAGACACTGCTGGCCAAGGCCATAGCCGGAGAAGCAGGGGTGCCCTTCTTCTCCCTCTCGGGTTCGGAGTTCATCGAGATGTTCGTCGGCGTCGGAGCATCGAGGGTCAGAGATCTGTTCAACAAGGCGAAGGCCAATGCGCCGTGTTTGGTGTTCATCGACGAGATTGATGCAGTGGGAAGACAGAGAGGGACCGGGATTGGCGGTGGAAATGATGAGAGGGAGCAGACTCTGAATCAGTTGCTTACTGAGATGGATGGGTTTAGTGGGAATACAGGGGTTATTGTGATTGCGGCGACGAATCGGCCTGAGATTCTCGACTCTGCTTTGCTGAGGGCGGGAAGATTCGACAGACAGGTAAATGTCGGGTTACCAGACGTGAGAGGAAGGGAAGAGATCCTGAAAGTACACAGCAAGAACAAGAAGCTTGACACTCGAAACGTCTCCCTCAGCGTCATCGCAATGCGGACGCCCGGATTCAGCGGCGCCGACTTGGCAAACCTGATGAACGAGGCAGCCATTCTCGCCGGCCGGCGAGGTAGAGACGTGATCACGTCGAAAGAGATCGATGACTCCATCGACAGGATCGTCGCCGGGATGGAAGGCACCGCGATGACCGACGGCAGGAGCAAGATGCTCGTCGCTTACCACGAGATCGGTCACGCCGTTTGCGCGACGCTGACGGCCGGTCACGATCCTGTTCAGAAAGTGAGCTTGATCCCTCGCGGCCAGGCTCGGGGGCTGACGTGGTTCATTCCGCAAGATGATCCGACTCTGGTTTCGAAGCAGCAGCTTTTTGCTCGGATTGTTGGAGGGCTTGGTGGCAGAGCGGCGGAGGAGGTCGTATTTGGGGAGCCGGAAATCACCACCGGCGCGGCAGGGGATCTTCTGCAAGTTACCCAGGTTGCTCGGCAAATGGTGACGATGTTTGGGATGTCGGAGATCGGGCCGTGGGCGCTGACGGATCCGGCGGTGCAAAGCGGGGATGTGGTGTTGAGGATGCTGGCCAGGAATTCGATGTCGGAGAAACTGGCCGAGGATATCGACTCTGCCGTTCGCCGGATAATTGGGAAAGCTTACGAGATTGCCAAGGAACATGTAAGGAACAATAGGGAAGCCATTGACAAACTCGTGGAGGTGCTGCTAGAGAAGGAAACTGTTAGCGGGGATGAATTCAGGGCCGTTCTCTCTGAATTTGCCGACATTTCTGCCAACAGAGTCAAGACATTGCAAGTTGTAGAAGCAGCCAATACTTAAAGCCATGCCCATGTTAATGATATCATCCAGAACAGTCAGTTGACTGGAAAGTAGCTCACCACCAGTCGGGCCGATAGGAATAGGATATACATTAAGATTATGGAAATTTTGATGTTAGTGATGCATATCCATACTAAACCCAGCATTATTCACATGAAATTAATGTTAGTGACCCCATTGATTCAAGATGGTAAACGTGTTTATTTTAGTAATTGATTCACTTCAAGATGGTAAACGTGTTTGACCCCAGTGATGCAAAAAGGGCCCAAACGAGTAAAGGAGGGGAAAAGTGAAGCAAATTGGAAAGCTTTTCTGGTGTTAACGAAGTTAGGAGGATTCATGACCTTTCCAAGTTTCCATATCATCAGCTGAGCTTGAAAACAACTGATCTACATTAACTTTCAGTGGGGGACATGCAAAATCTAAACTAAAGTGGAGACTCTTCCAAATCGAACCCCAGAAAAGCTACTTAAGTCCAGCTTCAAACACTGCCTTTTCTCCCCAACCTCTCTGGCTCACCAGCCTCACAAACAAGAACCTTTTCATCATCAACATCAGCAAGTTGTAAACTTGAGAATTTACATACACAGTTTTTACCTTTGGCAGTTTTTCTCCTTGTTAGATCTTTCTGCTCCATCGTCTCTCCCCCTCCCTCCAGTTAAAACAGCTGGTGCATTATCTGCAACAGAGAGGTGTACGTCCCAAACACAACAATGATGACGCCTAACACCACTACCCCCCAGAGCAGCACCGTTTCGATCGAAAACCTCTTGTAGCTGCCGGAGATCTTCATGTAACATCCACAGGGAAGTATGATTGATGCAGTGACGCTCAAGAACGCTCCGACCAGCGACATGAGTTCGCCGAAGAAAGGCAGTGCTAGAGCTACGATTACTGTGCTGATGACGAATGCAGTGCTGATGAACATGCTGAATGGCCTCTTGTTGCAGTAGGCACGGAACCTCTTTTTGGCTACGTTCACAATGGGGGTGACCATGAGAGCGTACTTGGCAACTGGGTTGACCAAAGTAGTGTAGATTGCTACCTTCGCGCTGAACTTGTTCGTTGGAAGGTCTAATGTTATCTGGGATTGGACATGCGGTCCAAACATCATGTACCCGAGAACAGCCATCGACGCGTAGCAGAATGTGCAGAGGATGAAACACAATAGTAGGACCTGCATTGTGATGACAAACGGTCAGATTGAATAATAAGATCATTGGATTTTATCCGTGTTCAACATATGTTATGAACATTAGATATTTGATCATCATACTGGAGTAAAATGGTTAAAAGGCATAGATTCTACCGAGTTCACTGATTCCACTACTAAAAACATTTAAGATTCTTTCTATAGCAGGCATATGAATAGACTAGATTTGGCTAAGTAAACTCGTAAAAACATAAACTTTTTAGGAGTTCACACAGTGCTGCGAGTCCCCCAAAGTGTTTCTAATATCTAAAAGTCGTTTCACGGTGGGAATGGTTTCTTACATTGGAGAACTGTTGCTTATTCTTCATCGATGTGTAGAGAGTTGGGAAGACAGGATGCGCACAATAACAGAAGGCATACAAGCTAACAGCTGTTGGGATTCCACCCAAGTTCAATGGCGTACCAGTCTGACGAAACCCAACTCCCTCGAACGCTCCTGTCCAGAAAATTGAAGCAAGGATGATGGCAGAGGCCAAAACTCCACTCGCAGAGACGTAGGAGAGCAAGCTCAAGTTGTCGAGCCAAACTGAAGGCAAAATGATGAGTGCAACAAGTATGACGAAGCTTTGCCTGCCCCCTAGGTGGAACCCTGCAATTTCTATCTCCATGTCTGGAAACAAGTTCACCAAGTTATCCCCTTCGAGTATCAGGAATCCTGTTGCAACCAAGTATAGCTCTACGTTCATGAAGACCGATACCACGAGCCTTCCTTTTCTGCCAAATGCACGGTCTCCTATGTCGGGATAAGTTCTGATGCTGGAATCTTCCTCCATGCATCTTTTGATTAGCAAACCTGCGTAGAAGGTTGCACCGGCGATTACCATTAGGAAGATCAAGCTCAACCATCCTCCCGATGCTAGAGCGTATGGGGTTGAAAGTATCCCAACACCTGAAAAACGATAAACAACAAGGCAGCAATATTAGCAGCTGTGCTTCCACAGAAAAGAAAGGAACTTGAAACATGTTTATCCATGCTTCGCCAAAGTATTCACAGTTTAACCTGACAAGGCATTTAAACCATGGAACATGGTCTTGAAGGTGGAAGTTTTGCCATCGTTACGAAAACTATAACTGGATTCTAAATCATCATCAAGTTTGCAAGCATCCCGGTGCTGCTCTTCATCAATTATCAGAGGCACATCCAGTGAAGAGTCGCTGTGAGGATAAGCCTCCATTTTTGCAGCGAAGAGATGAGTGAAAGAAAGACTGAAACTTTCAAAAGCAAGAGGTTTTGAATTGAGAGAAAACTAATGCGCGGTAGGGCTTTATAGAGGCTGCTAGAGGTGGCTGGGGGATGAAGTAACCAAAACACATGCTTAGTACTCTTTAGAACCACCGTATTTATGGCCATGTAGCCAAAATGGAAAGCAACAAAAGCATATACTCAGACAAAGTGACCACCCGTACCACTCTATCAGCACTAACTTTGACAGACGTGTCAAACTGGAAACACAAAACACATGGGAATTAGGACCCCAGTTTAATCAAACTCCCTAATTCCCATACTTTGCAAGACATCTCACATTATAAAGACCCTTCATCACGTTCTGACAGTACAAATCGCTCCCAGGGACTGACTTACAGGAACTTGGACAAAGCCCCTTCCTTTACTGTTGGACACTTCCACTAAAAGGATAGGACCATCCTCCCACTTGCCAACCACGACAACCCCTTATCTTCTAGCCAATTCATCCCTCTGGAAACTGGCAAGTCAGTGAACCACTCTTACCATGACCACAGGAAACATGGCTGGTAGCGCTTGGAGACTATTCATAATGCCCATATTCCATATACCAAGAATTATCAAAATTATGCGCAAAGTTCTTAACTTTATTGCATAATATTGGAAAGGCAAGCAATTATTATGTCAACATCAGAGAATATAATTCAATGCCCGCCCCATACCTACTCTGGACCTTAGTGGTCTTAAATAGGATGTGCTCCAAATTTTACGGCTACCTTATAATTACTAATCATGAAGAAGATGGGGCCTTCTGACCAGGAATGAGAGCCTGCATCGTCACACCATAATCGATATATCAAGTTCTTTCTATTACAATAAGTTAAAATTTCAAAAAGGAGAATAGCTTGCTGGCTGCTGCAGCAGCTTACATGCTTGTATGTCTCACCCACAGAGTTGTAAAAAGGGATGTGGTTCCCAGATTTTGACAGGTTAACTTCTACAGTCCGCTCAAGTTCTGTGGACCATCCCATTAGAAAATCTGTACTTAATTATTTAGTACCTACCTATGTTTCACCATTTTAAGCATGATTTTAACCTCGAGATGAAAAATAGGTAGCTGCGCCAATCATTGATCATTTCGACTATAATCAGTGCAAATCATCATCCTGGCTACAATCAATGGGATGAAAAGTTGAACAAGGAAAGCCTTAGCTAGACGAACTGAACAGAGAAAGACAAACAATCAGTTTGTTGGCAAATTGTATGAGAATGTGGAAGTAAGCATCACGATGTATGAACATCAGAATTTCAGAAAGATACATGTTAGGATATGCATGAAAAAGATATATACTACCAAGTCATCATTGCTATTCTTCCTGTTTCATCATTGTTCTTGGAAGGATCACAAACTCTTGACATTAATCTTCTAATCCAAACTGTATACGTAACCATGAAGTGGAATTGAGATAAGGTGGCAGAGAAATGTTTAGTGGGTTGGTGAATCACTAGTCAAACATCCATCTTTCTATAACCCAAAAAATTACAGGTTTGGCAGCTGACTTTGTTCTGACATTCAAAAGGGTGCATGTATCCTCCTCTAGCTAGGGAGAAACACATCTAATAGAGAAACAACAAGGCATCATATATCTCTACTAGCAAAGTTGCTAATGAAACAAGCAAACAGAGAAGGCTAGAATCCAATGCTTCAATGACACTCTCATCAAAACTTATGTTATGCAATGATTACTATACAGGGAACTTAGCTCAGAATATGTAAGCATCCCCCATGAATTCAAAAATAAGAAAGGAGAAAAAGTTCATCAATTGGAATAGATGACTCATCATCAAGAATTTGAGGGCTCCCCTGTTTCCAGGGCAAAAAGAGGTGCATATATCCCTGTCTTGTTCTGTTCTGTTTGACGTCAATCTAAAACAGGGAGGTGGTGTAAGTGTACAACGACAGCTAATATTTCTCCATTCATTCCCTAGCTAAAGCACCGCCAGAAACTTGAACCGATTCTGAAACGAACAGTCTCTCTTTGGATTCATACGGAACAGAATATGAATCTACAAACAAACAAGCTCTTCACGAGATGCTCGCACGATGACACGAACAATGAAGCAAAAGAAAAGAATAAACAAGTAAATATTATTTCAGTGGGTGCATTAGGTTTAGGTCATAGTGGCCGCAGCAAAGAGACAAAAGGAGTCGAAAAAAGCGAGACCCCTTTTTCCACTTTTGGGTTCAATTCAATCACGTTGGCGGAATGCAGAACACAGAGAAATCACAATGGAAGGCTGAGATTAATAACCTGACAATGCGTTGAGGCCATTGAAGCAGGTGTTGAAGAATGTGGTGGTGCCCTCGCCGCCGCCGCCGCCTTCTTCGGTGGCGGAATAGTCGTGGTGGTGGAGTAGTATTTGGTGGTGGTGGGCGTTGCTGTAGCCCTTGGCGTCGAAATGCTCGGACTTCTTGTTGGTGTCGTTTTCGGAAGAGAAAATGAGAGGGATTGTAAGCGACAACGGGGGACTGTCTCGATTCCCGGCGGCGCCATCCATTGCCCGGCCGTACCTATTCTCTGACAGCGAAGAAAAACAACAAACGGAGGAGTGAGGGAGTGGGATCTTCTCTTCTCTACTTTTTTTGCCCTTCAATGGCGGTCTTGAAACAATACATTGACATTATTATCTCCGTCTCGTATCCCGCAACGTTCCCGGCTCCAAAAAAATTGCCACAGCTGAGCTCCACATGTCAAATCTCCTATATCGCCATGGCCGTAAATTACTTACCTGTTCAGCTGTTCTCGATAGGGAGCTAGAACGGAGAGAGATTTAAAAAAATAGCACGACAAGGTTTTCAAAAGTATATAAGGAATAATTAAGGGTGAATTGCAAGTTTGGTTACATGTATCATGTATGTTACACGATTGTCGCTCAAATTATTTTCGCTTCAATTTATTCATCAACACTACACATTTATATCATTCATGGTCACTTGTTGTCTAATTTCGTTAAATTTATCATACCTAGCCGTCACCAGTTATTTTTGAATGTTAAATATGGTAACATAACAATTAAAAAAATTATTTTTATTTCCACATCATACTAACATTTAATAAATGTTTTCTTTCATAAAAATTTAATAAAAAATTATTTTCATGAAAAAAACCCACTTAGCTTCTCTTTCTCCGCATCACTTGTGAGGTACATGATGAAAGTGTGTTAGGGGTGAGGACAAATTGTGGGAAAATCCTTAGGTTTATCTTTATGTGCGAAGAGTGTATATATGTTTTGTTCACTTGTGGAAAACTGGGGTTCTCGGCTATGTATATAGCAGAACAATTATCAAGGAACCATCATGTTGGAGTAGAGTGAGGAACTCCGAATTCACGCAGCAGCCCCTTCAACCAAACCACCTCTAAGGTGAGATTAGATAATGCACGATACTCAACCTCAGAGAATGACTTAGCTACTGTTTCTTGCTTCTGGGCTTTCCACGTAATTAAAGTTGTTCCGAGCATAGTGCATTATCCATGAACGTCTAGTGTCCGGACATGTTGCCCAATCTGAATCAGAGTATCCAAAAAGTTGAAGAAGAAGAAGAAGAAGAGACCTTGTCCCGAAGAGTTTTTCAGATACTTTAGTACTTGAAGTGATGCACAGTAATTAGCAATTGTTGGTCCAAGCTGAAACTGGATGAGTTGTTGTACAACGAAACAAATATCTAGTCTCGTGATAATGAGATATTGCAGTCCTCCAAGCAAGCTCTTAAAGTTGGCGGTATCAACCAAGGGAAACCATCCGAGGCCGAGAACCTGAACTTAATATCCACGGGTGTTACGCACGGGTTTGCAATCAGTTAGCCCTGCATCAGAGATCAACTTCAAGCAATATTTTCAATGGCTTACGTTCAATCCTGAAGAGTGTCAAGCAATTTCCAATCCTAAGAAGTATTTAAGAGGGTCCAAATCTCTAATTTTGAACTGACTCTGTAGAAAGACTTTGGTTGAATTCACAAGTTCCTTATCTTGTCCAACAACCACCATATCATCTACATACACAAGAATCACAAAAAATGCATTTCATGCCCCGTTAACAAACATGATGTGGTCTGAGTGTGAGTCGCAAACTCGTAGCTAACAAGAGCATAAGTGAGCTAGAAATACCACTACAGATTCGCCAGGTGGTGAGGACATAAACACCTCTTCATCTAAATCACCATTTAGAAAATGCATTACTAACATTAAGCTTATCCATACACAAACCATTAACACTACTAATTGCCAACAGTGTCTTCACCGTGTTAAGTTTCACTAGGGGAGAGAATGTCTCAAGAAAATCAACCCTATACATTTGCGTGTATCCCTTTGCAATAACACGAGCTTTGTGGCGCTCAATAGTTCCATTTGGGTTGAATTTAGTATTAAAGTCCATTTATTTCCTATAAATGTCTTCCCTATAGGCAATGAAACAACATCCCATGTATGATTATCATCATGGGCATGTAGTTCAAAATTCACTGCTTGGTTCCAACAAGGTTGAAACATAGCCTCTTCAAATGTTTGGGGTTCAATGTCATGATAAATATTAAGAACATAACTCAAACATTTGGGAGAGAGTCAGGCAACCTTAGGGAACTTGGGAAATTTTGATGCAAGCACACATGACACAAGCTACATTCATATACATCCAAGTGTTATGGGGTCACCTGGCCCAGTCAGGATACCTAAGTATGGGTTGACTAGGTGAGATACGCTGGTTAGATGAAGATTTTGTAGAAGACGAGTGGGAACTATTGAACTAGGAGAATGTGCAGAAGAAAAAGAAGGGAAACGAGGAGAGGGTGGAAAAAGAGATGTTTGAGGGCTTCGGGGACTACTGACAGGTTCTGTGGGAGGTGAAGAAGAGAATATAGGGATGCTCCTAGGGCCGAACGACGCTGCAGAGGAGAGTCGGCAGAACTAAGATTGCTAGGGGAGGAATTTTCAGAAGGGATGGAAGGAGATAATGCTCGAAAAGGGAGGATGTGTTCATAAAACTTGAAATCCCTAGAAACAAAGACTTGATGAAAATCTAAGTCATTTAACTTAAAACCCTTAATTCCTCAAACATACCCTATAAAGACACATTGTCGAGCACGAGGAATAAATTTTGTTCGATCTCTCCCTAAAGTTGAAGCATAACATAAGGGGTCGAATACACACAAATTGGACATATAAGGAGGGACACCATGAAGAACCTCAAAGGGTTTTTTTATTGGAAACGTCTTCACTAGGTGTACGATTGATCAAATAGACCGCGTGGATAACAAAGACAACCCAAAAGGAAAGGGACATACCAGATTGAAACCGCAAAGCCCAAGCAACATTGAGAATATGTTGGTGCTTGCGTTCAACACGAGTGCTTTGTTGTGTTGTTTCGACACATGATATTTGGTAAATGATGCAATATTTATTAAAAAAAGAAGGACATGTGAAAGTCTTTACCTTGATCGTTACAAATAACTTTAACTTGTGTTTAAAATTGGGTAGCTAACATGGCACAAAAAAAATTCAAAATGAGAAAACGTTTCACTTTTTTATTTCATTAGGTAAAACGCATACAACACGAGATTTATCGTCAACAATAGTGAGAAAATATCTATGACCTTCCTGGAAAACTCAGATTGATAATCACTCATTTTGGCAAAAATTGATAATCATTCAATTTAAGTGATTATAGGTGGGCCTATAATAAAGTAATGCATGTATTCTATCACAGTAATATCATTCCTACCAAATGGGAAGAACGACAAAAACCAATTGTCAATCTTTTATTATTTATAATTATTATTTTTAAAAGAGCACAGTTTTTTATCCATTTATAGAGCACAATAAAATTAGAAAAAATTACTAGGAATCATATATATATAGTAATTTGCCTAGTATTAGGATATTATATTTGGATGCCTAATAGGACAAAAGACTATGTCCTCATCTTCTCTTACGAGATCTCTCTTTATAATATTGTCTTATCTCTACATTCATATACACCACCACATATATCTCGTATTAACTTGAGCATCAAAGTATAGATCACGGGATCACCCCCCCCCCCTCTCCACAAGTTCATCAACTCTTGAAGAGATTGAACAAAAAATTATGAATAAGAGCACCAGATTGAACAAAAAATTATGAATCAGAGCACCAAATTATTATTATTGTTATCAATTCAGAATGTTTTTGGTGGAAACACCTAGTGATATAGGAATTAGACTAGCATAAAGAGTGTTTTATTCGAATTTCAGGGTTAGTTATTGTAATTTATAAAGAACACCACTTAGACGTAGACGAATATTGATCTAAGTTGTACGCCTGTATTAGGGCAGGGAATCCAGTCACAGTTTTCCAGTCAAACCAGAAACAACCAGTTTAAACCATCCCGGTTGCAACCGAAAATCGGATGCAACCCGAACTAGTTCGGATTACGGTCGCCAATATATTGAGAAAGACCGTACCAAGTATAACCCGGTTAAAACCGCAATAAATCGAAAACCGGACCCTGTCTTATCCTGAAGGCCAAAGCCAAGCCCAACCCAGCCAAAACATACCCACTCAACCAAAGCCCAACCCGACCCCAACTCACCACTCAAAGTCCAAAGTCCATCCAGACTTGCAAAATCCTAAACGCCAACTCTCAAGCACTCCTCCAGCTTCTCTCAAACTTGTCAACTGCCGCATCTCTGTCCCTGAGCAGCACGTCGAAATCCATTCTTCTTCGTTCTCTCGTCGGCGTCCAACATCTCTCCCTCCAACTTTGGCGACATCTCACCCTAGACGGCGAGTCAGGTCTCTCTCTTCTCGAACTCCACCGAGGATCCGACACTGCTCTCGAGTCTCGAGGATAACATGCACGACCGTCGCCCTGCTGACATCGCCGCCAAGATCCCAGTTGACATCGTAGCCAAGATCCAAACTTTGTTTGTCGAATCGCGGTGAAGAGGACAACGACGGAGGCGATGATGTGCTTGCGTCGACAACTGGATTGGGTTTTGATAGCGAAGAGAAGGAGAAGACGAATCAGGAAGGTAGAGGGAGCAGAAGAATCGAAGGAGGGAAGAAGTGGATCTTCTGGAGATTGGAGAGGGAAGTGGGGGGATTAGGGATTGTCCAATGTGCGGGTGGGACTTTGGGAAAGGAAACAATCCACATCCAGCTTTTGGTTGAAACCGGATCGGACCGGAATCCCATTCAGTCCAATCAAGGTTGAAACCGGATCGGACCAGAATCCCATCCAGTCCGGTCACGGTTGAAACCGGGTACTCATCCAATCCCGTCTTCGGTTGTGATATTGGTCAAAACGATTTTAAAAACCCGCTTAATCTGATCCAGTTTTAACCGGACTGGAGCAGACCGTTTTCCCACCCCTAGCCTGTATATGTTTGCTCACAATGGATTAGAATGAGTCCCGAAACCAAAAGAGTCTCCTTTTAGCTGGTTGAAATACTTCGGATGGTAGGCACTAAAGATTTACGGGTCGTTTGCTTTGTGTGATTTGAAAAATGAAGGTTTTGGTAAAACTTGGGTTTTGTAAAACCATGGATATAAGAGTTTTGGGTTTATTATGGACTTGAAAAATACCATTGTTTGTTTCATAGATTTTATAATTGAATTGGTTAATTAGATTTGTATGTATGAAATGAAATTTTCCTTTATTGCCCTCATTGGTATGAGAAGAGAATTGAAATGGGAGGGGTAGTTTGGTCTTAAATGATGGACTTCAAAGTCCATGCTCAATTTCCACCTACATATGTGGAACTTTCAATTCCGTGGGGTCCACATATTTGGACCCACAAAGGTTGCGGGACCCACAGATTTGTTGCCCCTAAATACATGAAGCAAACAATGGATTTCAGACAAAGTTCATAATAGATCCAAATCCATCACCAAATCCATCAAGCATAGGACAAGCAAGTTGTTTCGTTGTGGGCTCTACGAGCAGGGCCCCGATCAAGCAACCAAAGCCAAGCCATGAACTTGTTGGTCAAGGGTTCGAACTTCCACCATTTAGTGCGACTTCTATTTACTATAAACAAAACAATGATTATAGTGTTGATTTGTCAAAATAAAAAAATGATGCATTTGGCAAAGGTAGGGCATAAAAGGGTGGATGTCGGACTCAGTTTGAAATTCATACCTTATATCCAGTTGAATCGCAATAACAATTGAATTACACACATTATGATATGTATTTGTCTTGGTTTATTTTAACGATTACATAAATGATTTCCACTGAATAAAACTTGTAGTTATTAATTTCTTCATTTTCTCATTCTTGTCTACTTTCGATTTCGCTCTTTAATTAAAAGCACCTTTTAAGCCCTCTCCTAGCTGATAATGATTGTGACAAAGAATCTCAAGAATTATTATTAGTGTCTGTGTATCAACTTGTAAAATTTGTGTTGTTACGTCACGTATTTCATTAAGTGTTCTAAGTGTATTTGTCGCAATGTAGTATATGAATAATGCACTTTAAAGTCAAACGATTGATGAATTCATGATTTATTTTGTTTAATATATTGAAAGGAAACATAATTGACAACTAGTTTGGATAATGCGCGTATTTTGGCAAAATTTTCAAAATTTGAAAACACATGGCGGTTCATTATAAACATACAAAAACACGTGGATGATGCATGTAAAAATAACTAACCAAAAACAATAACCGAAAGCACAATTAAAAACAAAAGCTAAACAAAATTCACATCAATAATTTTGTAGATGATCATAATGAGAGTACCTGACCATACCAGCATGTCTTGATCAACATTGTTGAATTTGACACCGCAGACGGGCATTTGACTGAGGGATATACATTGAAGCTGGTATGCCGGCTCAGGAAAAATGGAGAGCTTGGTGGAAGAATGTGAAAGAAATTACGTTGATATTAGGAATGTTAAAATAATTATCATGGTAATTATCGAACTAAATACTGCTAAATTATATTAACTGTGGAATAAAATACGTAAATCAAATCGTCCAAATTAACAATAACCAATTTACCAATTTAAAGTTTAATTGGTTTGGTTAATTTGTTAATTGCATTAACCAATATAACATAATATTATCATTACTTGATAAAAAAATGGCAAAATATATGCATAGCCACACATTTCGAATTTCTCACAATAATAACAAATTTTTAATAAATCTAGTCATTTCATTTACGAACTTTAACAGTGTTAGACGTCGTTAGTTAGGATAACGGTATTGCTAATGTGGATGCCACCTTAGCTTACACATCAACTCCAACTAGACATGCCATGACAACTAGATGTGATATCATATTTTATTTTAATTAAAAAAAACTCATAAATCCCTTCCACATCGATGCCACTTCGTCTTCCCAAATCCCCTCTGTCAACTCTTTGTCCTCCCAAATCCCTCTCTACGAGCTTTCAAGAATGCAAAACTCACCCAGATCCTTAAACCCCCCAAACCTAGATCCTCCGCTGCCTACAACAAACGCAAAATTTTTGGCGTAGTGATTAAGGTTCATAGATTGTGGGATTCAAAATCCACCATCGTCAAGTCCTTTCATCGCTCTCAACCCGAACACCACTCCCTCCCCTCCATCGATGCCTCTATCATCATATCCCTGCTATATATATTACTCCTCAGTCTAACAGCGGTGTCATAACTATCCTCCTCCAATAGCTCCATCTCATCCAAGCGGTATATAAATTTGGTATTGGTATTTACCGATACAAAAATTTTAGGAATCGGGATACTGAATTTGTTTGAGGATTGAGATTAGGATTAAAGTTGAGTTTATAATACTATTTGGTATTTGACATTTCGATATTTGACATCGATATATCGATACCCTATCGATTTTCGCCCCTAATTATTATTTGCTCCTTGAATCCAAGTAGTTGGTTTTCTTTGGTTCGGCTATAAATCTTAATTTAACATTTAAAATACTAATGTAGATATGTTGAATTATTTTCATACCCAATTTAAATTTATGTCGAATCAGCACAAAGCCACGAAACTTGAACTTCTCAACAAATAAAATTTATAATAACTAATATATGATATAATTCTCAAAAAGGTATCCAATGCATGTAACATGATTCTTAATGAAAGCCATTTCAGGGAATTGTAAGCATAGTAGTATTTCTACCTAAAAACCAGTGTCCATTAAACCGTACCATACCGGCGGTTCAACCACGAAATACCAGTATCGGAGGCTAAACCGATATGCGGTATTTATCGGTATAACGGTTGAACTACGATTAAACCATGGTTTTATCATAAAATAACCTACCGCTGACTTTCCCGATACGGTCTCCGGTACGGTTTCATGGACCATGCTAAAAACAAGAAATATATTTATTTTGATATAAAAAAGAGTATACATAAGAGGGCTATAAGCCTGCAGAAAATAAAATTTGGTCCATAAACATAATAGCCCACCAGGCCCGTGGAGAGCTTGGTCTGAGCCAAACCCTAAAACGTCTCAAGTACCCGCAGCCGCCTCAATTATACTTGGCCGATGAAAAAAGAAAATAAAAAGTGTGGTTGGTCGAAAGTAAGTACAACGGCTGTAAAATGTAAATATAACTGTTGGGAATTTCAACGAGGATAACCCCATCACAGCCATCCACGTGTGACGCATCGAAAAATTCAATTAATCGAACGGCTCCACGTCTCCCACGATTGAGCTCATTTACTTCTCTACCCCTATTCTCCTCTACATAATCTAACACAACCTGCCAGACTGTTCGACTTTCCCCACTTTACGTCATACGCCAACCAGAAGCTCTCTCTATCTCTCTCCCCTCTCCTCTCTCCTCTCTCAAAGTTTCTTCCTTTCTCCTCCCCTCTCTCTTATCTTCTAAATCCCTCAAAGCTTCTTCCTTTCTCCTCGCTCTGTCAATTAGATCTGGCAATTTCTACCATGTCCCTGCCAATTTCGCGTTCCTTCTTCAAAGTTTCCATTGGTCCGATATCCAGATCTCCTCCAATTCTGAGATTCCATGGCTCTGCCGATTTCGTCGATCTGCGACTCCCGGCTTTTACCGACTGGATTTGTGCCGACCACCCGATGGTAAGGTTTGTACCTCCTTGTTTTATATTTTTCCTTACTTATTTTCATACTGTTCTTCTAGATCTGATCTTTTTTTTAATATTATCACCAGACTACCGGCTCTGCCGATTTAGCCTATCGGCCACTCCCGGCTCTGCCGTTTTCGCCTATCGGCGACTCCTGGCTCTACCGATTTCGCCGATCCGGGACTCCGGATTTTACCGACTAGATCTGCTCCGACCACCGTATGGTAAGATTTGTACCTCTTGTTTAATGATTTTTTCATACTGTTCTTCTAAATCTGATTTTTTTCCTGCAGATTTCCCACATGGAGGATTGGTCAGCCGTACCTCCATGGATGGCAGTAGAGAGAAGCTGCCGAGGTAGGTTTTTCTCTTTCGTGTTATTAACGTTTTGGCCTATTTGCTTTTTGTTTTTGCAACCGGTTCATGGGCCACAGTTGATTAGAGGCCGTGTTACATTGAGCCATGGGCTGAGCCCACAATTCTTCCAAACCCACAATTCTTCCAAAACGCCCAACGGGCCTCCCACATTTTGAGAATTCTCCGAAGGTACTAACGGCTTACTTTCAAATGATTTTGTTTACAGGGCCCAAACCATGTCTGTGTTCATATATAAATGTCGCTAGTGATATCAGCGAAGAGCAAAATCATCTTTATTCGCTGGTGCTCTCGCTAAACCCTAGCAGACGATTTTCCAGGTTTTCTTCTTCTCTGTAGGCTTGGTTTGAAAATGGAAGCTGATTATGTTCTATGGTCGTATCCTTTGCTTGGCTAGAAATTGCAAGCTCATTTTCTTTTCTCTCGACGTTTCCTTTTCTTGCCTAGAAAATGGGAGCTCATTTTCTTCTCTCTCGTCATTTCCTTTGTTTGGTTAGAAAATGGAGATATCTCTGCTCTATCGTCGACGTTTGCCTTGTTTTGAAAATGGAAGCTGAATTTCTCTTCTCTGTACTTTTCGTTTGCTAGATTAGAGCTGGAGTTGATTTTCTCTCTGTGGAGGTTCCATTTGATGCTAGTCTACCACGAGAATTAGATAATTCTTCAATTGTTTGATTACAACGGATGTTGATTTTCTGTTTTTGTGGTGGTTCCCTTTGATGCTAGTCTACTACGAATTGGATAATTCTTCACGTCTAGCAGGATCTGCTGTATGAATGTTTGGGGATCTCATGGTGTTTGGTATTCTGTCCATTTTCTGGATCTAAGTGTTTGCTTGTTCTTTGATTTGATTTTTGGGTGCTGTTATTTGTTTGATGATTCTTATTCATTATTCTTTTGTTTCCTGGAAGTAACGTTCAAATCTCTTTGATGCTTATCAGGAAGGAACTCAATCTCTTTGTTTCCTGCAAGTAACATTTCTCACTCTAGGGAGATGGTTGACGGAAACTGGAAGTGCCAAGTCTGCTCGAAGGTTATGGCGATGGATCTTTGTTACCGCCATCGCGAATTTCACACAAACTCGTACCGTGAGGTATGCTATTAATTTGTGCCATAGTTGTTCATACTGCGATTTTTCCCTCAAATCCATATTTCTCGTTATATCTGTGTTTGCATCTGCGTTTGCAGTGCAACGTGATTGATCTTAAGCATACTTTGATTTTTCCTTCAAATCCATAATTCTCGTTTTATCTGTGTTTGCGTCTGTGTTTGCAGTGCAATGTGAATGTGCTTAAGCATGTGCTTGGTAGCTCTGTTGATCTTGGTGGTGCTCTGAATCATGGAAAGGTTATATTTAGTAACCCTTCGAATTTTCGCTAGGTTAATGCCTTTCATTTGATGTTTGTTCCTGAATGGTGTATTTTGTTCTTTCAGCTTAAAATATCTTCACTCAAGAAGATCATCAGTGCTTCTGGTCGTCAGAATGATATTGCAAAGCCTGTTAAGGTTCGAATTCTTTCTTTGTTCTAGTGATTTAAACTGTTGAATTTGTTCCATTATAGCGTGTGTTTGAATGCCTTTACATATTGAATGTGTTCCTTTCCAAATTGTGTATATATGCAGTCTAACTAGTCAGTTTAACTGTTGAATTTGTTACATTATACCGTGATTGTGTTTGAATCCTTCCCATATTGAATTTGTTCCTTTCTACATTGTTTATATATGCAGCAGGGCAAGGTGAAAGAGGATAGGAAGGGACCGAAGGCTTTGAAGACCAAGTCTGTTAAGAAATAAGGTGGAAAATTGGAGGAAGTGGCAGTAGTATATGAACAGAATGGAGTTTAGAACTTGTGATTGTTGAATGGTTATTTCGTTTACATGCCATTTGAAAACAATGTGGTTGGTTAGAACTTGTGGCTGTCACTGTGGCTGTCATTGGAACCTAATATGTTTACTGTCTTGTTTGCTGAGTCTATGAACAAATGGAGTTTTAGAACATGCGATTGTTGAATGGTTATTTGTTGAATGGTTATTAGAGGAAGCAGCAATAGTCTATGAACAAAATGGAGTTTTGGAACTTGTGATTATCGGATGGTTATTTTGTTTATATGCAATTTGAACACCATTTGGTTTATTAGAACTTGCTCATTGTGGCTGTCAGTGAAAACTTATATGTCTACTTTCTTGGTTGCTGAGTAGGTGCTGAGAGTATAATATAGCTGAATTTTATCATCTTTTCAGTAATTTTAGCTCGTTTTGAATACTTCAATCAGTTTTTTTTTTAGTATTTACAGTTGCTCATGGAAGTTCAGGTAGAGTCGGTGCTGAGAGTATAAAATAGCTGAAATTTATCTTCTTTTCAGTAATTTTCGCTCGTTTTGAATACTTCAATCAGATTTTTAGTACTTACTAGAATCAATACCCGCGGCTACGCCGCAGGGCCTTAAGTTGTTGTGTCGTGATTAATAGATGGGCAATTATGGTGGCAGGAGTAAACATCACACTGAAAACATAACTAAGAGAATGCTCAGTAGTCTGCCTCAATAGCTAAAAAGAAAAGCCTGCACATAAGTTTCTGAAAGGAGAACTTGAGATCTGCAGCATCGAAAAAGAAGCTGATAAAGAGAGTATATCAGATTGACAACAAAGAGAAAACATTCTAAAGACCGTGTCAAAGAGTTAATTTTTCGTTCGTATGAAAAGAGTATGGCAGTAGCAGAAACTTGACGCTAAACTATCCATTTAGCAGTAACAACAATAAAACCGAAACACTCTACTTCAACAACATCGTCATAAGCAAAAACTTTTAAGGGCACATGCATTAGCGCTTTCATTAAACCCACTCTCCCATTTGAAAGCTACCATGGGCCAGAACTCGAACACGTGCACTTGGATGGTCAAATGGTTAACAAACAACATCAGGCCCAACTTCAGTTGCAACAGCAACAGATGCATGCAGTAGAGGAAAATTACGGCGGGGATGGAAGGGCACATACGAATAGGAAACAACATGGTGGTGCTAGGCTCGCTAGGGCAGGCAAATAAAACATACAAAATGATGGACATTAAGAACCTGCTTTGTGAGAATAGCTAAAGTGGATACATGACAGGATAAAGAGAAGCACAACCACATTGGAAAGGGGAGGTAGAGAAACAATCAAGGGTAGCCGTGTAACTACCATTTAACTTGTAGGATAAGAAATTCAAAGTAAATAGCAGGGTCCAAGGATCCAGATAGGTTGGAGGTTATACATAAGTAAAAGATAAAGAAGATTACAAAACCAGCATACAATCTTTTTTTGACAGTAGCATACAAACTCAATGGATGGGAAGTAGAATGCAAGAGGCCAGAGAGAGGGACTGGCAAGCTGAGGCCTCAACTGAGAATCTTGACTTATTCCATCTCTTGCTTCCAGGTACCATCCCATGCACACTGAGAAGAAAAGGAAGAAAAAAAACGTATCGGAAACATGTCTAATCTTCACGCTCAATAGTACCAATAAGTTGCAGGAAGCTAAAAGAAAATCATCAAGTTAATATTAAAAGTCAATAACATTTCTCTTTAAAATGCAGTATCCAGTGAGATTACCATCCAAGGGACCAACCCATGTAACATCTGACTTCAGAATTTATTGAATAAACAATTTTCAAATGGAAACAAAGGGGTTTAAATGCAAAAGTATGTACGAAAATTAGACTACACCAAACGAACACGCAATCAGTGTTCAACCGTATGGGGTCGAAACTCAAGACTAACTCTATAGGATATTTGGATCTCGTGCACTCAGATACCATCAGCTGTAAGGAAACAACCTGAGAAGTTCAATATCCCCTGCGCTATCATCTTTAAAAGTTAAAATGGCAAGAAATCTGGCACTGGGCAATGCGTGTGTTCTGTAAACTCATTCAAATTGATATCCATAACAGAATCACAATACCATCATCCAAACAAAATTTCAACAGAAGGAAGAAAAAAACTAACAGATACTGGTGGTCAGTTTTCATTCATGCATACTTTCAAAAGTCACAGATGATTACTCTGCTACCAGTTCAGCTGGCACAGTTCTGATTGCTTGACATCCATGCCCATGTCAAGAGCAAAGGTTTCCACATCAAGGATGGGAGTTTAAAGAGGTAAACATGAGCCGAAACTGACCTTGGTATGGAAAATGGGTTCGTATGTGCGGAAGTTTGAGGCCGATCTGATTTTGTTGATAAAGCCAAATGAGAGCAACAGTCTTGCTCTTTCTGCATAGGCAATGGGAGGATGTTAGATAAAAGATAACCAAGTGTAAAATGAAAGCATAAGCATGCTTCTAGAAATGGTAATAGTAGAGTTCTTGATATGTACTCTCATGGCAGCTAAACAAATACAATGCTCCTATTCTAATCACTTGATTTGAGGTTTTCTTTTGCTTGAAGAAAATGAGATTGAAGGAACGACGCCTTTAGGGTGTTCAGCCTTATGCTTCCTTTCTTCTTATCATACCTTTAAAGTTTCAAAGAAGCACGATTTTGGAAGTGGTAATAGTAGAGTTCTTGATAGATACTTTCGGGGCATCTAAACAAATACATTGCTCTTATTCTAATCAACTGGTTTTAGGTTTTCTCTTGCTTGAAGAAAATCAGATTGAAGGAACAATGAATTTAAGGGATTCTGCCCTATGCTGAATGAATCTTCTCCTTTAAGAAAAACAGTTGGTACGCACATGAAAGAGATTCTCGCTTGACATAGATAAAGCTATGTTGAGCTAAACAACAAATAACATTTGCAATCTTGCCATTCTTCAGGAGAAACCAAATTTTGCGCATTCAATGACCAACATCTTAAAGCAACAAACCAGCAACATTAAGAAGTAAAGACAAATAATAAAGGCAAACATAAGTCAGTTTTACTGTAAAAGGACAGATCAATCCTTAAACCCAGGAGAAAGCAGAACAAAAACACAAAAATTAGGTTTCTATAAGCCTTTTCTATTGAGCAGGCCATTCTTGGTTATGTAAATTGTAAACTATTAAACAGGCCAATGAAGATTTGACTGAAACACAAAGGCTTCAGTTCCAAAGCTGTCACTTGGAGAGTATGACTCAAGTGGATCACATTAAGTGCAAAGTTCAATCATTCTATAAGGAACTAACTAACCGATGGCAGTGGTTGATAATGACCTGAATCTTATGTTATTCACAACAACCACTCTTCAATGCACAATTACGAAATAAGAATTGAGATTACAGTAAGAAGCATGTGTGACGGAGAAGACTGGAAAGATTAGATTAATGAAAAGCAGGAAAATCAGTCGTGTAAATCCAGTCAAACACTACATATGTATGCTGACTGCTGAGACAAAGATACTTACTAATAATTGCTCAGCATGCCTCCTTAAATGAAGTTTCCTTCCTTCATCTTCAGAAACCAGTGGTTCTGGCCTTCTGGGTTCTTCATTATCTCAGAAACGTCCATATGCTATAGGAGGCAAAAAAACATACATTATTTGTGAAGTATCTCATTCGTTTTAAAATTCAGTTTAAGAATCCTATAGTTCTATTCCCATCGTTCACTTAGTTGAGTTCAGACAACTATATACAGAAAGCTGATTAAATGATGCCTACACATAAAGAAATTGAGCTGAATCTTTACCTCATTCTAGCAGCAACCTTCCTTGCAATGTCCATTTCAAGCTCTGAAAGGCATAATAAATCGGCAACCACGAACAAAGAACCATTAAAAGAGAGTGGCAATCAAATGTCAAAACAATTATAAATCTCAAGCTGCTTTATTTTGATGCCATAAGCAGAAGGGAAAGAAGTTACATGGCTAAATGTGATGGAATCTGATAAATGAAAGTCGTCTCTACACTAATACAAACCTACAGATTTATTTGGAGTTCAACCTAGTGTTAAGAGAAGAATAGAAAGAAGATCAACATTTGAACACAATGTTTTTGGATAAATTTAAGCTGTACTATACTCTGCCAATCGAAACAACTAACTGGTTATGATAGTGAAATTAAGACAAAATGAATTGTGAACGGTTTACTCTTAGACTGTAAAAACCTGCTTAATTTTCATTTCTACCTGAAACAAATTGGGCAAGTCTCATGCCCACTTTAGCACTTTCCGTGCAACTGTGTTGCCTTTTCTCCGATTCACCTACTCCTAGTCATAGTCAGTTCTATCACGCTCATTCTCCATCAAACAAATCCGCCGTGTCTCCGTGTGCTGCTGCCAAGAAAATTAATCACAAATAAAAAGCTAGTTGAACTTGTACAGTATAATGCACTCGCTGGCTTATGTGAGCTTAGAGGCGAGGAGAAAGTTTAACACATCATACTGGATAAGACGAAATACATTAAAGCATGCAAAATTTTATAGGCGCGAGATGGAAAAGGGAAGAGAGACATAAACCAAATAAACCCTTATAAAACTTTTGTATATCGTTAGAAAATGTATTGCCGAAAAGACACATGGATAAAGAATGCAAGCCTATGAGTAGCCTAAAAATGTCGACTGAAAACACTTAACAATTCCCTACCTCACATTCTTCTAGTTACGCATACCAACGAAAGCAATTGGTGGTTTAAACATATAAAAAATTGCAGTAAAGAATTCCATAAGAATTAACATAAGCACACCCATAGAACCATTACAGTATGAAGTGCAAATCTGTTTAAGAGGCTGGGACCGCAATGTTGAGCAGGAGTCAAAGGAAAGCTTCTGGAGCTATGGGAACCAATGATTTCTTGCTGGTCTTTGCTGAAGCGCCAACTCCTCCATCATCTACCAATAACTCCATGGGAGGCGGAGCAGTAACTCAGAAGCCAGAACTGGAATGGAAACACAAATGGATTGATTGATTACATGAGAAGCCGAGCTTGCGGCCTTTGAACAAAAAACATATCCTGAGAATTCTAAACTGCAACTAATTAATTGTACTCATTCATTCACTCCCACACACACACACAAATCGCTCCTCCATTCTGCTGTGCTTGTACCGTTGCCTCCTATTCCAATTTGATCCCGGCTTCCTCTTCTTTTGGGTTCCACGGCGACCAATAGCGGGGGAAATTTGAGGGTATGCGTTGCAAGAGAGAAGAATGGAATTATGGAGGGAGAAACCATTTGTCTCCCATCAAGTACAATTGAAGGCAACTGGCGGAGGGAATAAAGCATTGTAGAAGTAGAACGAAGGTGTTATGGTGGAGCAATCGTTAACTGACTCGCGTAGTCAGCCGTTCTTCTCATGAAGGACAGAGGCAAAAGAGGTAAGGTGGAAGTGGAATGAAATTTGATTGAAGAAGCAGAACCGGAATTCGGGAAGACAGAGGAGAGGCGCTATGCTAATACAGAGGAGCAGGGCAAGGACAGCAGAAAACATGGGCGTTGGCGTATGGAAGCATCCGCAAGGAATCGTCAACTCCGCGAAGCACCCAGAGTGATGGGATGGCAGGAGACGACGTGCGGAAGCGGATTTATGGGAGTGGGGGTCAAGGGATGGTGAGAAGGTACTGAACCATGCCGTTGATTCGACTGAAGGCAGGCGGCAACGGGCCGCTGATTCGATCGAGTCGAAGCGGCGGCAGTACGGGAGACGGCAACTACTCCGCTGTGGGGAGATGTCTGTGCGAACAACTAAAACCCTTTCTTCACAAAACGACAAAAAATGAAACAGTAGCAATAAGTTGAGGGTAATAAAGCGTACCCACTTTTTATCTTTTAAAGAACAGTTGCTCATGGAAGTTCAGGTAAAGAAACTTGTGCTCTGTTCAAAAAATGTAATCAATCATGTAATTCAAGATAAAAGTAATCATCCTATGTGATTGAATTAAGATAATGGTTTATCTTTCTGTTGTGCTTACAACAAGCGAATAAGTTGTGCTTACAACAAGCGAATAAGTTGATGTGTATGGGAGTGGAAATGCTCTCAACTGTTCACAGCGTGGACCCTTCTCCGGCGCCGGTTTTTTCAACAACCGGTCGTCCGCCGGACACGGGGCAGACTCATAACGCACCTTCTGATATCGTCGTGGTGGCCTCACCACCAAAAGAGCCTTCCTCCAGGACAGCGATGTTGGTGGATTCGTCTGCCGGTCACGCCGTCTCGGGGGAGATCTCAGCCGCAGCAGTGGCGAACGCTAACGCCAGCAACCAATTGACGCTTACTACTCCTCCGTTTCCTCAGACCTCGACGGCGCATACACATCCCTCCTCCTACGCCGGTGTGCTCATAGGAGGGCAGCTCGTCCCTATGTCACAATCGTTGGCGACTCAATGGACTCCGGTCGGCGAACATGATTTGATTCCGGGTGAGCGCAATGGCGAACCGGCCTTGAATATCTCGTCGGAGTTCAAGAACAGACTATGCGCGCCGTGGCACCGCACTCTGGTGATCCGTCTTCTGGGTATTAAAATTGGTTTCCATACCCTGTGTTCTCGACTCAGAGCCCTCTGGCGACCAACAGGGGCGATGGAAATCAGGGATTTAGATGAAGCAAGCTTTTTGGTGAAGCTAAACAACGATCAGGACTACTTTAAAGCTCTCACGGATGGTCCCTGGATGATTTTTGATCATTACATTGCGGTTCAGCAGTGGACGCCTCGTTTCAAAGTTTCAGATCCCCTCCCAAGGAAGATGATCGTTTGGGTCCATCTGCCTGAGCTCAAAATCCATTTTTACCACAAAGAGGTCCTCACTAGCCTGGGAAATCTGATCGGGCGTACGATCAAGCTAGATTACCACACCCTTACTCAACAGAGGGCAAAATTTGCTCGCCTCGCTGTAGAAGTGGATATCTCCAAGCCTCTTGTTCCAAGGATTTGGCTTGATGATGATTGGCAGCCGGTTGAGTACGAGAATCTACCCGTCGTCTGCTTCGAATGCGGGAAAATCGGCCATGCCTCTTCTGTGTGCCCTCTGCTCCGCCCAACGTCGACCACGGAGGTGAATGTTTTGGCCGGCGGGGAGAATCCTGACCCCTCGTCGGAAGGGACGCCGGAGACGAAGGCTGGTTTCGGACCATGGATGCTCGTATCGCGCAAAGGGCGGCGAAATCAGCGGGAGACGAACAGCAAAGGAAAGCAAAAAGATTCGGGGGCCTCACCTCAGGCGATCAAAACTAGATATGGAAAGAATGGACAAAAAAGCAAGGAGTCGAGGGAGCCATTACCTTTCCTGGATCAGCAGAATTCGCCGTCTCCTCAACGGTCTGCGGGGCAAGAAAGGAAAGCGAATGGAGAAGGCTTTTTTGGAGCGGATAAGAGGAAGGGTAAAGGAATTTTGCGGGAGGAGGAGACAAACACAGGGAAGGGGCTTCTTGGTCCAGGCCCAACTGCTGGATCCATGGTCAAGAAAGGGCCAAAGCCCAATGCGGAGACCTCTAAAGCCTCCACGTCGAACTCTTTTGCTGAACCCATTTTGGACTCCGATAGTGCTCCTAGCAGAGGCATTTCTCTTGGGCCTCAAGCCCAAGGCGATCAACCCAGGCCCACGTTCTCCCCTCCCCCAACGTCGGTGACCACGGGCCCAAATGGCACTGTGATGCAAGTGGTCCAAGTCTCACCTCTGATCGAGGCGCCTCCCCGACGGACAGAGCAAGTTCCTCCGTCTATGGCGAACAGGACGAAAGGGAAAAAAAGCTCGAAGGGGCGAGTGAAGAAAGGATCTCCGGCGAAACTAAACCCGATCCGGCCGCTGCAGCTCTGGTCGCCGATGAAGGAGAAGAAGTCGAAACCCAGAACCCGGATGGCCTCGCTAACCTTGCAGGAGATTTCTGCCTGGACGGAAGCGGCGCACCCTTCGACGAAAACCTCGGCGATAAAGGAGCCCGGGGACCTTTCGAGCCTGGAGCTGAGGAATGGGGAGCCAATTGGAGAGCCTACTCTCCCGGATGCGTAATTGGTGCCTTCTGCTCCCGCGTTTCGACGCTCGCCCCGGCCGAGATTTGCTCTTTCCCCTTTACCTCGTTTTTCTTTTCTTCTTGCCATTTATTTTCCCATGTCGTGTAAACCTTTAGTTAAAATCTTCTCCTGGAATGTGGGTGGTGCAGGTAGCAAAGCATTCGCTAGAGCTTTGAAGCTTAGTATCCTTCATCATCGTCCGGACTTCGTGATTCTCCTGGAGCCCCAAATCAGTGGGAGCTCGGCTGATACTGTTTGTGACAAAATTGGGTTTCCCAACTCCATTAGAGTGGATGCAGATGGGCGTAAGGGCGGGATTTGGATTTGTTGGGATGGTGGGAGATTCTCAACGGAACTCCTTTCGGCCTGCAATCAACACATTTCCATCCGTGTCCATCAGAATGGGTGTCGTCCCTGGGTGCTGACCGCGGTGTATGCTTCTCCTCGTCAGCATTTACAACGGTACCTTTGGGACAACCTTATCGAGCAGAGTGAGAAGGTCGTTGAGCCTTGGATTCTCACCGGGGATTTCAACGCCATTCGTTGCCTGGAAGAGAAGACAGGGTCCTCCTCGGCGGCGACGGCTCGGAGATGCCATAAGTTCAATGAGAGGATCAACAAAGCTGAGCTCATCGATTTGGGATTTTCGGGGCCGAGATACACGTGGACAAGGGGGGACTCATTGCAGTCACATAAAGCTAGTAGGCTGGATAGAAGTCTATGCAATCTTCAGTGGAATGTGTCTTTCCCCAACACTACTGTGTATCATCTTCCCCGTCTGCAGTCCGATCACCACCCTATCCTTACCACTGTGGTTACCCAGGAGCCATCTTCTTTTCACCCCCGCCCTTTTAAATTTGAGGCTGCGTGGCTTACACATGCTGACTTCCAAAATTTTGTTGCAGGTACCTGGGAAGAAGAGGCTTTGCTCCCCCAGGCGCTTGGCTCTTTGGCAGAGAAACTCAAGGAGTGGAATGTTAATGTTTTTGGCAGCATCCAGCAAAAGAAGAAAAGACTGTTGGCCAGATTGCAAGGGGTTGAAGGCCGGCTTTCCAGTTCTTTCACGCCGGCTCTGGCTAAACTTCATGCGAAATTGGAGGCGGAACTTGACAAAGTGCTCGAGCAAGAAGAGGTCTTCTGGTTTCAGCGGTCAAGGGAGCAGTGGGTGAAATTCGGGGAGAGGAACACTTCCTACTTCCATCAGCAGGTCAACAGGCGTAGACGGCGCAACAAAATCTTGAGCCTCCGGGATACCAATGGCAATTGGATCGAGGAGCCACAGGAGCTTGCTGCCCTCGTCTTTAACTCGCTGGCCCAGCTGTACCTGCAAGATGACTCCTCTTATGAAGACAGATTGCCTAAGAACGCGTTTCCCAGGATCGAGCAGACGGAGCTGATGATGCTTCTGCGTCCCTTTACCATCACCGATATCCACAAGGCCATCTTTGACATGAAACCGTACCAAGCTCCTGGACCGGATGGCTTTCAGGCGGTGTTCTATCAACAAATGTGGCGGGTGGTTGGTAAGGCTCTAACGGATTTGGCTCTGAATTTTTTCTCTGCAGGCACTCTCCCGGATGTCGTTTCGGAGTCCACGGTGGTTCTTATTCCGAAAGTGGATAGTCCGGAGTTCGTTTCTCAGCTTAGACCTATCTCCCTCAACAATGTCAGCCTGAAGGCCATCACGAAGGCTATGACGAGCAGGCTGAAGCCGATCATGAGGAAGCTGGTGTCTCCAAGGCAAAGCAGTTTCATCCCAGGGAGACAGACTACAGACAATATCATTGTGGTGCAGGAAGTCATTCATACGCTCGAGAAGAGGAGAGGGAAGAAGGGTGGGATCATCCTCAAGATTGATCTAGAGAAGGCATATGATATGTTGAGATGGGACTTTCTTCGTGACACCCTTAAAGAAGTGGGGCTGCCTAGTTCGTGGATCAACTGTATCATGCACTGTGTGGAGCAGAATCGGATGAGGATTCTCTGGAATGGGGAACTTTCACAACCGCTGGTTCCAACCCGGGGTGTTCGTCAGGGAGACCCCCTTTCTCCCTACCTTTTTGTTTTGTGTATGGAGCGCCTTTCTCACCTGATTGATGAGGCAGTGGATAACAAGAGCTGGAAACCTATTCACCTGACTAGGGGTGGACCTCCGCTCACTCACCTCTTTTTTGCAGATGATCTTTTGTTGTTTGCAGAAGCAGAGACGAGACAGATAAGGATTATTCGACAATGCTTAGACGACTTCTGCTTCAGCTCGGGTCAAAGAGTGAACTACAGCAAGTCCCTGCTTTACGTGTCGCCCAATGTAGATCGTCAGAAGGCAGCACATTTTAGCAGGCAAGCAGGAATTCCTCTGAAGACGGAGCTTGGGAAGTATCTGGGCCTCCACACTATCCACGGGAGGGTGTCCCAAAGCCGCTACCAGAGCTTACTTCTTCGGCTTCAGAAGAAATTGGCTCCTTGGAAAGCGAAAAGGCTCTCTTTTGCTGCCCGTCTCACTGTTGTTAGATCTGTTTCCTCGTCTATTCCTACTTACTGCATGAATACTGAGCTAATCCCTAGTGCAGTTTGTAAGAGTATTGACAGGATAAACAGGGACTTTATTTGGGGAGATGAAGAGGACAAGTCAAGGATGCACTTAGTGGCCTGGGAAAAGATGATTCAACCCAAGGTCCAGGGAGGGGCAGGTCTAAGATCCTTAAAGCACGCCAACCTCGCCATGCTAGCCAAGAGTGGGTGGCGCCTGATCAAGGAGAAGGATAGCCTTTGGACCAAGATTATGGTGGCTAAATATGGCCAGCAGCGGGAGAATCTGGAGATCATCCGACCTATTCAGGGAAGTTCCTTTACCTGGAGGAGCTTCTCCAAAGCTTCTAACCTTCTTCGGAAGGGTTGCGCCTGGAATATTAAGAATGGTAAGAAGACTAAGTTTTGGTCGGATACTTGGATTTTGCAGGTGCCCCTTAGGGACGTTGCTATAGGCCCCATCCCGGGGTCTCTTGAAGATGAGCCTATCGCATCCTTTGTGGAGGATAACGGAGCTTGGCGGACAGAGTTGTTTATGGACCTCCTTCCGAGTGACATTTTTCAGAAGATTCTCAGCATTGGAGTGGACAAGATGACGTTGGAGGAGGATACCATCTTTTGGTCCGCTTCGTCAGATGGGAGGTTCTCGGCTAGTTCAGCTTACTCCCTGCTGAACCAGCGCCCGGCTGACCCTGACGAGAGGCTGTGGAAGATCATCTGGAGCCTCCCAGTGCCGGAAAGAATCAGGAGCTTCATGTGGATGGCGGTTTTGGGGAAGTTGGCCACTAAGGCGCTTCTCTTTTCCAGGAAAGTGACTAGCAATCAGTGCTGCGTTCGTTGCGGGGATCAAGTCGAATCCATCCTCCACATTCTCCGGGACTGCCCCATTGCCAGGTATGTCTGGCTTCGACACATCCCGACGAATCTGCAGCATCACTTCTTCAGTCTGGACCAGAGCAGCTGGCTGCGCTTTAATCTCAAGAACAGCGAGTGTCTGGAGTCAGGCATGACTTGGGCGGCTTTCTTCAGCACTTCCTCCTGGCTGATTTGGAAGAACAGATGCACCTCTTGCTTTAGAGGTTTGAACTCAACTCTCTCACCTTCCTCCCTTGAGTTCTCTATTGTGGCTAAGTGCAGGCTTTGGTATGAGGCTTGGCAAGCTCCTTCCCCCCTGCCTAGTCTCAGAGGACAGACTGTGGCCCGGACGACGGCCATGATTGGTTGGACCCTTCCGACTAACGGCTGGCTGGCGCTTAATGTTGATGGAGCTTCAAACGGGAATCCCGGAGCGGCAGGAGCGGGTGGTGTTCTACGCGATTCGACTGGCAGGTGGATTTCTGGTTTCATGGCGAATATTGGGACAGCAACAGCTGTCCTGGCGGAGTTGTGGGCAATCTTCCATGGTCTCGATTTAGCCTGGAAGGTGGGGTGTCGAGCCGTTCGTCTTGAGTCTGATTCCCAGCTTGCGATCCAGCTTATTAACAGCCGCCAGGACCCTGTTCATCCTCATGCGACTTTGCTTTCTGTGATCCGGAGGAAGATTAGTCAAGAGTGGCTGGTGAGCATATCTCATGTATACCGGGAAGGGAATAGAGTCGCGGACTGGCTCTCGAAGCACAGTCTCGTCTATCCCTACGGTATGCACGAGTTTGCAAACCCGCCCCCTGGGCTAGCCTCCCTCCTTAGAGAAGATGTAATGGGTATTACCTTCGAGCGTCGGGTTGTGACGCATCCTCACTCGTCTTCTTAGCTCCCCTCTTGTACTTCCTCTCGGCTTTTGCCTCCCTTTTCGCAAAAAAAAAAAAACAAAAAATCGCCCGAAATCGGTGATGGTACCCCTTTGGAATCTGGCAAAAATTGCCCCGGGAACTTTCAGAACGAATCGATGTTTAATAGACTTATTCATCCCTAAGGAATAGCCTCAGGCTGAATCCGTGATCTGCAGCCTTCAAAATCTAAGGAAGATGGCCTTTCGAAAAAATCGCCTAATAATTACGAAAACGCCCTCCGGAATAATTCGACCTAATTTCCGCCCAAATCGGCCATTACTAGACTTCATCGTGGGTGGAGAGTACCCTAAGGCCGAATCTGTGATCCATCGCCTTCAAAATCCAAGGAAATTTGACTTTCCAAAAAATCGCCCGAAATCGGTGATGGTACCCCTTTGGAATCTGGCAAAAATTGCCCCGGGAACTTTCCGAACGAATCGATGTTTAATAGACTTATTCATCCCTAAGGAATAGCCTCAGGCTGAATCCGTGATCTGCAGCCTTCAAAATCTAAGGAAAATGGCCTTTCGAAAAAATCGCCTAATAATTACGAAAACGCCCTCCGGAATAATTCGACCTAATTTCCGCCCAAATCGGCCATTACTAGACTTCATCGTTGGTGGAGAGTACCCTAAGGCCGAATCTGTGATCCATCGCCTTCAAAATCCAATGAAATTTGACTTTCCAAAAAATCGCCCGAAATCGGTGATGGTACCCCTTTGGAATCTGGCAAAAATTGCCCCGGGAACTTTCCGAACGAATCGATGTTTAATAGACTTATTCATCCCTAAGGAATAGCCTCAGGCTGAATCCGTGATCTGCAGCCTTCAAAATCTAAGGAAAATGGCCTTTCGAAAAAATCGCCTAATAATTACGAAAACGCCCTCCGGAATAATTCGACCTAATTTCCGCCCAAATCGGCCATTACTAGACTTCATCGTTGGTGGAGAGTACCCTAAGGCCGAATCTGTGATCCATCGCCTTCAAAATCCAAGGAAATTTGACTTTCCAAAAAATCGCCCGAAATCGGTGATGGTACCCCTTTGGAATCTGGCAAAAATTGCCCCGGGAACTTTCAGAACGAATCGATGTTTAATAGACTTATTCATCCCTAAGGAATAGCCTCAGGCTGAATCCGTGATCTGCAGCCTTCAAAATCTAAGGAAGATGGCCTTTCGAAAAAATCGCCTAATAATTACGAAAACGCCCTCCGGAATAATTCGACCTAATTTCCGCCCAAATCGGCCATTACTAGACTTCATCGTGGGTGGAGAGTACCCTAAGGCCGAATCTGTGATCCATCGCCTTCAAAATCCAAGGAAATTTGACTTTCCAAAAAATCGCCCGAAATCGGTGATGGTACCCCTTTGGAATCTGGCAAAAATTGCCCCGGGAACTTTCCGAACGAATCGATGTTTAATAGACTTATTCATCCCTAAGGAATAGCCTCAGGCTGAATCCGTGATCTGCAGCCTTCAAAATCTAAGGAAAATGGCCTTTCGAAAAAATCGCCTAATAATTACGAAAACGCCCTCCGGAATAATTCGACCTAATTTCCGCCCAAATCGGCCATTACTAGACTTCATCGTTGGTGGAGAGTACCCTAAGGCCGAATCTGTGATCCATCGCCTTCAAAATCCAAGGAAATTTGACTTTCCAAAAAATCGCCCGAAATCGGTGATGGTACCCCTTTGGAATCTGGCAAAAATTGCCCCGGGAACTTTCAGAACGAATCGATGTTTAATAGACTTATTCATCCCTAAGGAATAGCCTCAGGCTGAATCCGTGATCTGCAGCCTTCAAAATCTAAGGAAGATGGCCTTTCGAAAAAATCGCCTAATAATTACGAAAACGCCCTCCGGAATAATTCGACCTAATTTCCGCCCAAATCGGCCATTACTAGACTTCATCGTTGGTGGAGAGTACCCTAAGGCCGAATCTGTGATCCATCGCCTTCAAAATCCAAGGATATTTGACTTTCCAAAAAATCGCCCGAAATCGGTGATGGTACCCCTTTGGAATCTGGCAAAAATTGCCCCTAAGGAAAATGGCCTTTCGAATTTTTTTTCTTACTTTTAATTACATTTTGGTACCCAGAACTTCTAAAAACACCGTAAATAATATTAATTCAATAAATATCATCCGAAACTTAGAAACCACCTTATAGGCACAAAATTAATATAATATAGATAGCTGAGTTTGATTTTCCATTCCCTATTCTGTCCGATTATATACATTGCAAATTTCCTTTAAAGTACCTTTCGACAATCGCCATCATACTGCCCTGCTTACACTCTGGAGACACGTTAACAGTTTATGGAATATCATCACTATTCATGAATTTAAATTTAAGGAACAAGAATGAAAGAATTGTCACAAAAATTACATACAGAGATAGAAGGTACCTGGTCCCAGAATGTCGCCTCTGCACAACTCCTTCATTCTCCACCGGATCCGCCAATCCTCTACTATCCGGCACTCTCCAGCCTTTCTTAGTCGAATCCATCCACAGGAGAAATATATAGAGGGATTGAAAAGAAGAACTGGGAAGCATCACTGCAAACAAGATTTCGCAACAATAAACTTTAGTCCTAAAAAAGCATATTTTGGTTACTAATACCAATCGTGACCAAAAGCATAATTGATCACTATAGCTGCGTTACGAATTGCTATCACAACTAAAATGGGGGCTGGTAACGGAAAGGAAAGCTATCGCAATCAATTATGTCAATAATAAAAAAGTTTGATTCTTAGTGATTATATTTATTTGCTGCTATAAAGAACCTTCTTGGTCTCGTCGTCACGCTCGAAGCATCCAGCATCCATCTCTTCCAGCAAGTTCTTGGGGATCCCGTGGTTGATCACTTGGAAGAATCCCCACTCCGACGATGCATCTTTAATCTCCTCCACGATCTTCTTCCGCCTCTCAGGTATATGCGGTTGGGAAGGTGAAGTCTGGATCGTCGGCGGCCGGCGGCGGTGGTCGGTGGTCCACGAGGTGATCAGGTGGGATGTGGAAGATGCGAGGCACCTCAGTCTCAGTGATCCCGCCGTCGACTAGACCTTTCACCCCGGCTTTAGTTTCGTCGAAAGCTTTCAATTCCGCCGGTCGATCGTAATTAGCTGAGATATCATGGATGGAGGTTATTGTCAAGAACCAGTTGATCCCAATAACTCGAGTTGTTGGGAGAGGTTCAATCGTGGATCATATATCACAACACTAACCGTTACCATTCTTTTTTTGTTTTGGTTTTTGTTTTGGTGAGGATGAAGATGCCTAACTGTTGTTGAATTGATTACTATAATTGTCGTGGGTTTAAGCTAGCCAAACTATGTAGATGTATTTATAGAGGAACTAGCTTATTACCCGGCCCGTTGGCCGGATTACTGTATGTTACCCACTTGTGGAATGGGAAAGAAAGCAAGTGAGAGTGAAGGGATTGGGATTCCACTTGATTAGGACCGACCCACTAATCCAATTCTTCCCGACCCGCCCCAACCTACAGGGTCAGAAAGAGTCAATAAGAAAATACGAACGGGGAGGATTAGTCATATATCTTGACTCTTCAGAAGTGGGTCAAACAGGATCAAGGTTGGGTGAGGGCAATTTTTAGCGCTAAGCAGAGTTCTGGGTTGAATACCTTTACTTAGGCCTAGAAATTGGTGCTGATGCAGACTGCAGTTTTTATTATACCATCATCAATCATCATTGAATTAGTCCTGGGCATCCCTCCCCGTTGTCGGTCTGAATTCTAATGATGGCTTCATTCCTTGCACCAGCCATATCAGCGAGTTGCCATCTCGAGCATGATTTGCCTATGTACAAATAATACAATTAGAGTATGAAAACGAATTCAATGAAAAGGAAAAGTGAATTCTATCACATGCCAATAAATACACACATAATAGTTGAAGCTAAGTGAAAGTCATTACTCGCACATCAATTCTCAAAAATTACAGACTAAACATTGCCTAGAATGGCACTGAAACTACCAAGAATCATGGACGAAACAACTTGTCAAATTAAATAATCCTTATACTGAAACTACCTTCTAACTTGAAATAAGACATGATCACAGTTCATAGCTCTCTTCTCACTATGAATTGGTTGCAGCTAGTCCTTATCACTGCCTCTCAAGCTCAATTCAAACAGAATAGAGACCGTTATGTAAGATAACCATATTCTTACCGATCATAATTCCTTTCTTCACTCCATTTTTGTCGGAGAAAAGAGTTATCCCCCTCTCCTGCATTTCCCTTTCCCCCTCTCTTCTCCCTCTTCTTCACAAACCGATCCCTAAACCAGCAACAACAACACAAAAATAGCCTTCGCCTCTCCCGTCTCCATCTATTGAACGCGTTGGTGGCAAGACAGGACTGCAGAAGCAAAATTTTCTAAAATCAAACTAATTTTTTTGAAGCAGACTCAACCACGAAAAAAGAGTAAAGCAACAATGCAGTGGAACCCTAAATTTAACTACAATCAAGCACATATCAGCAAGATTTTCGATTTGTCTGAGAGTTAACTACACGGAGAGAACAATTGATGCATAATTGAAATGCTCCAAGCAAGTTGAAGGCAAACCATAACTTTAGAATTTGGTCATTATAATAACCTTCAAGTATTGATGCTTCTAAGAACTATCATGTCCAACCCCCACTTATACAACTACGTAGCCATAGTAATTAGTTGTATAATGAGAAATATTACAAAGAAAACTACATAAACAACCAATGTAAGTAAATATTAAAACTAACAACTGATAAAACTTAAAATCTCTCTATTGTTATAAATGTATCTATTAGTAACTACTATGCAATCGAGTATATATGATTTTTAGGCACTGGATAAGAAAAGTATAGATGGCTCACAAATGAAGACGTAGCAACTGAAGGTAGCACACAAAAACCAAAAATAGAAAAAGAGATAAGAAAAAAGGCGAGAAAAAGTCAAACAAAGAAAAAGCCCACATAGGAATACCTCGCTAGCTTTAGGGACTCTCTGCCACAACAAACAACCTTCTTAAAAATCTAACACCCCGAGACATCAAACAAACCTCCCACGACACTAATGTATGGCATTCCTATTGTCCAATAGGTTTGCCCAATTTAGACTTCTAAATAAATGAACTTTTCACCATTAAACCAAAACTCACAATCATTAACAGTTAATGCAAAGACATACATTTCTGAGGCCAATCACAGCATTTAAGCATAATTTTTAGTTGAAAAGAACAACTAAGTATTTAGCTAAATGATATAGTAGAACGGACACAATCTGCTACCTACTAATGATATAAACGTGTACCGGTACCATCGTTGTATCCTGACTTGCCATTTGCAACGGGCACTTTGAAAGACAGCTGCATTTTAGAGAATAAACACCCATAAGGGCGTTACGAAACCAAGCTTAATCCAAAATCTTCATATTCCACTTCGAAGACTCCATTTTCAAAAATAAGAGAGTTTAACATGTCAAATCACTCATTTGAAAAATCTCAAACAACTATTAATCAATGCAATATAAAGGCACGTTCCAAATTATGTACTTGTAGGAATAATCCCAAATAATTATCAATTAATGCCCCAACTACCTAATGTGCAGAATAGCCCTGGAGCTGTGCTGTTGTTTGCGTTGGTCTACCTTCAAACATAACATAGTTGCATCACGAACCAAAGCAATTAAGCAAAAATCTTCATATTCCAAGTAGAATGACTCAATTCAATTTGGCCAACGCTTTATACATATTGTTTACCCCTGGACCTGTTGCACTTGCGCCTTCAGATCTTCGTGAACACAATACAATTGCGGAGAGGAGGCTGTCAACGGAATAAAAATTGTTAATTAAGTGAATCACCATACAACTAAACAAACGCGCTCTTCTTGATTAGCTATCAAAATAGTGGGGGTCGCTACAATCCATCGGTTGCTCCCTCTGCGCCTAAGTTGTAGATATTAGGTTTCAGTGAGAACTTTGAGTACATGAGGAGATATTTTGTAGTGGAGGAGATGACCCGGCGAGTAGAATAGGAAGATTTGGAGAGGCTGTGATGGGCAAAGCAGTTAAAATCGAGATTTTACCTAAAATCGAAAACTGGGGTAAAATCAAAATCGTATAATCGAATCGTAAAATCGTAGGATTTTAAGTACCATATAGAACATAGCATATAAGAATATTAATAAGGTAAATTATTAATATCACAAAGACACATAGCATTTAAAATGATAATTCAGAAGATTTTTTTCCATAAGATAATTCTCAAGATTAATGTTCCAAAATCACTATTTTAATTGTTATTTAATGTGTAACTCAAAATAATTCATGATGAAGGGATATAGTTCATGGGTTTGGCTCTTATTTTCATGTTATGTCTAGGTTGTTTAACTCAAAGTAATATTTCGACATCGTCTACTAAGTATGATTTAAAACTAAAAATAATTGAACTCCAATAAAATAAGTAATGTTAGTGGCTTGGTACAAATATATTCATTAATAAATTAATTAGTTAATAATGATGTTAGTTCTTACATACTTCCAATATTAGGACAGGTGTTTTACCAATAAGTTAAATGGGGTGAAGGGAAAGAGATTAACCGAACCCTAATTTGGTTATTTTTATTATTTTTGAATATTTTTCTAATAGAAAAATATATGAGAAGATTCCATTGCCCTTTCCGCTGAAACAGTTATACTTATTTTAAATTGGCTCAAACCACCTATTTTGTTCTCTTACGATCAAAATCCCGATTTTAAACGATTTTAAGGTCCACCGATTTTATAGTAAAATCAAGATCGGAATCCCTAAGTAAAATCCTACGATTTTACGATCAAAATCCCGAATTTGATTGCATTGGCGATGGGTGCACGATTAGTGGGCCAAATAACAGTTTGGGCCCGTTTAAATGAAAACATATTTTTACTTTCGTGCTCAACAGACCGACCACACTGGCATCTTCTAAATTTACCCCTAAAAAATTGCTCTGTACGCATCAAATTTGAAATGGAATCCCTCTTTTCTCATTTCACATTTCACATTTATATGATGTGTAGATTGTGATGAGTGTAGATGTAGACCTGTCATTGTCCTACAAATTCATTAACACACCAAAAAGTGGTGAACTGAGCCACCCTATTAAACACAATCTTGTATAATGATCATTGGATTCAATCATGCCAGATTATGAAGAAGTTTAAAATGTAGCGGTTATCCCGACTAAAACATTAAAAGAACCAGTCTCATATAGTTTGCACAAAGATATAATTTCTCCATAGTAATTCTGAAAAATAATATTAATTTAAGAAGTCGATATTGCTTCTACATGTTTAATATTGCTATTCGATATGCAATATTCGAACCAGTGATATTTGGGCTGCAATTTTAGGGTTATTGTATATTTATAAAATAGATAGAAATTTAAATTAAGTATTAAACTACAACTAAAATAATCAAAGTATTAAAACACCAAATAAGTACTTACGGGAGAATCAGTGGCCAACTAATCGTTAAAAAAGTCATATGATTTTCATAATTTAGGTTCGTGTATGTTTGAATTTAAATAGATACAACAAATATACTTAGTGTGATTGGTTATGATCCTTGCTTGCCTTTAAAGAGACCAAGGTTCAAATCCCAGTGCATGCCTTTTTTATGAATAAATAAATAAGAAAATAAGCAATTGTGAAGACCAAAATGTCCTTCCTATAATCACTCTCGTTGCAGGAAATTTGAAATGGAGCAACAGTTTTCATCATTCGGCTTTTATTTATTATCTAGATTATATACAATGCCACATTAGTGGTTTCGTTAAAAAAAATATTATGGTACAAAGATTGAATGTAATGATACAAATTCAGTATGTATCTGTACATTTTCGTATAAATTCCTGTATAGTTATTCAAACAATTTCATGCAAATTATTTTATGTTACAAACTAAACTTATCCATGTAACCTTATACTACAAGTATAATTTGTACCTGAAAGTATCAATACTTTGAAGCACAATATATAAACTCATATTTAAGGTACGTAGGTAACAAAACCTTTTCTGGGTGGATCAGTTAATGCGCGGATAATAGTTAATCGAGAACAATAAAATGAAGGAATATAATAGTTGCAGATTTGGTTTTAGGTAATCTTTGGTGTATGGTGTAACTGCACACCAAACTGCAAAACAAAATCCTCAGATAATCGCAAAATTAAACTACCCCAAAGCCCAATGGCCTACCCCATTAGGTAACCTAAACCCAAAAAAATGACAAATAGGTTAATTGGTTGAACGCGGTTAACCGTAACATAATAAAAAATCATAATATTCGATTCTCAAGTAACAACAACAACAATTACAATTGCTAAAATGACAATAATTCGATTTTGGATAACCAACCAATTCAGTTTGATTAACATAAACTGAACTGAGGTTCAACCCTATTTGGTTAATGTATAGACATGTTTAGTATCAATCTAATTCGACCCGCGCATCACCCGAAACACTTGGATTATGTGTCTTATAATTTGATTTGGGTAGTGCATCACTTGACCTGAGGCATATGAGTGCACGGTTGAGAGGGTTCGAAACTAACTCACCCCAATTCATGTAGACCCCTAATCATAGTTCATTTTATTGGTCTCCTTTCTTTAAAACTAACGAAAGGAAAGAAAAACAATGAAGTACACAATAGATGTCAAACAACATAAAAGAAATTAAAAATTGATAAAAAGCTTGTTCTACATTTACATGACATAAGTGTAAGAAACAATCATCATCTTTTATTAGAACCTTGGTAGTTCCAAACAAATTGGGAACAAAAAACTCTTATTTGCTTGTTATCTAGCTGGCCTTTCTCGCTAAATGGGGAGTGAAATAGATGTTGATACCTCATATCTCTTTCGACATCCATTAGATTATTAGCCATTTTTGTAGTTGGTGATGATTTTCAACAATACTTAGTTACCTAATCAATAGTAAAAGGAATGGACATATTTATTAAGTTTGTGTATTGAGTGAACAATGCATAAATAGGAAAGCTAAGCCTCACCATCAGAACTCATATCATAAAAACTCTTGGAGAAAAAGGGTAAAATTAAAAAAAAAATTCCTTGAATAATAACATTCAACTTGTTGTGAGTGAGGAAGAGAGTTAGAAGGTTATCGATCGAGCACAACCTTGACTTGGATCATGAAACATACAATAAAGTAACTACTACATGGAGCGATTGCATATCCATATGGTAAGCGAATTCAACACTAAAAGTTAACGCATATATATGATTATTATTCATAAGCCTAACATTTACAACACCTCTCCTCTAATTCACTAACAAAAAAATTAATATTTTTCCCTCATTGTCCATACAACCTAAAACACCACTAATCACTGTCTCTTGCAAGTCCAATTTATTAAGCAAAAAATAAAGAACATTCATAATATAATTTTTTGGATCCAAATTCTATCAACCAGTTAACTCGTTGGATACACAAATCCGATCAAGTAAATATGGAAGCAAAATGATAGAATTTTAGCAGTCACCTATATATGTAGCAAAACTTAACAATACAACATTGGAACAAATTGACCAAATCCATAGCAATACAAAGCACTAAGTTTCATAACCAACAACCACCAATAAGACCACATTGTAAATGAGAAAAAGAAAGTAAGATGTGCACAGTGAACAACGTATATTAGCATATGAATTTTCCTCATTATTAAATTTATTCGTGTTTCATTTTCTTGAAATCAAATTGAATCGTTTAACCTTCTTTAATAGTTCATTTTTAAAGAAATTACTTTTTCAAAAAATTTCATTTTTTTTTATTTTCGGTTCGATTTGGTTATACAAAGCAATCTTCCATCCTAGTCATACATATAATAGTTTTGATAAAATAAAAAAATTCTTTTAATATGTTTGAGTGTATGTGATGGTAAGATGACAAACCTTTTCATCCTCACTAAATTTCAGTTAATTCTTTACTACAATTTCATCAAATCTAAGGAACTTGAATCTCTCCTCTGTCTGTGGTATCTTATTAGTGATTTTCAATGGCTAAACCCAACCACACAAAGGGCTTTTCTGAAAGTAGGTGACACCTTACCTAATGTGTAGTAAAAAGAAAATGAATTCATCATCAATGCCTACTTCCCTCATAGCAACAATGAAAAATCAATTAATTGAGATTTTTGATAATCTGAAGATCAAAATGAAAGATGGCAAAGTGTGCCATACATATGACTATCGGTTTGGATTCAGCTTTTTTTTATTTCAACTAAACGAACAGATAAGGTGCTCTTATCGTTTTTTAGTTTCGGTCCCAAACTCTTTGTGCTTATCGTTTTTTGTTTGGTCAAAATTGAAAACTGATAAAAATTAAAATAAAATCACAGCCAATAAACAAACACTCAATATTCAATTAAGTCTCGGGTTTCATTTTCTTGAAATCAAATTGAACCGTTTAAACCTCTTAACACTTAATTTTTAAGGGAATTATTTTACTCAGTTTTATTTATGATTCGATTCGGTTAAAGACTAGTTAAATTATAAATCATTTGAAACTAATTACCAAAGTGTTATAAAATGGTTATTTTTGTTAAAAAAATGTTTATTTACTTCTGTTGATATGACTTGAATCGGACTATCAGCCGCAATGACTGGTAATCGGGGGTCTCGCTGTTATTTGGGTTCGGGTTCTGGGCCTGGTCTGTAACCGTTTCCTTTGCCATATTGGATTAGGTTTAGACCCACATGGAGAAGTACTATAAATACTTCTCATACTACTCTGTAATCTGAAATCTCCTTGATATAGTGAAATCGGCTCTCTCTCGCCCGTGGACATAGCTAACACACATCGTGTTAGTGAACCACGTAAATCTGTGTCGTGTTTTCGATTCTCACTTTCGTATTCTTGCTTTGTCGATTCCGGCGATTTCCCGATCCGTAGCAGCGCGTTTATAACAATTTCAAACGTATATCTACACGTTGTCTAAACATGTTATGCGCTAGGCAGGACCCAAACGCGCATACTCTTACGTTAAGCACCTTCTTTATCTTGGAATTTTGGAAGAAGACGTCGGTGAAGTGGTGTCAAGTGTCCCGATATGTGGAACTCGTGAACACCACGTATTCCCCAGTCAGAACACAACAGAGGAGCCCTCAATTGATAATCGATACAAGGAATTATGTCTGCTAGCTTACTTCATCAACAAGCAGAGGAAACAATTCGTGATCGACAATGCTTGAAAAAGTTTGCTTCGTAATATCATAGATCACGAATTCCTCGCATTCATCTTAAAGAAAATTACCCGGCGTAGAGATGAATAATACAAGCTATCAACTGCACATTTCATCTGTGTATGTGTTTGATTTTTCCAACACTATTTATGACCAACCGTGCCCAAGTTTTGAAGTTCTTGACGCTTATACATGTCCCTCACACCTACATCAATTCGTTTTCAAAGTTCACCCAAGTCCCCAGCACCTCGCTCTGGATCATAGCCAACTCTCACAAGTCACAAGTGACACTTACGCAAAACCAGACAAACTAACTCCCATACAAGCTCAGGGGCTATTTCGCTTCTGCTGTAACATTCTCCGGTAATCATTCGCAGCACACAAATGCATTGCAGGCCTGCTTTCCTTCCTGTCGATCGCGTATGAAATACTATTAGCATGCTAGTATCCACTTCGAGGATTGTCCTAGCAAACCCCAAAACATATCGACCTTGATGGACTTACCAGCTGGAAATATTTCAGGAGAGGATCTCGTTCTTGCTTGCTTTTCCCTATGACACCTTCAATAGTTGATGGAAAGCCTCTTGAGGTATATCAACCGACCCAACCCGCTTCATTCTCTTCTTTCCTTCCTTCTGTTTTTCCAGTAGCTTCCTCTTCCGAGTAATGTCCCCACCATAACACTTTGCTAGAACATTCTTCCTCATAGCTGAGATCCTGTGCCAAAGCAACATTCTCTCAGTGATAAGATATCGCATTGCTCCTATACGGAATAATATCTCTTCACAAGGGTCGTCTAATTAACTTACGTCTCTCTAGCAACAACCTTTGACCCAATTGCTGCTTGTATGATTATCTCGAACATTTGCCTGCACAAATTAAAACCATACAATATAGTCAGAAAAGGAACATAAAAAAAGAGGTGAATAAAGGGATGGACAACTTGGGTTCAAAAGAGTACATCACCTATCTATGAATTTCTTCAACTTATCCACCAGTTCACGGCCCATACGTTGTGCCTTCAAGTTGTGCACAATTGTTGCCATGGCATCAACTGCTTGGCCATTTAGGAGAATATCGAGTTTCACCAAATCGGCTTGTTGGTATCTGTTAATGACACACATCAATCAATCTTCTAAAAACAAATGCTTTCCCAAACTGTTCATTGAACATACCACTTGTCTAATCCATCTCGATTTGATGTGATGTAAAGAGAAGTAAAATACTCCTACCAGAACCAGACAGGAGATGTCTAAAGAAGAGTACGCAAAGCATAGTCATTCGGCAAAGGCCAATTACAACCATTTTTAACACAATAGCAGCTGAGCTGAGGTTAACCTATCAGTTATATTCATCTGAGAGCCAAGTTTGTTTGAGCTTTTCCATAAATAATGACCAGCTTGCATGTAAACCTCTAAAGGTGAAAGGAGAGAGAATCGATACATACTCTGAGTCTTCGTAGTCGAATGACGCATATCCTGATGTTATGCTCTTCAATTCATTGTAGAAATCGACAACTATTTCTCTCAAAGGCAAGCGGTATTTCATAAAGGCACGTTGGCTGCACCAAACATGATCGATTGAATCAAGAACTGAAAATATGACTTGCCATATAAAACAAAGATATCTTGTCCTTGATCAAATTAACCAGTTGATAGATGGAACAGACATTCAACATAGATTACCTATCAATGAATGAGTACTCCAACTGCTGCCCTCTTCTTTCTGAGCACAGGGTAATGACCGGGCCTACATACCTGTATGGTAAAGTGAAGCCCTATGAGGAACTGCATGGATGAATTATAATATGTGAGCTTACAATCTGCTGAAGCAAGAGTGGAGGGGGCTTACTCACTGGGGATAATAATAGTGGCTAACACCGTAGGTTCCCAACTAGCTGTAACTCGCTGCTTTGAGTTTGAGGGCAAAGCAGCAGGGTTTTGAACTTCCACTTTGCTAGTAAAGGCAACAACACAAATTATTGGATGGATAAACTTTGAGGCACAAATCTCAAATCATAATGATCACAAGTAATACCTTCCATCAGAATATTCGAAGATATATGGAACAGTTGGAACCGTGGAAATAATATGAGTTCCATATTCCTGTGAAGTAATGAATCATAAAAGAACAAAAGCATTGTCAATAAATCCAGTAACACATACCATAACACAGCTACCAAATGTGACAAAGAAAGATGAAAATTTACTTGTTCAAGTCGCTGATGAAAAACATCCATGTGAAGTAAACCCAAAAACCCACATCTGTCGACAAATTGCCACTGAAAAATGTAACTACGTACTGAATTAAGTAAATTCAAGGTCAAACAAAAGGATGATTTTGAAGCCACACCTAAAACCCAGACCAAGAGCAGTGCTACTCTCTTTAGTAACAGAGACACTGGCATCGTTACATGTCAGCCTCTCTATTGCATGGTTGAGTGCCTCAAAGTCAGATCCATCAGCCGGAAAGAGACCAGAGAACACCATGTGTCTTGCAGCCTTGAAGCCTACATTTTAAAGAAACATGAAAAGAGTAACAAAAAGAAACAAAAACATCTAGAGCAGAAACCAAAAAGGGATGTGTACCTACACTATGTTTCTAATGACACTTGATAGAGAGAGCTCGGAACAGAATTTCACTAAAGTGTTAATTTCAAGATTTCAGTAAGTGTTCACTATGGTAAACAAATGACACATGCATCCTAGCAGTTATTAAGTATTAACCAAATTGCAAAGCTTTACGTCAATGTAGAGTTGTAAAGCAATACATGCCACGGAAAAGGTCGGTGATTCTCCTTATTCACCAGCCTAATATAACCATATACAACATCCCAGAATCATTCGCCATACGCTTCCAATCTTCAACCCTTATGTCATTGTTATTAGTTAACCATTCAAGAGCTGTTTACCACATAGCACAAAGATTCTGGAAATAAGGTTTAACTCTCTGAAACATCAGGTACAGCATAAACTATTCAGACACAAACAAACAAACATCGACCTTTACGGGTCCAGGATCCTTTTTTCCAAAGATGCCAATACGAAGAATATTCTATAAATAAATATAGGCAACCAAGCCATAAGGATAGTAGATTTTACATACCAGGAAGAGGCTTTACAATGGTTTTGGCGTGAAACAAAGTGTCTCCAATACGTGCTTCCTTAGTAGACCTCATTCCAGTCACAACATACCCCACTTGTCCAGTTAGAAGCACCCCAGTTTGAGTGAGTTCAGGATGCATGAAACCTACATCCAGAACATCATAAGTTTGACCCGTGGCAACAGCCGATATCTTATCCCCCTTCCTCAACATCCCATCTACAACCGCCACATGGCAGATCACTCCCTTGTACTCATCATAATACGAATCCAACAAGAGCATGCGCAACAGGCCACTCCCTTCCCCAGGTGGAGGAGGTATCCTTTCAATGACGGCTGGTAAGACATGTTCAAGCCCCTGCCCTGTTTTGGCCGAGGTTAGAAGACAATCAGACGGCTCAAGATCAAACATCGACTTCAGTTGATCTTTAATTCGATCAGGATCAGCTGTTGGCTGGTCTATCTTGTTAATTACAGGGATAATTGTGAGGTTAGATTCAAATGCGAGATAGAAGTTAGCCACTGTCTGTGCCTGCACACCTTGGGCTGCATCAACCACCAAAAGGGCGCCTTGGCAAGCTGCTAATGATCTCGAAACTTCATAGCTAAAATCCACATGACCAGGCGTGTCAATTAAATTCAGAAGAAACGGCTGCGGCTCATTTGAACCATCCAAGCTCGAGCCTTGGAGATTGTACTTGTGGAACATCGTCGCTGTCTGAGCTTTCACCGTGATCCCCCTTTCTCTCTCTACCTAAGCCAATTCAAGTTTTCATCATCTACAATTCCAAAGTTTCCAAATTTTCAATAACCTAAGAGATGCTGAGAGAAAGCCCCTGAACCTAGGCTACCGACGAAATGTGGGAACGAACCTGTAATTTATCGAGATACTGAGGCTGGCCATGGCCTCTTTTGATGGTGCCGGTGAGCTCCAACAAACGGTCAGCGAGCGTCGACTTGCCATGGTCGACGTGGGCGATGATGGAGAAGTTTCGAATTCTCTCCGGCGGGTACTGGGTCAAATCCACGGCTTCTTTGGCGTTTTGGCGGGGGTGGGAGCATAGCGCTCTTGTCAGCAACAAACGGTAATCACTTGCACCTGAGAGGCGCGAAGATGAATCGAATTGCTGAGTTGCGTGTAGCAAGAGTTGGTGTCGGAGAGATTTGAGGGATTTCGAAGCTCTGTGGAGAGAACCCATTGGCAGGGTTTTAGGAGCTCAATGGCTAAGAAGCAGAGCTGTGCAAAATGCTACGCGCTGCAAAGGGGAAGACTTTCATCGCTTGAGATCCGAATTGGGCCGACAATTTTCGAGGCCTGCCATGTTTTGAGTTGTTTCGGGTCCATCTTAATGGTAACGGCCGCTGTTGAGCCCAATTTCGAAATCGCATAATTATCCATCTTTTGACAAGATTATCCATGTTTTGAACTTTTGATCATACTTGTGAAAGTGCATAATTATACCCTACCGAATGGGTTGTTAGTTGTTGTTGATCATGTTCATTAAGTTTATTGTAGTTATTTTTCCCCCCATTATTGGACCTAAATTGTAGTACTATTATGTAAAATAGGCAAAGTAAAAATAGATCTTTATTGTTAACCCAAATTTATATTTCATACTTGCCATCAATATTATATGGACAATTTGATTCTTTATACACCTATAGAAGCTTCAAACATAACTCCCAATTATGCATTTTTATCTCAATATTTCTAGCAAATCATTTTCTCGAATATAGAAAAACAATATCTACGGACTAGACTTAATAATTGGCAATTTGGCATAACGTAAGATGCAGAGGCACCGTTACCCATTTAACGATTGACTAACGTCAAATGTGCGGCCGGCCGCTAAATAATATATTGAGAAACTCTCCCTTCCCTTCTGCTCGCCATCTTTGCAGTTTCTCAACAAAAAAATGGAGCAGCTAAAGCCAAGCCCCCCAAATTCCTCCCCTTTAACGCCGCTCACGTTTTTGGAACGCGCGGCCACCGTCTACGGCGACTCCCCTTCCGTCATCTACAACTCCACCACCTACACATGGTCCCAAACCCGCCGCCGCTGCCTCCAGCTCGCTTCCTCCATTTCCTCCCTCGCCATCCGACGCGGCGACGTCGTTTCCGTCCTCTCCCCCAACACCCCCGCTATGTACGAGCTCCACTTCGCCGTCCCCATGGCCGGCGCTGTGCTTAACACCGTCAACTCCCGTCTCGACGCCAGAACCGTATCATTAATTCTCCGTCACGGCGAGTCCAAGCTCCTCTTCGTAGACGCCGGGTCGGCGTCTCTAGCCCTCGAAGCCCTCTCTATGTTCCCTAACGACAAGCCGCCGCCTCGTCTCGTCCTGGTCAACGACGATGACGTGGCAGACGTATTACCTGCTGCCGTTCATTTTATCGGTACGTACGAAGATTTGGTAACCAAGGGTGACCCGGGGTTCGAGTGGGTTCGACCGGTTAGTGAATCGGACCCGATGGTCTTGAATTATACATCCGGGACCACCTCGGCTCCCAAAGGTGTGGTCCACTGCCACCGTGGCATTTTTCTGATGGCACTCGACTCACTGGTCAACTGGTCTGTCCCGACTCGTCCGGTCTACCTGTGGACCCTTCCCATGTTCCACGCGAACGGGTGGTCCTACACGTGGGGGATGGCTGCGGTTGGTGGGACCAACATCTGCCTACGCAAATTTACCGCACCCACGATCTTCACGCTGATCGAGAACCATAGGGTCATCCACATGTGTGGTGCGCCCGTGGTTCTCAACATGTTAACAACCAACTCATCCACAAACCCAGAAAACAAACAAGAGCTGCTGACCCGCCCGGTTCAAGTCTTGACCGCAGGGGCTCCCCCACCTGCCTCGATTCTCCATCGGGCCGAGTCACTTGGCTTCGTGGTCAGCCACGGATACGGGCTGACCGAGACTGCCGGAGTGGCGGTCTCGTGTGCGTGGAAGAAGGAATGGAATCAGTTTCCCGCCGCGGAGCGGGCTAGGCTGAAGTCGAGGCAAGGGGTTCGATCGGTGTCCATGACCGAGGTGGCGGTTTTGGACCCCGATTCCGGGTCACGGGTCGAACCGGACGGATTGGCGGTCGGGGAAGTGGTGATGCGAGGCCCATCGGTGATGCTCGGGTACTTAAAAGACCAGGTGGCGACGACCGCGTGCATGAAGGAGGACGGGTGGTTCTACACGGGTGACGTGGCGGTGATGCATGCGGACGGGTATTTGGAGATAAAGGACAGGTCGAAGGACGTCATCATCAGCGGCGGGGAGAATCTGAGCAGCGTGGAGGTGGAGTCCGTGCTGTACGGGCACCCGGCGGTGAACGAGGCGGCGGTGGTGGCACGACCTGATGAATTCTGGGGGGAGACGCCGTGTGCGTTTGTGAGCTTGAAGAAGGAGTATGATCATGAATCAAAAAGGATGCCGATGACGACGGAGAAGGACATAATTGAGTACTGCAGGGCGGCGCTGCCGCGTTACATGGTGCCCAAAACGGTCGTGTTTAAGGACGAGCTGCCGAAGACGTCGACGGGAAAGATTCAGAAGTTCGTGCTCAGGGAAATTGCGCGGGCGATGGGGTCGCCGTCGTCGTCGACATTATCAAGCAAATTGTGACGATGGTTATAAAAGGATATAAATATGTGAGTCCATATATATCCATAGTGTGCATTATAAAAAAGACAAACTCTCATGCATTATTTCTATTTCGTTAATATTTTTGTTTAATCGGTCGTGATAATACGTCGTGGTCGCTTTTTTTGTTATTATGCTAGATGGACAATAATTTACTACAAATATCAAATAATAAACAGTAGTGTGACAAGTAGCGACAACTGACCAAATAAAAGGATCGACTAATGTTGAGCATATTGCTTTCTTGTCCTTGTTTTGCAGGCTGGGTTGCTGTCTCCTTGGAATCAGGGTCTTTTCTATAATATTTTATATATTACTTTGCTTAATTTGAAGTTTTGAAACGTAACATTATGTTACGATAACCTTACATAGCATATGGTTCGGGTGGTTGTCTGGTTGAAGATGTTTTGATGCTATTAACAGTGCAAGAATTCGTTATGCTGATTTATCCACCTAACTATTTTTTTTTTTTTTCAATAAAATCCTGCCGGATTTCAATCGTTAAAGATAGGGGAGGCTACACAATCAGCACTCTCACCCATCGACTCAAAGACAAACCAAATAGGAGAAATTAAGCAACGAACACCGAAGACCAGGATAGCGTAAGGCTTGTTGCGCCACACAATGGGCAGCCCGATTCGCTTCTCGAGGTGTGAAAAGTAAAGAGACTTTTGGTAACTGGAGCAGCAACTCTTGAATCTCCCTAAGAATGGCCCCACCGCGAACATCATTAGTATCACCGGAATACAATTTGTCCACAACCGCCTTAGCATCGCCTGTTAATAGCACATCTCGATCAAACCATTGCCACCGATGGATCAAGAATAACGCCTCGCGAAATGCTAGTAACTCAATCAACCCAGGATCAGAGATGCCCGAGATGAAAGCACCACCAGCAAACAAAGGGGAACCACCGTGGAAGCCAACCAAGCCAATGGCACCGTCCGTGGGAGCCTTCGTCGCACCATCCACAGCAATTCGAAAACCTTGGTGAGTGCGGAGGACGTCTTCAAAGTGGGGGCGAGTTGGAGGAGCAAATATCCGTGGTGGGGCGAGCACATCCTCCACCGCAACTTTGTTAGAAGCTTGATGATGGAGGAACTGGCGGCGGAGAACAGGGATGGTGAATTGGGCAAAGGGGGAGAAAACCACATTGTTTCGCCCCTTCCAAAGGCGCCAACAAAGCAAAATCCAATTTGTAATATCATCAGGGTGGCCATGTAGGATAAGTAAGCGCCAAAAAAGGGCAAAATGAAAAGTGGCATCGTAGCCAGGGGAAGAGAGAGACCCACTGCGTCTCGCAATTGGATAGCCACCGGACAGCGGATAAACAGATGTTCCAAAGACTCCCCCTCATCAGATTCACAAATGGGGCAAATATTGTGAATATCCATGCCATGCTTTTCCAGATCCTCACGAACCGGTAGAATTCGTAACAAAATGCGCCAGAGGAAAAATTTCAACTTCGGCATAAAGGTAAAGACCAGAGCTTGGGCCATAAGGCCGGGTCAAGCGGAGAAACCGAGGCAACCTGGCGATCAACGAGCGGGGGAGTGGAAGACTGCAAGCGATGGCAGAGATGATAGGCCGACTTTACCGAAAAAGCCCCACGAGAATCAAAATGCCAAATATACCGATCCACAAGGGGAGACTTAGGAAGAGGAATAGCAAGGATGCTTGCACAGAAGAGGCATCAAAGAATTGACAAAGCCGCTGAACATCCCAAGATGAAGTGGCGGACGAAATGAAGGAAGACACAAATTGAGGGTCCGAGCTGGCCGAAGGACACAAAGTCGGGCGAAAACCAGGTAGCGAGGGAACCCAAGGATCATGGAGGGCATCAATGCAAGTTCCGGAACCAACTTCCCACCGAAGGCCATGCAAAAGCAAATCCCGACCGTGGAGCAGGGATTGCCAAGCCCAGGAAGAGTTTGAGCCCGGTAAGGCCGAGAGGATGGAACCATGAGGAAAATAACGGCCTTTTAACACACGAGCCACCAGGGAGTTTGGGGAATGGAGGATACGCCAACATTGTTTGGCTAACAGAGCCTGATTAAAAGCACCAAAATCACGAAATCCAAGGCCTCCTTCAGATTTAGGCCGACATAGTTTCCGCCAGGACAACCAAGGTAAACGCCGTTCCGAACCCTTTTGGCCCCACCAAAACCGAGCGATCATGCGATTGATACTGCGGCAAAGTTCCTTAGGTAAAAGAAAGCAGGACATAGCATAAACCGGCAGAGCAGACACTACGGATTTAATGAGCGTTTCGAGGCCAGCCAAGGAAAGGCAACGACGCTTCCAACCCTGAAGTTTCCGTGCCACCGCCTCCTCAATGTACCGGAATGTGTCCCTTTTGGAGCGGCGAATAAGAGAAGGGAGGCCTAAATACTTATCCTGAGTCCCAATAGCACCCACGCGAAGCAAGGTCCCCAAGGCATCCGCTTCCGAAGCCACAACATTTTTGGAGAAGACAACTGCTGATTTGGACAAATTAACACGTTGGCCACTCATACGCTCATAACGGCTTAGAAAGTGGAGTAGAAAGTTACAATCCCTCGACGAAGCACGAAGAAAGAGGAAGGCATCATCAGCAAAGAAAAGATGGGATAACACAGGGCAATGATGATTGATCCGAACCCCTTTCAAATCACCTTGAGCAACAGCAGAGGAGAGCAAGGCAGAAAACCCTTCAGTACAGATCGCAAACAGTAAAGGTGATAACGGGTCACCCTGACGCAAGCCACGGGAAGGAGTAAAATACCCATAAGAGGCCCCATTCAGAAGAACAGATATGGATGTGGAGGAAATGCAATTACGGAGATACCCAATCCAACGGGGGTGGAAACCGAGTCGTTCCATAATCCGAAAAAGATAAGACCATTCAATACGATCATACGCCTTTTCCATATCCAATTTGAGGGCCATAAAGCGCCCACGACCCGTACGCTTATTCCGGAGGTAAGTCATGACCTCTTGACTGATGAGAACGTTGTCGATAATTGATCGGTCCTTCACAAACCCATTATGATAAGAAGAAATGATATGCGGCAAAAGACATCCCAGCCGATTCGCCATGAGTTTGGATATAATTTTATAAAACACCTGACAAAGTCCTATCGGGCGGAGGTGAGCACAAGTTTGGACGTTGGAAACCTTGGGAATAAGAGTTAGCCACGTATGATTAAAAGATTTCAACATATGACCAGTACGAAAGAAAGAATGCACTGCAGCAACGACCGAAGGACCCACAATGTCCCAAAAATGCTGGAAGAAGAGTCCGGTAAACCCATCAGACCCAGGAGCCCGAGTTGGCCCAATTTGAAACAGAGCATTACGAATATCCAAGGCGGAGAAAGGAGCGAGTAGCTTATCATTCATCACGGAATCCACCACGCGGCGTAAAGGCAAATGATCTACTGCATGTGCAACATCCATCAGAGAGATTTCAGATGTAAATAGTGATGTAAAATGAGACACGGCAACTTGACCCTTGGCCTGTTCCTCCAAATGGACGTGCCCAGCATTATCAGTCAGAGTAGGTATGAAGTTGTGAGCACGGCGAGTCTGCGTAACCCAAAAACAAAAGTCATTATCCACCTAATTATTCATAGGAAGGAACTTAATTATAAGAATTAGAAATTAGATAAAAAAACAAAAAAAAAACAAATTCGATTTGGGGGTAATCCGAGCATATGTTTCTTGTTACTCTAAGCTGGCTAACTATTTATAACTAGCTTATTACCCGGCCTGTTGGCCGGATTACTGTATGTTACCCACTTGTGGAATGGGAGAGAAAGCAAGTGAGAGTGAAGGGATTGGGATTCCACTTGATTAGGACCGACCCACTAATCCAATTCTTCCCGACCCGCCCCAACCTACAGGGTCAGAAAGAGTCAATAAGAAAATACGAACGGGGAGGATTAGTCATATATCTTGACTCTTCAGAAGTGGGTCAAACAGGATCAAGGTTGGGTGAGGGCAATTTTTAGCGCTAAGCAGAGTTCTGGGTTGAATACCTTTACTTAGGCCTAGAAATTGGTGCTGATGCAGACTGCAGTTTTTATTATACCATCATCAATCATCATTGAATTAGTCCTGGGCATCCCTCCCCGTTGTCGGTCTGAATTCTAATGATGGCTTCATTCCTTGCACCAGCCATATCAGCGAGTTGTCATCTCGAGCATGATTTGCCTATGTACAAATAATACAATTAGAGTATGAAAATGAATTCAATGCAAAGGAAAAGAGAATTCTATCACATGCCAATAAATACACACATAATAGTTGAAGCTAAGTGAAAGTCAGTACTCGCACATCAATTCTCAAAAATTACAGACTAAACATTGGCTAGAATGGCACTGAAACTACCAAGAATCATGGACGAAACAACTTGTCAAATTAAATAATCGATATACTGAAACTACCTTCTAACTTGAAATAAGACATGATCACAGTTCATAGCTCTCTTCTCACTATGAATTGGTTGCAGCTCGTCCTTATCACTGCCTCTCAAGCTCAATTCAAACAGAATAGAGACCGTTATGTAAGATAACCATATTCTTACTGATCATAATTCCTTTCTTCACTCCATTTTTGTCGGAGAAAAGAGTTATCCCCCTCTCCTGCATTTCCCTTTCCCCCTATCTTCTCCCTCTTCTTCACAAACCGATCCCTAAACCAGCAACAACAACACAAAAATAGCCTTCGCCTCTCCCGTCTCCATCTATTGAACGCGTTGGTGGCAAGACAGGACTGCAGAAGCAAAATTTTCTAAAATCAAACTAAATTTTTTGAAGCAGACTCAACCACGAAAAAAGAGTAAAACAACAATGCAGTAGAACCCTAAATTTAACTACAATCAAGCACATATCAGCAAAATTTTCTAAAATCAAACTAATTTTTTTGAATTTGGTCATTATAATAACCTTCAAGTATTGATGCTTCTAAGAACTATCATGTCCAACCCCCACTTATACAAC